GTGAAAATACTCGTAACAAAAATTAAATGCCTTAGGTCCCATAATTGATGAATATTGACTACCGAGCGCTTGATTAGCTTGAACATGACTATAGATCGATCATTGGTTTAATTATTCTGATGGTTATACTTTACCTTAAGTTTAAATCTCATTTACATTATTATCGTCTGCCATGATAAATTTGATCTTTATAGACCACACTTAAGTTTGCTTGGTCCTACATATTAATCGTAATGACTATTTTTAAGGGACCTTAATTAACATATGTATTTATGATCACGATTTTATGTCCATAACACTCAATTGAATTGGTCCCATTAACCTTTAAATTTCTCCAAAAGCTATAAGATAATGGAAGAATTGATGTCCATTGATATCATTTTATGTCTATCAGGTTGATTAGTATATAGCTTTACAATGCATTGACTGAGTCCGTTTACCATGAGTTCACCCATTCAATATATAAATTCCAAAAACTGATATGTCTAATACCTTACTATATATATAAAATTTTCAAAAACTTATATATAAATTTCAAAAGTCTGTTCTAAAACTTATATGAAATGTCCAATAACCTACTTAATTTCCGTCTCACTGTGAGTCCAGATCGACACAATAATTTTCCAATCTTAGTTTACTACCATTATTCCACAAATCATAATAAAAGGAATAATTTTTGTAAGTCATACAAACTCCTTGGGTTCACGGGTTGTCCACACTCTCCATCCTCTTCATTCTCATATCCGGATATCAACTAATACTGCTAGTTGATGTTATTGCTTGCTGCTGCTATTTGTTGTTACTACTGCTAACTTATATTGCTTTTTTAGTTTTTGGAATTTGGTGGTCTAATAGAGGCCGAAGTTGGCTTTCTTTTTATTTTGTTTATTAGATTGTTTAGCCAAACAAAAAATTGGTGTGTATGGAATTTTTTTGAGAAGCTATGAAATTATATCAATTCAAAATATTGGCTATCATATATGTTAATTTCTCATTTGTGGTTGTACATGTTAATATTGTGTTTGAATAATATATGTATTACATTAGTTTGCAAAAAGTGATACATAATGTCGAATAAAGTGTTACTATGTGTTAAAAGATGATTGAAAAATGTTACCTAATAATCAACAATGTGTTACATTAGTTCGCAAAAGTGACACACAATGTCAAATAAAGTGTTACTATATAATTGAAAAACGTTACTAAAGATAAGTAAGTGTTATATAAGAACAAAAAAGTAACACTTTAAAAATGAAACTAATATAATAAAAAAAGTGATACATAAGAGGGTTTTTAGTAACACTTGTAAAAGTGTTACCATACATTACCCAAAGTGTTACATTAGACTTTAGGGAACATGGGCGGATGTATCACCCACTAAAGTGTTACCTATTGTCAATAAATAGTAAGAATATGTTATTAAAAACATCAATATTCAGCTATGTGCATTGAAGACTGTGATAGATAAAACAAATACTATAATAACTTTATTGTAAGTTGTAACGAAGGTAGTGTCAATAATGAAGGAGGTTGTCTGAATCAATAATTGCTCATGTCTTCAATGACAATAACAAAGTCCCGTTGGTATCTTTAGATTTCATGTTGGTATAATTATTATACCAAATTACCAATATGAGGTCTAAATATACCAACAAGATTGTTGGTGTTGAGAAAAATACAAATATGATTGAAGTTCACATGTATGTAGTTTTAACCGGTTAATGCAATTTTACCAAGTACAATAATTTATATATAGTACAATAATGTGTATTATTATATTTCATAGATTTTGCTATATAAGAAGTTCACGTATTGTGAACGATGTATGAAAGAATTAATAAAAGGTTTCTATCATATTGCTTGCTATCCCCTCATTAATAAATCCTTTACTATCGGTAAAATTTTAACAATTGGTATATTTTTAGACTTTATGTTGCTACAATTATTATACCAACATGAGGTATAAATGTACCAACAAACACTTGTTATTGTCATTCATGACAATAGTAATTATGGGCTTGGACTTCCTCAATAATGAAGTATCATAACCATTATCCACCCCTCTCCTCCAACACACCTTTAGTGAAGGCCAATTTGGGCTTGCCCTAGCGAACTACCATCGTGCTAAGTAAAGTACGTAGTACTCCCTTCATCACGTATAGTATAGGTTAAAAGACAATGGTTTAAGAAACGGATTGAAGGGTATACGCCACTACCTCATCCTCTAGCAATCTAGCTAAATGTAAACATGCATTTGTCATTACAGGTTTTAAACATTGTTATATTGAAATTCTGGACATGCAAGAATTTGCTTTTTTATAACTTTTTGTTGGAATTGATAAATTGTTATAGCCCTTATAAGTAAAGTGGATACACTTTTGTTATGAGATGAAGACTTGAAAATGAAGAGTGGAGAAATTTATGCCATATTAATTAGGAAAAATCAACAAGAATAATCCCAACTATTGTCTTCCTTCTCATTTTAATCCCAATTATAGTTTAACCTAGAATAATGCTAACTATTGGGTGACCCTTCTCAAAATAGTCTAACTCATTTTGGTAACCTATTGTTCAAGTAAAAAGGGTGATGTGTGAAGTTGGTATTGATTAGTGCTTTTTTAATAAAAATAAAAGATAGAAATAAAACAAGCACCTCCTCTTTTTTCTTCTCTAATCACTGCCCACATCCATAACCCTCTCGACAATAACTTCATTCCCTGCCATCGAAACCACTTTCTTAGCCACCCACAACCACCGAAACCACCATTCAAGGCTGCTAGCGAAACCCATTATCCCAGCCACCAAAATCACCATTTTAGCCAAGCCCTGTCACGAACCAATTAAAATATTAATTGAGGCCTAGGTAGAAGAGGAGCAAGAGCACGAGTACTACGTTGTCAATAATTAACTAGTTGGTGCATCTCCATCTGTCTCGCACTATCAGCCTATCAGAAGACAAATAAAGTGCACTATCTGCGCCTTCTATTCAAAGTTGACAATTTTCATCCACGCATCCATAATCCCATCAACAACATTCAAGACTATTTTTGCTTTTCATAATGTTGTATTATTGAACAAAATTTCTATTAATTATAGTGCATGAATTATTCATTTTAGTAGATTATTTTACTTTGGATTTAGCTAGAGATACTTAAGGTTTAATTAATATTTGTGCAATTTGGGAATATGAGCTTTTCAAACTTGTTTCTCGTTGCGATAACGTGAAACATGCAATCTTTTTTAATGGTAACTATTGTGAGTTTTTTTTTTTTTTTTTTGGTTAAAAAAAAAAATATATTAAGTATCTTCTTTTTACTTTTTTAGATTGATGACATGCATGCCTATAACATAGCTAGCCATTTAGATTACTCTAGAGGATATACTCTGAACTTTTTGAGCTCTTCTTTTGATTTTTTATGTTGGTCTCATCGCTCATGTACATGAAAGATAAGATAGGGTCTGTACTTTTATTGCACTTGCACAACATCTTACTAAATTAGTGTCATTTGGATTCGAATAAGTTTGGGAAATATATATTTATTATGGACAATATATCCTTGAATTAATAAATCGCTAATCTTACTTGAAGTAAACTAGACCATGTAGTATGTACTTGCGTGTAATTGTTTGCAAACATAGCAATTCAAGACTGTTTTAATTTGTTTGTATAGAATTATTTTGGATCTAGATTTTTGGGGGGTCAGATCTTTAATGATGAAGAAAACATACAGACAAATTAATTAAAACAATACAAGACTGCTTTGTTTATAAACAATTATTTTAATTCTAGCTAGTTTTTTTTCAGGTCATTAATGATGAAGGAAACAAATCTTTAAAAACGGAAAACGACATTGTACAACTAGATTGTATGAACATATTATGTTGCTTATTCTTGAACTTTTTAATCATATGAAATTATGCACCTTGTTGGTGCTTATAATCTTCAAATTACAACCCTAACTTTAATTTATTAGTTAAATATTTTTAAATATCATTCAAAATTTTAAATTATTTCATATTCTTTTCATGTTTATATTACTAACTTTAATGTATGTAGTATGCACCACATTGTTATTTTGATGAAAAAAGCTCAATGATGTTACTCATGTTAGGGTGAGGTACATACTCATCTTAATTAATTAGGTACCTAATGTGGAATCATGCTAAACTTAATTAAGGCGCCCAAAATGGAAGTTCTGATCTCATATTCTTTAAGCCACGCATTCAATGTTATTTGATAGTACGTTGTTTCTCATTGATTTTTCTAGTTGTATATACGTTAATCAAAGAAATGAAATTTAAGTCTCTCTAAGATTTTATTTTTTAAGCGGGAAGAGAAAATTGTATATACTCGTGATCTGAGTATTATCATAAAGTAATATAAAAATGGACACATATGGAACCGTTGAGATGACTCACATAAGTGAGGGTAAAAGAGAGAATTTTCTTAGTCAAAACGAAATTAAAGCAATATATAATAGGAAATTTATATAAATAACGAACTTAAAAAAAATAAAAAAATAAAATATATGAAGAACTTTTAGAAGCAAGGATTATAATAATAATGTCGAGCCATAAATTACAGGTGACTGTAATGAGTGCACGATTCCCTTAAATTCATAATACAACGTGGGGAGTAGTAGACGATACGAATCCTAGTAAGCCTTCTAGGAATCTAACTTAGGTACAATGGGAAATCAATGAAATACTTAACTAATAAAGTGAAAGAAAACATGAATGTCGACCAACTAATTCGTCTAATTAAGCACATATAAGCTACTAAGCTAGATTGTATACATCTTTTATACTTATAACAAGAATTGTAAAATTGTAACCTACGGGGTACGAAATATGTGATTGAGATGTTAAAGAGATTATCAACCACAAAATAACAAATCGTGAAAACATTGGCTTTTTCCACTTTAATTTTATTTCATGATGAGAGTGACACCATTGTAGTTGTATGCTTGTATCTTATATATGATATGCCCAACAACAAATTTGTATAAATAATGTCAATGTATAATATTAAGTGACCCACTAAAAATAGAGGGTTAATAAGGAGGACCTTAAAAAAGAAAGTTGCTAGCTAGTATAATTATATTATTGGTTCAATTTCATAATAACTAACCATAATAGCTAGCTAATAAGCTAGAAGGTGGCCTCCTAGAGATGGATGGTGGTGGTGATGGGGTTGGTGATCAAGTCATTGTGTTCATGGCCGAGGGTCATAACAACGGCGGCCAATCCGGAGACTCGGAGCATGCCAATGGCAACAATATCAATGTTGATCGACGTGGTGACAAGAAAAAAACCCCCGCCCTACAATCAACTAATACTCTTAGAAAGAGAGCCACCCTGCGTCGTCTTAGTTTTTCTAAACCTAAGTCTCGAAATGTTGAATTTAACCTCCCTCCCAAAATAAATGTCATCGACGAGTTTGAGAGAGATCAGGCGACTATTTGGGAAGAAGAAATAAGTAATAATTGTAATAATGGTGGTAATAGTGGTACGGACTTTTCCTCCTACTCTACGTCTGAGGAGGAGGAGGAGGAAGAGGAAGAGGAAAGCGATGGTAAAAAATATCACAAGGCAAAAAAAAAGAAGAGAAAGATTAAGTGGAGGAGAGTAGGAGAGTGGTCAATATTTTTTGTTATATTGACTTGTTTGATCCTTTCTTTTATGGTGAACACCCTTAGGGACTACCCCGTGATGGGTCTAAAGCCGTGGCAATGGTGCCTAATGGTGATGGTAGTGTTTAGTGGGCGGCTTTGCTCGGGGTGGCTAGTGAGCTTCTTGGTGTTTTTGATAGAGAGGAATTTTATGTTAAGAGAAAAGGTGTTGTACTTTGTGTATGGGTTAAGGAAGAGTATACAAAGTTGTATTTGGTTAGCACTTGTGTTATTAGCTTGGACTTGTATGTTTGATGCTCAAGTGCACCAAAATAATAAGGTGGTCAAGAGGGTGTCTCAATTGTTAGTCGCGGTTCTAGTTGGTGCTATCATATGGTTGGTTAAGATTGTTTTGGTGAAGACCCTAGCTTCCTCTTTTCATGTGAGGACTTACTTTGATCGTATGAAGGAAAGCGTTTTTCATCACTACATACTTGACGCACTCTCAGGTTCTTCATTGTTTCTTGCTAATTTTTTTTATGCATCTTATATTTTCTTACTAAAAATATATATTCAAACTTACTAATAATGTTGCACTTAAGATGTACCAAGAAAAATTAGATCTGTCCCTAATTTTTGTAATTAGTGATGGATACATGCACTTCTTTTTTTTTTTTTTTTTTTAATGAATATATAATACATAGAATCATGTCCCTAGCTAAAATTCTGTTTAAGAAACTAAATATAAATCAGATTTTAATCTTATACTTGTATGAGGAAAGTACTAAGTTTCAATGAATCATGGTCTATCTAGCTTAATAAACAATATTGATGATGCAATTTTTATTTTTATAAATACAAGAATCTACTTAAATTTGCTGTTAGATTTAAGATAATGACACCAAAAATGATGTTTCTTAATAGATTAAATTAAGATTTCTAAGTTAAAAGAGTATCTTCAGAAAGTGACAAATCTGTGTTGATAATATGCTTCTTAATATATACAAGTATTGATTAATTAATTAATTAAGCAACATTACTAAAGCATTCAAAATTAGCAAAGAATGCTTAAAAAAGGATCATACGAGTGACGTTATAATCAATTGCTCACAACAACTTTTACACTACTTTTTGACTTGAAATAAGCCAACTAGCCTAATGTTTGAATGCTCATCAACCAACCAATTAATAAACAAAGTGAAAATCTAAGCCAACCATTTTTACTCATGTACGTTATATGAAAAGGGAGAATTATTTGATTTGATACCTAATTTATTTTAATAAGAATCACATTCTAAACTCAGTATGTACTTTATGACTTACTTTCTTCTTATTATTATTATTTAGATTTGCTTCATGAAATTTGTTAGTACCTTTGACCTTCATTAATCTGTGCTTTAAATTGTTATACTGTACTTTGACTTGCATCATTTACATTCTACAATTTGACTGTATTTTTTCTACTGTACTTTCACTTGCATGATGGTTAAGAAATAACTAAAAATGAGAATATTTTTCTAATTTAAAAATGTAAAACATAAAAAGAAAATGTAAAATATAAAAACGCTCAAATAAGATTACGTAAAAAACAAAAAGGAATGGTGGAAATAAATACTACGTGCTTATTTTAGAAAGTAACCCGTTATTATACTTTAAACCACTCGTATGACATATATATAAAATGTGACCTATCATTTAAAAAACCGACAAATAATTTATGTGGCTATGATTTAATGATTTTGCATGTACAAAGATGAACTGCATGGCTGGTTGAGTAATTAAAATTCGTCGGTGTTGCGCTACATAATGATGTATATATATAGGTAAATCCAAACTCCACTATTAGGCGTATAAGTTGTTACAGCTAAGATGCTAGGTCCAAATTATTGGGACAAATTGGTATGTCGCAGTTCCCACTTATTGCGACATGTTGACGCTTTCGGCATTTCTCCTGGATACGAAAATGACATATGCACATGAACACATCCTTAAGGTTCTAGCTAATTTTAACTAACTGTCGGGTTGATAGCGGATCTTGGCCGAAAATGTAGGAGGAGATAAAACTTGAATGTATAATATCTTGTTTAATAAAACAAATAAAATCAACCATCGTGCTACAATATCTTGTGACATGTTATAGTATAGATCAGATGATGAGAAGTATCTTTATTTTCAATCAGATTATGAAACACACACCAATTTATATATAAAAGAGGTTCGTTTGAGTTTAATATTTAAATAAAAAAATATTATTTGAGGTTAGCATTAGTTGAAGATCCGCCTCTGGTTACATTACAACTTACATCATGAGACATAACCGTGACATGTGACATGGGTAGATGGACAATTTAGTATGTAATTAGTAGTTGGTGATGATGAATTGAGGGCTTGAGGCTCTTATTACTTTGCATGTAACATGAATTTCATATGTTAACTTACTAGTTAACTTGACTTAGATGTTAGTGAAGTAATAATGAATGTGAATTATGAATTATTGATATAATTTAGGTCCACCAATGGATGAATTACTTTGGGAACAACATAGACCAGTGCAAGGGTCAAAATCTTTGCCTACAAAATGGAAGGATGCTAAAGAAATGATGAGATCAAAGAAATATGGATCAAGGAAATTGGACATGGAGAAGCTTAAGGAGCTAAGCAAGGAAAGTCCGGCGTCGATTTGGAGTTTGAAGAGGTTGATGAACTACATTAGATCTTCTAGGTTGTCTACGATTTCGAAGACTGTTGATGAATTTGGGAAAGCTGAATCTGAGATTACTAGTGAATGGGAAGCTAGAACTACTGCTAAACGCATCTTTAGAAACGTTGCAAAACGCGGTGCCAAGTAAGTCTAAAGTTTTATATATATTCTACCCTCCTTTCATTAATAATTATGTCACGTAGTAGTATAAAATGGACTCGCAAAGTGCAATTAGACAGAATTCTTTCACGTGTTAAAATTTGTTCTTTAGTTTCCCTTGTTTAGTATAATGATTACAAAAATTTACTATTTGGAAGGTACATTGAGGAGGAGGATTTAGCAAGGTTCTTAAAAAGGAATGAGATTCATGCTATTTTCCCACTTTTCGAAGGAGCACTTGAGACAGGAAGAATTACCAAGTCTTCTTTCAGAAATTGGGTGGTAAGTTTATGATATACACAACTGCAAGCTTTTTGAATAATTTAAGACGACGAAAGATGAGACTGTATGTTAATTTTCTGATGATTACCTACATGACTATATATGGTTAAAAGGTACGAGCATATTTCGAAAGAAAGGCTCTAGCACATTCACTGAACGACACGAAAACAGCAGTGCAGCAGCTTCACAAGATGGCATCAGCAATTGTTATTGTGGTAATCTTTGTGGTGTTTCTCTTGTTGATGGGATTAGCAACACCAAAAGTAGTCGCGTTTGTCATCACACAGATGGTAGTCCTTGGTGTCATCTTTCATAACACTTGCAAAACCATCTTCGATTGCATCATTTTCGTGTTTGTTATGCACCCTTTCGACATAGGAGATCGTTGCAAAGTCGATGGTGTTCAGGTATGCTAACTGTACTATAACTAATTCCTTTGCTGTTGTTAGTCTCTTTTATATGCTATTCTTGCTAATTTTAGTCGCGTTTCATTGAGATTATGTTCCTATGTGCGTGATTGCAGATGATTGTAGAAGAGATGAATATATTAACCACAGTTTTCCTGAGGTATGATATGGAGAAGATCTACTATCCGAATTCAGCTCTTTTAAGCAAACCAATCAGTAATTTCTACAGAAGTCCCGAAATGTGGGATACAATTCCTTTCACCATAGATGCTTCCACTCCAATTGATTCCATCAACGCGCTCAAGAAGGCAACACAAAGGTAAGGCTGCTCTTCTAAGGACTATATATAGTCCTAGAGTTTCGAAAATTATGCTCTCAGTAATAAGACTAATATCGGTGTTTTTGATATGCAGTTATATTGACAGCAAGCCAAATCATTGGAATTCAAAACATAGTTTCATAGTAAAAGATATAGAAGACCTGAACACAATGAAGATGGCCTTATGTGTGCAACACACTATCAACCACCAAAACATTGGTGAACGAAACCTTCGTTTAACTGATCTTATATTGGAGCTGAAGAAGAACTTTGAAAACCTTGGTATCAAATATCACCTTCTTCCACAAGAGGTCCACCTTACCCAGTTCAACATCAATAATTCGCCGAAGCCAACACCATCTTAATATCCCATGTTATAATGGTGTGTTATGTATATTCATTTGATCATTTTGATGTTCAGAAAACCTACAAAAGTGGTTTACATATGTTTTGGTACTTGCTCTGGCTTTACTTGTGTCATACACGGGTATGTGTTCAAGTGCCAAACTTGGCTACTTATGAAAATTTTCTATGTTTTTTGGCCCAAAATAGTGTCAACTGCCAAACTTCCATACCTTAGCTTAGTACTTGAAATGAAGATGTAGTTCGAGTAATACTATAATTGTATAATCTGGTAAGTAAGATGCTTATATGATCGATCTATCTATGTTTTCTAATATCTACAAAAGAAACACACATTCACTGTTGTGTGGCTTTGATTTAATTGTTTGTACAAAAGAACATCTGATATTGTTGGTACTTCAAGGTTTGATCAAGGTATTCTGGAACATAATTAAGCCGAATCACCAAAATCGGATAAAAAGAATGAACGAATTTTCAGAAACTGAAGGTGTCAGGGGAAAGAAATACAGATGAAAAATGATAAGAAAAAAAAAAGGGGGAGGGGTGGGGTGGGGGGGTGTAGGGGGGCATTGTAAAACATCATAATAGCCCCAATTACTAGTATTCTTTAACTCTTAAGCTAATAACAACAGCCCCAACAACTGGGAGGGACACTACAGAGAAGATATGTAGTATATCAAGTTCAACTGCTGTAAAATATGTAATATGAACATGCTTCTCTGTATGATCTGTAATGTGGCTGAAGATCCATATCTTAGTACGAGTATTTTCTGATCCGCGAAACTCAGGCTGAAGTTGTGCATTCTATGCAATGTTTAGCCTTCTTTGCCTCAACTCTCTAAAAGGAGGGAAAAAAAATTTAGGCAAAAATAAGTTAAAGGTACTGAGCTTGTATCCTCTCTCTATTCTGCTCCCACCACATCTTTGCATGCACTTCACCAAATTTCTCACGGCTGCATAAGCATATGTCAAAGTTAGAGATCGCGTAGACCCAAGAACATTGAGTATTAAAGTCAAGAAACTAGATTAGTCTGCATTACTTTAAAATATAAACTAGACAAGTCTTTGAGAATAATGGAAGGTTTAAAGATCACGATTAGTTACCTGAATCTAACACGACGTAGCTCTCTAGTGCCATCTGCTAGCTGTCTGATGGTAATATACACCCCTGGCTCATCTTGCTCAACCCACTCCGTTTCAAGTTCACTGGCGTTGCTAACTGAGACATCATCTCGAGATGAGGTGGTTGTCCGTGATGGATCCATATGCTGAGCACCCATGCCATAAGCACTTGATCCTGCATTGTAACCATGGTCTGAAGGCTCGGGTGGGAAAAATGATTTACTAGAAGGTTGGTAGTAATTTCTCGGTATCCACTCCTTATTAGTCATAGGACTCTCCATCACGGATCCAACTCTAGTGTAAGTAGAATCTCTGGCCTGTAATTAATTCAATAAAGCATTAGTAACAGCAAAATGACGGTCCATTAAAGAATACCAGACAATTGTTAGATATAAATGGAAGAGTACCTCATCATCTGATCTTGCTGGAGTCTGAAGAGCTTGTCTGTTGAATCTTTGAACGTTGTAAAGCTCCATGATTCTGTCGTAGTTCTCACCCCACCATCTTTGAGCTTGCCATTTGTTAAACATGTCACGGCTTTAATAAGAAAATACTCGATGTTAGTTCACACTACTGGTAACCACTTTGAACAAACTTGTTGAAACAGGACTATTTGTTTTATCTTTTGACATCATCAATCTTGAATAAGATTTAGTTTATGGATTGATCTAAGTTCATACCTGAATCGAATTCGCTTCAAATCATTCCCTCCATTAGGAAGAGAAACAAATGTAATATGCACCCCTGGCTCCACCTGTGCCATCCATTCTTTAGGTTCATCCTCATCCTCTATCACCAAATCACTAGCAGCAATAGAATCTCTTCCTCCAGGAGTTCTGTCACCGCCATATCCACCAGCAAACCTCGAATGTGATCTTACACCACGATGATGCATGCTGCTAGTATAATCCCATGCAGGCGTTGAACTTGAGCTTCCAGGTTGCATGTAAGAGTACCGGCTCCCTTCAGAAGCACTATCATACTCCACGTATGACCTCTCGCCTTTCTTAAAATCACCAGAGCTTGTGCAGGGCTTGCACTGTTTATAAGCACCAGAAAACTTCAACGCCATATCCTTTATCTGCAAGTCGTTGTAATCAAAGTTAGAGCCAAAACTCAAGGCATAAAACAGACTGATGGAATCTGTTTTTTGGTGTCTTTCAAAAGTATGGATGCTATTATGTGAATTGGTGTCATGTAGAGAAAGACCGCCTCTTTAAATCATGTTTACATAAACAAAATAAAACAACAAATAGACAGTAATCATGCTACAGACAAGGAGGTTCAAAAGCCCTGAGGAGTGAGGGTTCAAAGAAAAGCCTTGTATTGACAAAAGCCAACATTAGCAACATATCAAGTACGAAACTAGGAACAAAGTTTTGGACAAAACATATTCCAATCATTATTGGGTTTAGACCAAGACATTTCAATGAAATTTGGTACATATGATTTAAGTTTCTTGTAATAATTTTGTTCAAATTTCATGTATTTCAAAGATATATTATCTAGTATCATAATATGGAACACCAATGTTCAATTCTTTATTTTCTGGTTTTGTACATCAGATTTTGGCAGTTTAAGATTAAATCTCCTTCCTGAGGCCAGAAACTGACTCTTAATCAAAATTCTTCCATCCCATCCCATCTTTCAAGCTGTTACTAGCTCCACCTCGTTTAGAGAAAAGTTTATAGAAATACGGTAATTTGAGTACACATTCTACGCAAAGCCAACACAGCTATAGTAAGCTAAGCTTGGTATGAACATTACACAACATTTAGTACATCAAAACATTAAAATTAGTAGATAAATGAGCAAAGTCTTGCTCCTAAAGAGCTGTGCTCATCTATTCAAAAGACGGAAAATATTAAGTCCACGTAGTGGGTAGATTACCCAACTCAAACAAAAAACATTATACAGCAAATGATACTCGAGGCTTGCTGGTGGATTTAACTTGGCCATACTAATGACTATCCTAATATTTATATCATGTAGGTAAATTACCCATTGGCTAAACGTAGCAAGTCGGGTCAAATACAGATTTACAGCCATACGCCCATACTCGATATTGTTTAAGGATCATTTTAATGTGTTTAACAAGTTGGTGCATGAGGCAAAAATACCAGTACATGTAGATGAAATTCAGCCAAAGGGTAATTTGTACAATCTCTTAAAAACTTTTACCAGCTAATTTTAATCTACCCTTGATTCAGTAAATTAACAAGAAATTGTTACAGACTTTCTGTATTGGTATAAGAGCCTAGCAACAGTTACAGCTGCAATGTAAAATCAGAACTACACACTGCAGTCTTCATACATGATTAAGGCTGCAATGCTGAAGGCTCAAGGTTTAAGATCATACTTGTATAAATTTGTAAATTAATATACTTTCCAACAACTATAATTTTATAGAATAAATAAATAAAAAAAAAAGGGAATTAAATAGGAACAAAATTATCAAAATTAAAATGTGCTCAAGAAATTAAGGGAACACTTTTTTTTTCCTGAATTTTTTTCTTCTTTTTAGTCCACTATTATGTAGCAATGAAAAATTAATGTAAATGCGACCATACCAAATTTCCTTTCCCTTTATTTCAATATATACACTCAATAGTATTATGATAATTTGTTACATAAATGGTGGACAAGAATTCTATAGTGGGTCATATTATAAGACACTTGCAAATCTTTAATCAATTTGGCCTTACTTTTCTACGGATTTTTACAGCTATGTTTGGTACAACAAGACCAATTTATAATTTTAGAGAACCAAGCAAGAATTTCAGTTGATATTAAATGATTTTATCATGAACTAACAAGTAATGTAATTATGGTATAATACATGAAGAAAAAAAGAAAGATAATTAATATACTTTGATCAAAACCACTATTGTCTCTATAATTGATCAAAACACTATGTATAAAATATTTGAAATCCATATAATTAAGCTAAGCCTCAAAGGGGAGTCAACCCTCCAAGCTCTTAAGCAAAGAATTTGAGAGTGTTGTTATCCCAAAATGTGTACTCCACACTCCCCAGATTACTATTTATAGCCTTCCATTAAATAAATAAATAGATAAATAATGATGTGAATCTATTATGAAAGGGTTACAATGTGGATAATTCATTTGTTTGTTCAAGAAGATTTGATAGGAGTGACATTACCACATTTTGTAAGACCTTTAAATTTAAATTCTATTAACATAAGTACATAACCGTGTGTTTTCAGTTTTTGGTTTTACGACTTTAAATACTTCTAATTTTAACTAAGTTGATTTTGAAGAGTTAACTAGAAAAATGAACACTTTTTGTTTTTGATTTCTAAATACCTTAAAACAAAATTCGTTAACAGCAAGCCATTAGCATGGAAATATGTACTTGTATGAATAAGGGAAATGTGTAAAAAAAATAATTGAAACGTAACTATTAAAGGAGAACGCCTAAAGTGACAAATGTAAGCTTCTTTCACCAACGAAGTAGATTGAAGGGCTTAATAATATTTAGCGTAGCAATTCTTTACATCAACCACATGCATTAAAACCCAAAGACAAAAGAAGGGGTCGTGATCTATGATAACATAGCATTAGATGTTCATGTAACAAAATAAATAGGGGTTGAGAGTGACTAGACCAAAACTCATGCTTAAATAGAGATGTAATGTGATTGGTAGCTGGGGTCTAAGTCTAGGTACCTAGCTAAGATCTAAGCTGCAGAATTTATATTATAAGGTCTTTTTGCAGCCTCTCCATCAATTAATTGTATGGCTGATTTGCTGATAACTTATTACAGTAATCTTAATAATGCTTTTCCATTGGACTACTCATATTAATATATTCAGCATAGACCATATATTATACATTTAATAGTCTAATATTGTTTGCCTGTCATATAGAGTAGTACCTAGTATGCTCTAGGTGTATAGCTATAGTAGCAGATACTGTATGATACCCTTTTCTAACCGGATGCAAAAAAAATACTCTTTACTTCAGGTCAACTCCTTTTTTTTTTCTTTTTCTTTTTTTGAGATCTTCTACTAATTTAAAGTTACTCTAGTTTATACGATGTAGCAAATGATCACATCAATGTATACTCCCTCCATTTTTAAATACTTGCTCCATTTCTCTTGGGTAAGTATGCCGATGTTAATCTTTAATTAATAATATCTTTTATTATCAATAAGTATAAAGTCTAACAATTGAAAATTAATAATCTATTCATTAAGACGATTCTAACATGTACTCACGAGACTTTATTTTTTCTTATATATAAATCACAAATATTAGTTAAATTAGAACAAATAAATAGTACAAAAAATAGATATAAGCAAGTACTTAAAAACGGGGGGAGTAGTAAATTACTAAATTAGTAATAATGTAATATGAGTAATTCAAACAACCTTCACCAAGAAAAAAAAATGAATTTAGTGTCTATTGTTTCTTGATTTGTTAGTTTGTTACTCGTAATATGGTATCTAAAACTATAATATTTCGAAACTTTATTCACTTAAATAGAAATGTTGTAATGAATAAAAAAAAATACTATAAAAGTAGAAGTACTTGTTAACCTATAAAAATAAAATTATAACTATAATTAAAAAAAAAAAAAAAAAAAAAGTATAAGGGGGCATAGGTGTAAAATTCTAGGGAGTAATAAAAAAAATGCATAATACAACTTAAAGTTATATCCCTGCAACATTCTTTGGTCCCCCTCAAATCCTGATACCCCAAATAGCACGTGACAGTACAAACTAGGGAAACGAGCTTTAAGTAATGGTTTCACAATCAAGGAAAAAGAAGCTGCCAAAAAGCCAAGTATCAAATGGAATGGTATTGATCAACTAACAAGCCAACATTTTGTACTGTACTATTTCTACCAAAATACTACCAAGAGTACTACTACTCATTTTAAACTAAAACTGTACAAGTAGAACAAACTACATACCTGTGCTGTGATGCCTTTTACAGATTCCTTTGTGTTTGGCGTCGCATTCCCACTTCCACGCCCTCCTCCGTCTTCCCCCTTCTCGTCTGTCTTCGCACACGTTATACATGTTAACATCTTTACTCGCTCCTCCTACTTAATTGTCGTTGTTGATATTACACCTGCATCGTGATTGACTATCTTTAGATTAACTGTCACGTTACTAATTAAATGGAAGAAGTGAATGGTAACCTGATATATATATATATAGACAATTGTGTCATTTGATAAGAGGTTTGATTAGATGAATCATTACTTTGGTATAAGTGTTTAACACTATAAGAATATTATGGCCTTTTGCCAATTTTACACGTAGAGGATGTAGAAGAAGAATGGGCTTTTTAGAAAATCTTGCATTATGAATAAGCTAAGCAAAGGTTCAAACTTGCCAAATGAGTAAGGAAGGAATCTTTTCCTCTTGAGATTTAAGTATATTAGAGCAACTCCAATGGTTGTAGATAAGGATTGGCTTGCAATTTCCAAAAGTCTCTAGCTATTATCTTGACCATTGAAGCTAAAAAATACAATTAGCTTGGCCAAACTGCCAAACTAATTTTTGCTTGAGAAAAAAGTTTCTAAAATTTTAGAGATTAATATACTAATATAATTAAACTTTTAAAGATAATTGAAAAAGTTAAGCTCATTTAAATAGCAAGCCATTAGCTAACCATTGGGGGACACAAAATAGCTACACAAAAAATTAACTTAAAATCCTATGTGGCATGGCAAGCTTATTTGAGAATTAGCTTACCATTGAAAATGCTCTTATAGAACTGTCAAAATGAGAATAATGGTACAAAATATTTTGCATATATAATCTATTACAAGTAATAAACATTATTTCATATATCAACACCCCATAGAAAAGAAAACAAAATCCCATTTCTAGAAATTGATGACATAGTATCTTTACAAGTAAAATCCAATATTAAGGTGAAAGATAATATCATTCTAGATGTTGATGCAAACTTTAATCCAAATTAAAGAAAAAGATGTGAATAATAATCAGTAAAGATTTTCCGCTGCCTAATTTTGGCACAAAATCAAACATGGTCAATTTAAGAAAAAAGAAGCTTAAAAAGCTCTTATTCAATCTACTCGCAAAATAAAAAAGAACCTTGTAAACATAATTTTCTGGGTCCAAAGGTTAAGTATCATTATCAATTTGGTGGGTCCAATTTATGATATTTTGCCCTCAAAATATATGTATTAAATTAAATAGGTAGACAAATATAATTAATAATATATGTGCTTACTTCTTTCTAATAAATTACAAAGACGAAAGTGGATGAATTGTCAAGGTATTAGTTTGGCCCATATTAGGCCATACCAAGTAATAGTGACCCAGTTCATCTTACGCAGACAAATTTCACAATGCAACTACTTCTATTATTTTGGGACCGTCTTTAGTACGTTCTTTCAAATCAATTTTTTCCATCAATTCAATTCTTAATCTATAAGAACAAAACCTAAATTCTTAGGTACAGACAATTTTTAAGATTCAAGTCTTGTCTAAAGAGATAACATTTACATTATTTAGTTGAATCACTCTGAAACTCCATAAAAGACACGTATTAAATTTTAATGACAACTGTCTCGATTTAAGGAGAGTTTTCCGCCCTTTGAGTCAATCAAGTCCAAAAGTCTCGAAACAGATAATTTACTGCTATTTAGTTTATAAAACAGAAAATTCCACCTAACAATAAAACTCATCATCACAAACCCCATTGACAAGCAAATGTAGAGCCTTGAACAAGGGTTTTAATCTTAATATCAGGGATAACACAAAACTCAATCGAAATTACTATACATGACATTACCTGAACAAAACCGACCCGAAACAAGTAAAGCTGCACGTACAAATCCTCACAATAAAATGTTGTTCTAGTTCTCAAAGTAGTGTTTTTTCTTTATTAATTTAATTATTTATTTTTCCTTGTAATTCCAAGAATGAGTCAGAGAGAGAGAATGATGAGTAAGAAAAAAAAGATAAAGAGAAAAAGAGCAATCTCGGGATCAGAGAGAGATTGTTTGTAGGGAGTTGGGAAAAAGCTCAAATTATTTAAAAACAAAACAAAAATGAAGTGCCAATAATTGAAAGAAGAACACTTTTAATTAAAGACTTATAAAAATAAAATATTAAAAAAAAAAAAAATTGGGGGTAAGATTTAAGAAGTGTGCTTTGAAAGTGGTCCGTTTCTCAGTTCTATGTGCATGCTTTAGCCTACACCTTCCCTTATAAAGAAATTTCACATCCTTTAATTAATTTTCCCTTCTTTTCCTAATTTTTCACCTCACTTTTAAAATTACTAAATTGATTAAATTTTGCAAATAAATTACATGAAATCATAAATGTATTTATATGTATTACACAGACAAACTTGCTTTTTCTTTTGTGGTATATATGTACTTTACCTGTTCTATTGAATAGTTGTCACCAAACTAGAAGAAAGACATTATAATCTCTTTAACTTGTGTTATAAACCATCATTTACTTTTTAGCACATTATAATCCAATTTTGAAACAAGAGAGTAATAATACTCTACCACTTGACATACACAACATTGTCAATACCCACCAACTCGACTTCTCACCGTCTATTAGTTGCCTAACTGTTAAGCAATTAGTCAAAATATATCGAAAAATACAATTAGCTAATCGACACAGTAATACTAATAAAAAAGCTTAGTTTTGGGATTAAGTGAAGATTCTTCTCCTAAAGACAGAACTAAAATCCAATCCAATTATTTTTCTCATTCCCCCTTTTATCTTATTCCAGCATATGTTAATGTTGTTTCATTGCTTTTTTTTTCCTCATTTTCTATAATACCAACAAAACCCAGAAAAAAACAAATTACCAACAACATTATTACTTGATGACATAATATTCCAAAATAAATAAAACACAAACAAACTTACCAGCAGCAATAGTGATATTACAAATCACGCCTTTGTTCTTCTTCTTCTTCCAAACAAATAAATGTAAAATTAATCTTGAAAATTCTTCAATTCTTTTTTTCCTGCTTAATTTGGAGCAACAACCATCAAACCAGATCACTGTTTATGAAGGACGAAAATGACTTCGCACACGCTACACCCTTTTTTGTCTTCTTTGAAAACCACGTCGTAATTTATTTTGCTACCTCGACGATGTAATGACAACCTTTATTGTATAACCGGTTGTATTTTTTTAAAAATTCGAAAAATTGATACTAGTAGAAGGAAAATCGGGAAAATATATTATTATTATATTTCGTAAATGATTTCAGGTAATCTTGGAAATTGCGCTTTCCGAAAATCTCGTTCAAAAAATAAGAAGGATTTAATGAAATTATGATGATGCGAAGAGTAGGAGAAGAGACAATGAAGAGGAGAAGAAGCAAAGAAAAGAAGAGAAGAGTTGAAATTGGTTGAACTGAAGGTATTTAAATAAGGAAGGATAACGGCGTTAATTAACGGAAATGTTGGCGTTACTTCTTTAAATTGAAAGAGAAATTGACGGTAGCCGTTAAAGTTGAGAAGGATTAAAATGTAATTTAATTTGATTTTTATTTTTTAAAAAAATAAAGAAAAATACTTAATTTGTTTAGGGAAATGAAGACAGATGGGCCAGGCCCAAGTTTTATAAAGGGAACAAAATGGGCCCAGTTTGGTAGTTCTGACGCAGAAGGTCTAAATATTAACTAGCGTGTGGGGTAAGTTTCCACGTGTTACTGTATTATTGGTTGTGATCGCCCCTGATTAAAATTAGCAAATTACGGCTTTTTTTTAAAATAAAAAAAATGGAATTCTTGATTAATTATGTGAATTAATTTGACAGGTGATGGAATAAGAACATTCTCATCATTTTATTTTTGTTTTTATACCTTTTTATTTAATTTGATTAGAATAATGGAGTATAATCATTTAGGAAGAAAGAGATATCATGTGATCATGATAAATCATGGCATTTGCTTGCAAAGGTTTATCATTGCAATTTTAGTTTAACAATTCAAATAATATATGGACCACAAATGTGTTAATTTTGATATGTTTGAGATAAATGAAAATATTAATTCAATAAATAAAAATGATTTAGGAATTAGGTGGGAGGCATTATGATATATAAATACTATTTATCTATGGAGTTAACAATGATTAGTTTAATGTGCAATTTGAAGCACTCAATTATGTAGATAAGATATAAACTAGTTAGATATAATACATTTGTTATTAATTGTAACAAAAATTGAAGAGAAATTTTTATATACTAAGCTAGCTAAGGTAATACAAAGATTGATTGAAAATACAATAAAACAAAACAAAAAAAAAAAAAAAAAAAAATTCGATAGTGTACATTGTACATACTAGCTAGTACGTAACATATTATTAATAATATCTAGCTATATCATCAAATTGAGAAAAATACCCTAATTAAATTCTATAGCTACACTTTATATGACTGGATTATTGCTAATGTATAATGTATTCAATAACATTGACCTAACACACAATTAAGCTTGTTATGGAGTTGTTACAAGATTTATTTATAAAATTAGTAGTCAACACCAAACAACAATCATTCCTTTGCATGATACTAAATATATATGTACCTACGACATGGCCCAATAGTCAAAGTAGCAATTACTATTTCTAAGAAAGGTAACCAGTTTCTTATAATTATCTTGTTTGTATTAGCTCATTCGACAAATTTCAAACATAGTGATACATATAAGGCTACATTCAAAACTCCACACTGATGTTAAATTAAGATCGCTCTTAATTTATTGATCTATCGCAGTAGCATATTCTTCACACGTTATCTCTTACCTTCACCTAATTTCTCCTTGTTTGGCCTACACCTCAATCATCTATTCACAATTCATATTGCTTGTCTACACATATATATATGCTAAGCTCCTAATGGTTAATTGTTGCTACCAATTGTATTGTACTATGTATTGACATATGGAGAATGTATATTTTTACTGGCTAATCCATTATCATTAAAAATTACAGTAGTTACTAAGTTGTGTCACTTGTGTGATGCATTAAAGGTTTATATATAGCTACTAGTCGTAGTGTACAAACTTGTAATGTATGCATTAATATAATGCATGTATCTCCAATAAATAAAATTTGAAAAATATTTAAAATTTATACAAAAATCCAAATGTAATTATTAATCTATCTTCACTTGAACAATCTTGTATATATCTCTTGACCTTAAACAAAACATAGCGCAGCCAAAGCTAGGTGTGTACTACTGTACAAGTACACAAGTTATTTATGGAAAAATTAAATACTGTACCAAAATACGAAATAATGAAAGAAATCCAAATTATTTAACAAATCAATCAATTTGAAAATTTGGTCAAATATAAATATTATGTCAATTGTCAAGGGCCTCAAGGCACCATGTCCTGTGATGATCTCTACTCTCTAGGCGTAAAATGGTGCATCAAATCAAGTTTGACAATGCAACAATATGTCAAAATCCCAAATTGAAAGGTTAAGAAGAAGATCTTCATTATTCCTTTGGATAAAAGATTCTCCCCAACAAATTACCACTAAATAAGCTGGCAAAAGAACCTCGGTTGTTACGTGACCTTGTCCTATTAATGCATGCATATACAATTAAATATACAGTGATATACTAGGTATAATTACTCGTATATATATTCCATATGTACAATATATTACTCCGTATCTAATTTACTTCGTATATATCGTGTATTTTTTTCTGTCTCACTTTAATTGTCACAATTCATATTATAACACATTTTAATTATGTAAACAAACCTATTTGATCATAAGTACAGTAGTACTCTAAGGGCAAACACTTTGAAAGTGAGGGAGAAGGATAAGAGAACCCCATACCACCTTCATAATGTTTCTAATGAGAATTAAACCACCAACCTCAAAATTTAATGTTACAATCTTTTCCATTAGGTTAAGTTTAGCTTGGTAATATGATAAGATAGTGCTACACATTTATAATCCCTATAATCCCTCCGTTTTTTTTTTAATATATATATATAACTTTGACTTCTGCACTATCACATACAAGTATTATGTTTGACTTAATTTTTACTATTATAAATAAATATATACTTTTTTTAAAGATAATAAATATTAGCCACAATATTCATTTTTATAATTTAATTTTGTTATAATTTTTAATACAAATTACTGTAATTGACAATTAAAAATATTTATGGTCAATGTTATGTCCTGACAAATATGTCAACGTTTAAACTGATGCATTTAAAAAAAAAACAAAAGGTTTACTCTTAATACGAGTAAGGTAAAATCCAAAATAGTTACAGTCCACAGACATACTGTATTTGTGATTTTTATTTTGGAGGAAATATTTTTGACACAAATATATTTGGAGGAAATTACATTTGCAGTAGTCATATAATCAAAACTGACGGCTGTGACGGGTGACTTAACATTACTAATCATAGACATACAGTTGTCTACATTTACTGCAGCAGTCACTCAGGAAGATGTAATGTGTTACTGTCTCTGGTCGGTATTTGTCACCCTTATTTATTTCTATAATTTCTACTCCGTAAATTATTTTAGTTACAATTACTGTCATCCATGTTATTTATTTGAGAATTTTTTATTTATTTTTTAATAAGAAATTGCACCTGGATTGGAGCTGAGGTATCATCAGTATATGGGACGTTACATGCAAGAATAGTAAAAGCACGTCATCTGTATTTTATATGGTACAAGTGTACAATCACATATTCAATGTCAGTTCTCAGTATTCCTTTATTTAAATTAAAGATTTAGATTTATGAGATAATTATAAATTTAAAAGGACGAATTATGAAATTAAGAGCATTCTTTCATTTAAATTAAAGATTTAGATTAATGAGATAATTATAAATTTATAAGGATGACTTATGTTTTTTGTGGCAGGGATTTGAGTTGAATATGGGTATGAAGTTTGATTGTCATATAGACTGATTAAAAAGCCCTAAGCAACTTATTGAAAATGACTTTATTTGATGAAATAAGTTTTTTGAATTACCTAATAACACTTTAATTAGTTTGTTTTAGTGGTCAATCAGCTAATATTGATCAAATAAACTAACATTGCCCTAATATATAAGCATTATTGTACTGAATTTAACCAAGCTTTGCTTGGTGGAGTTGGTGGGAGTAGAGGGATTCCCTTACCTCCCTCCTCTACTCTTAAACGTTGACATATGGAGTTGGGCTAATAAAATATGAGGTGTCGGTTCAGTAGGGTCCCTTTATCTTACCTTAAAAAAAAAAAAAAACCAAAACAAAACAAAATTATTGTATGGAATTGGCTATATTATCCCTAATAATCGAGTCAAATTACAATCTTTATATTTACACCTTTTCATTTTAATACAGTAACACGGAGTATAGATTTTGGTAATTTTTAGGAGGCAAGATGAAACCATCAACAAATTCTAAAAAGCTTTAAATTTATTCTTCTGATCTCCTGCCTCATGGGCTTTACCTGTGTCTGACTTAAAGCAACGAAGCATCTTCTCTTTCTCACTCTCATGTTCAAACCAAGAAAAGCGTTACTTTTTCTCCCCTTAATTAAAATGGACCCACTAATTAACTTCTTCTAAAACAAGAAAAGCATAGTCTTTGGTCCAACTAACAAAGGTACTAAGTAATCTTATTGTATGATTTTATAAACCTTAACAGTTTAATTGTAAGTTTGTAACTACGGATTTAAGGCCACATTTTTTAAGTTGAAATTTTTTAAAGCTTTAGTTTTACTCTTTTTGGCCCGTTCTCTAATCTCAATGTAGATTTGTTTAGGACTTAAGAGGCCCAATATCATGATCACCAACTTGTATTTGTCTCTCCAAGAAACTCTCAATAAATGTGTAAATTCGGTTCAAATAAGATTAATAAATCATTAAAAGTACAATGTATCATGTTTTTACATTTAGATTTTAGAACACTACATGCAAACAATATCTACATTGAGTCATCGACTACATGTATTTACATACGGAGTAGTATATTTTCATTCTACTTTGTATTATCATTTATGATAAGTTAAAAAACCTATATCTTAAAAAGTTTGAGATAATTCTCATTAACAGTGGTTGGACATTTATATCCTTTAAATTATTTATTTACTTATTTTATCTCATTAATACCGCCAATAACTAAATTTGCGATATAAGACCAAATAAAAGAGCTATCCGAATATGATTAGCTATGGTGCGCGCATTGCGTGCGTTAACCGCCTTTGTTTCAAAAAAAGAAATGGGTTTTTAAATTTATAATGTGTATCTTTCCTTTCCACAAAAAAAAAAAAAAAAAAAAGAAAAAAAAAAAGAAAAATGCATCAACAAGGTAGAAATGCACAAACCTATTATTTGTATTCTTAACTTTTTCTAAACTTTGCCTTTATAAGTGCTTAAGTGTTAAGAAGGCTAAAAGATCCTTCTTAAGTTTGTCTTTGGTTGATAACTTTGACTAAACTTTCTTTAAATTTTATTTTAAGTTCTTTTACTTATTTAAAATTTTAAAAATATATGCATGACGTTTATTTTGGTGGTGTGTGTTTGGAAGAACCCCTAAAATTTGAATTATTATGGTGGTATCCAAACTTTGATTATCCCAATCAAAGCAAATGTAGTTGGTGGAGTTTGTACTCATGACCTCAAAGTCACAAGGATGATACAATTACGATTCCTCAAAGGAGAGTACATATATTTCTTGAGGGAGAGTACTAGCTCCATAGTTTTTATGTATAGGTTGTAACTTGTAAGTATTTATTGTAACACAAAATCGATATATTTTGTAGTTGGAAACACTTTCACATCGCCTACTTGAAATACTACATACTACGTACAAAAAATTCTCCCGGTCTATTGATTGATCCGTGCGCTAATCATCCAACTAGTCACACATTAAGCAAAAGGGCATTCAACATATTGTCAAAAACTACTTTGAGAACTTTAACTTAACGTTAGGAATGTTGGGGTTTCATGGGGAACAAAATAAACATATATAAATATGCAACTTTATAAAGGTACGTAGTTTGACAAAAAGATATTGAGTGATCATGTCTTAAAGTAGAAATCTCAATCCCCAAGCCATTTTATTATGTTTCCTTGTTCCCAAGGTTGTTTTCTTTGCTTTGCTTCTTCAATGTGTTTTGTGCTTTGTCTTTGTTCGAGTAGTCTACAAAAGTATACTTATATACTTAAACTACTATCTTCACCCTTTTGTTTGCCCGTCCTATTGAGGTAAGGCAACATTTTTATATTTTGGTTGGGAAATTGGGACTTGAGAAAAATTGGTGAGAGGGAAAAGAAAGAAAGAAAGAAAGAATCGAGATAATTAAATTGAGGAAAAATGAATTCTCCGATCCTATAATAATTTGCATAATACTGAAAATTCAAATAAAAATTAAATTGAGATAAACATTAAGGAATGAAAGTTATACTTTAAGTACAAAAATATTCAAATGTCGTCAAAAGAAAAGATATGTGTACAATAAGAAGCTATACAAGAAAATTTTAGCTAGATATATAGATTGTGGTTAACATGTTGCATGCTTGCAGTATGTTGATTTGGTACATATGCTGATGCAAAACATTAAATAATAATATCTTTAATTATCTTGCATATGAAATACGTAATACCTCGCTGTAAATATAGTGGGATGACTCACAAGTGAATAACAAAAAATTTCGTACAATTCCTATGACGTGAATATTCTTACAAGAGTCGATTAAAAAAAAAAAATCATATAAGGAGTTGGACATCATGCCACAACATCCAATTTCTTGATTAAAGACCTGACTTAAAAGAGACCTACAATACAAGTTGAATTATTTTATGATACCATAAAAGCTCTTAGAAACAAATTCAATAGATATAGTTTCTTAAGTTACTTTCTTTTCCATTTTAGTATAATATGTTAATAAAACATATTATAAAATTATAAGAAAAAACTTCGTGAAATGTATACTTGTATTTTTTTGGGTGTTTTCACCCGGTTCATCGTTTAGGCTAATTCGAATTCGGAGATCAGTTCTGGATAGTTAGATTACAATCCTCTCTTAACTATTGTTGCAGGAATCAAATATGTGGTCCTTCCTAGTCCCTACCAAGTGCACAACAAATTGCCATTGCACCAACAGCCAAATGAACCAATTGGTTAGAGAGAGAGAGAGAGAGAGAGAGAGAGAGAGAGAGAGAGAGAGAGAGAGAGAGAGAGAGAGAGAGAGAGAGAGAGGTTTTCATTTGTGCACAGATTAGGCCCATCACAAACCCAACCAAACTATATACTCAAAAGCCATTTGTGCACAGATTAGGCCCATCACAAACCCAACCAAACTATATACTCAAAAGCCCAAACACACTGATTTCCATCAGATTTCAAAATTCTCTCTTAACTTCTCCCCTATATAAACGTTACCCGAGCTCCCGCCATTCATTTCACCATTCACACAAATCATCATCCAGAGAGAACTAGAGAGAGAATTATAGAGAGAGAGAGAGAGAGAGAGATGAGGAAGAGAGGAAGAGCAGCGACGAAGAAGACATCAGCAGCTGATTTCCTAGCATCACTACCAGAAGGAAATGCAGTGAACACTCGCAAGAAGTCTACCGAATTATCGCCGGAAAATTCCTTCGAATTCACGCTCAATTCTCCGCCGTCAAACTCTGGAACTCGCCGGAAATCGCCGCAACGTAAAATGGAGGCGTTGTCTTCAATATCGGAGCTGAAGGAAATGGTGTCGTCTCAATTGGACTCGATCAAGCGACAGGCTGATCGCTCTCACTCTGATATAATCAAGGAGGTCGAATCCACTAATTCTCGCCTTCACAAACGCTTGAAGGTATCTCTCTCAAATTTGTCTCTGAAATTTTTTCTTGAGGTTTCGGTTCGGTTGATATTTTACTGAATTTTGAATTGAAATATCTATTGATTTGAATGAAACACTAGAATTGTGTAAGCACTTAGCAGTTAGGTTAATTCGTTCGGAAATTAATTTTAGGTTAGCGCTGAATTTTGAATGTTAATAGATGTTGATTGCAATGAAATGCTGGAATCGTTCGATCTGTGCAAGAGATTAGGTTAATAATTGTGAATTTTGCATGTTTTGTCGATGCTGTTTGAGACTTGAGTTCGATGCGAAATTATTTAAACTATTAAGAGAGGATTAGTGTGAATTTGAACTATCAGCTTCTTAATTTCAATTAATTGCCTGAATTCTTGATTTGCTCAAATTAGCGATTAGGATGATATCCGACCGTTCTGTATGCATCTGTTATTTCCAGTGACTGGTATTTTTGTTATTGGCGAAGAAGTTAATAGTATTAATAGTGCCTTAAGTGTAATTTTGAACTATTAGGGCTTTTTGGACAAGCTAATTTTATGCCTATTGCTCTAGTATAGATTTTAGCCGCGAAAGGTAAAATGTCAATTCCGTGCTTTGGTCCTTGTAGTTGTGAAATTCTAGGTGTTTTTCATTGAATTTCTAACTCACTGAGAGTCTAAGAATTGGTTTTCTCTTACAGTACTTAGCTATGTTGATGTGAATTGAATGATAGAAATAATAGAATTCTACAATTTCAATTCATTATTAGCTCGCTTACCAGCTTTATATGTTTGCATTATTAGCTTTTATGAATGGGGTTAAGATTTGAGCATCTTGTCAATTTGCCATGTCTGTAGGTAGTTCAAATTTTCAAACTCTATGATTATGTACAGATTTAAATGCAAGATGAGGCAGAGGTCCTCAATATATTCTATACAAAGACTTTGTCTCTGATTACCTCGAAATCCAAATATCAATACGATTATGTGCCTCTAGATAAAGTAATGTATGTTTTCAATTATGACATTGAGATTAGCATGATTTACACTCCATCTATGACTAGTCGACTAGCATCAAAAAGTAAACTGTTTGAGACTTTGAGGCTCTATAAAGCTACAATGTTGATTTTGTGCTGTTTATTATTTCAACAGATTCAGGCTCAAGCATGTCAGCAACTCATGGATGAGACAGATAAGGAATTTAAGAAGATGTCTGAAAGGATTACTGAAAGCTGTGATGTGATGAAGGTATTACATTATTTTCTTATGCAGTAAGTGTTACTAACGTATTGGAAGATCAGTGTTTATATGATTGATGTCAATTGAGATTTTTTTTACCAACAGACTTCGTATAATGAGTTTATAGGGGACGCACAAACCACTGCAACTCGTGGTATGTTACTGACTTCTAATACATGTACTTAAGCGACATTTGTTATCTTTGTGATTGTCTTCCAACTTGTGCATGATCTGCTGATAAGAGTTTCCTGTGTATAAATAACAGTATAAAAGTGTAATTATTCTTATTTCTGCAATTTAACTTATTTCTCTCATCTTGATAATTGGTGTTTGGGGTAATTCTTACTTAGGTCTTAGACTTGGCCTCTGTTTGCTTGCTGTAGGTTATTCTCAGACATTTGTTATTTTTAAAACTATTTTTGATGTGGTTAAAATAAATTCTGCTAGAGGTTTTAAGGTTTTCAAATTTCTCCTGTTTGGGGGGTAGGTTATAAAAGATATTGTAGAGCTCTTGATCAGCAGCGCTTCATGTAAAGTGTTTTGCAATTCGACTTAGTCAATGGCAGTGTTAAAGTACTAGTGATACTGACTTTGTATCTGGCCACATGCGAAGGTGTTGCAGTTTAAATATATGATTAGCACAAGATTGAAAATTTGAACTGCCAAGTTTTTTCTTTTCTTTTCTTTTTTTTTTTTTTTGTTGGGGGGGGGGGGGTGGGTGGGTGTAGAATTCACTCTTTCCTCTACTTCATGTTCTTTAGACATAAAAAAGGCTCTCGATACCCTAATCAACTCAAACAGAAAAGGTTTGAAGAAGTCAGTTTAGCCAATTAGGCCCAATCTGCATGAGACCAATAGTATTACTGCAGTTAATGAGTGGGAATACCTTTCAGTGCAAAATATATGCTGAGAATGCAGTGCATTGAGCTCTTACCTTCTGTGAGCTTATAGATTTCACCATACCCTTTTGTTATTGTATGCAGTGTGTAAGACAACTATCCCTGAGAAAGCAGATTTTTATGAGAAAGCTATTAATTCTCTGCGGAACCGCCTTGGGATCTTTCCAGCAGCTTAAGTTGCTTTGTGCTGTATCCTGGTGACCTGGTAAGTAGAAACTAGTCAAATCACTGTCACTTAAGTATGCTGCTTATAATTTGGATAACTTGTGTGTGGATCATTTAGCATTTGCATGACTAAATGGTTCTTTGATCACCTTGTTGATTCTGTGTATCCATTCTCTATATTGATTTCTTAGCCTGGTATAGTACAATCACATTGCTAAGTTTTGAAAGATACCTTAGTTTCATATGATTGTTCCATATACGTTGCGTGCTGCCAATTTTAGGCTGTTTGCTTTTCATCCTTCAACTTAAATCAACTTTTCCTACAATGGTACCTTAGGCCTTTTTTAAAATAGTATCTTCGGTGGAATTTCAGGGACAAGCTGCTGCAATTCAGACAGTTTGGTGTCAGAAGTGTCGAGTGAGAAACTTATGTAGATGCCCTGGCCTACCTAGTCCTTAGTGTCGGTACAAAAGATTATAATCACGTAGAGAGCATTCCATTTTAGCAGGTAAATAGGTGAAAAACATAGTACTGCAGTAAGTTGTGAAGGAGAAACACATTCATGAGAAAGGGCTATAAGAAAACTAACACAAACTGAGGCTATCCTATATTTCTGGAGCGCTGTATCAGTGTTCTGTTAGTGTTACTTGACGTACGAATTATATTCTAATTCTTGCTTTGCTTTATTAGATTGCTTATTGTGCTGTTGTCTTGTCCTGGAACATAGAATAAAATTTCTCAAGCCATAGAAATACGGAGTAGCTTAGCAATCTTTGACATGTTATGCGTAATTTAAAGTCTGACAAGTTCTTATAGAAAACTTACTGTCTCAAATTGTTTGATCGTGTTATTGAGCTGATTGGATTGGACTACAACCCAATAATGTCAGCCCAAATATAGAAACCCAACCTTGAATAATTGGATTGGGCTCGGAATTTGCTTCCCAAACCCAATATTCTGGAATGAGCTTAGTCATTGTTAAGTTGTTATGCATTAAAGTCATTACAATGAGGAAATGAGCCCATCCTTAATACTGTACTGTAATTGAGGGGGCAGACATTAAGACAATAAGACAATTGATGATATTATGAGAAAGTTGTGCTTTCGAGTTTCCACAAACCTACACAGTCAAAAAGAAGCAAGTAAAAAAAAAATATTAAAGCTAGGGGAAACGATGATTTACGTAATTTGGTTACTTTTTAAGTATTTTTTGGCAACTTATTATAGAAATGTTCAACGACGATTCTAGCAATGTATGTGTATGTCCCTAGTTTCATGGTCTAACTAAATCTATTTTTCGTAATTTGTCAATGCCTCAAAGCGATTTTTGGAGCTGTAGTAACTAGTAATCCCATAAAATCTGGAATCACCAATGGGCATGGAACTTCTACGCTAATATTTATTTGGGTCCTTGCATTGACTTGTCAAGTATACTACTGTAATCTGAATGTATTAACTCTTAAACTTTTTTCATAGACAGCATTAAACATTTTTTTTATAGACTGCATTGACTTGTTTTTAAGTTAATAATATACCGAACAAGATGTGCTCAAAATACTCGGAAGGAATCACCATAGTTTCGGGCAAGGCCAGCTAATATCAGAAATATCTTAAAACTCTTGGCATGATATGGAACTTTAACTTCAATTTTAATTTACTTATTTTTTAGTTATGGTTTTTTGCACCATTTACGTATGATGATTGTATGATAATGCTGAGAAACATGTATTTTTTGTTAAATAATTAACCGAAATGAGATGCACTCAAAATAAGAAGCACCGTAGTTTATGGGCACAGCAAGGCAATTTTTAACTACTGTAGAAGTATATATATCTTCCATGTTGGCATGTTGCATTAATTAGCGTATGCTGCTAGATTCAGTTACACGTGTTGCAAAAAAATTGCTCAATAACCTTAACATAAACTAAATTACTTCATATATACTTGCTTCTTATGTAATTTCCTTTCAAAAGCTTTAAGATAGGAGATCAGAATAGTTGGCTAGCTCCGTCTTCCAAGCATTCATTAGCACTCGGCGATTCTTTTGTCATTTTCAGTATTATTATTCTTTTCCAAGTATGTATTGTAAATCAGCGTCATTTTATTCACCTTGGAATTAGTTGCCTTCCACTTGACCATAATCCATAATATATATAACGTTTTTATTCAATTTGTATTTTAATTCAATTCATGTTCATACAAATTGTTAAGAAAAAGAATTAATTTTATTAGTAAAACAACTAACACCAATTTACTTGCTTAAACCTTGAGCATCATCTTACTCTTATTGAGATTCTTCTTTTAAAAAATTTAGATAAGATATGACTGAGCTTAAACTCATCAGGATCATGTATACAATTGTATAAATGAAACTAATTTCAACCACTTTTTTTCGTTATAGAGATAGTTTAGCAACAGTTATGTTCAGGAACTTTGTGTTCCCATGATTAAGGATACAATTTGATTGTGATTGGCTCTTTTTCGTTGTGAGCGCCACTAGTCACGTCCATATTAAACTACTAAATTATTTTTTAAACAGCCTATAGTATTAAAGATGCATCAAGATTCACAATCATATGTACTAAGCTACCTAATTATAGTTTACACAGTCAAATAATTATGCCAACTGGACAATTGCGGAAGAACAGCTACTGTTAATTTCAAGAAAGTATATATCAAGTTTAGATGATCTAAATACATACACACAAAAATATTACACTATCAAATAATTTGTATTAAATTATTATATTTATATTGATATACTGATAAACAATTTAGACAGTTGCACAAGAATGACAGCTACTATTACAATAAACAATCACCATAATAATTATGCACTTGCAAGTATAAATGAAACCCATTTTCCCCAGAAACTGGAGTGCAGAAGCCTAAACAATTCCCATTATATCTCTTACTCTCCTAGTAAGGGGGCTTCAATCATTTAATCGAATAAAAGAGAGCATACAAAAGAAAAATAGAAAACAAAATAAAAGACATCAGTGTAAAATGTCTACTGATAATATCAATGGTGGTTGTGCTAGTGCTAGGAGCTTCACAGTACAGCTCCTAGCAGGGCGCTTCTTCATTGTATTTTCTACCCTCATGATCCTCGGCTTTATTGGTGCTGCCTATATCTTTGGTCTATACTCAGGTGACATAAAGACAAGCCTTGGGTACGACCAAACCACCCTTAATCTGCTTAGCTTCTTCAAAGACCTAGGCACTTATGTCAGTGTCCATGCCGGTCTCCTAATGGAGGTGGCTCCACCTTGGGTGGTCCTTTCAGTAGGTGGCGTGGTGAACTTTTTTGGCTACTTCATGATTTGGCTTGCAGTCACCAACAAGATCTCCCGCCCCCCAGTTTGGCTGATGTGCCTCTACATCACCATTGGTGCAAATTCTTTGGGGTTTGCCAACACTGGAGGGCTTGTGCCCTGTGTCCAAAACTTCCCTGAGAATCGAGGGGTTGTGATTGGGATCTTAAAGTCATATCTTGGAATAGGTGGGGCTATAATGACCCAATTCTACCATGCTTTGTATGGGGATAACTCTAACACTAGTGGGGTCATCTTGATCATCTCTTGGCTACCAGCAGCTGTTTCACTGCTCTTTGCGTTTAGTATTCGAGTCCTTGATGTTGCCGGAAGAAATATCAAAAGAGACAAGAAGTTCTTTAGCGACGTCCTTTGCATGTCTCTAGGTCTTGCTGGGTTCATCATGGTGATGATCATAGTACAAAAACAAGTTGAGTTCAGCAAAGCTAGTTATAGTGGAACCTTTGCTGTAATTATTGTTCTTCTCATTTTGCCTATCTTTCTAGTCTTCAGAGAAGAATATGCTATTTGGAAAAACAAGCTTGCTAATGCTTCCAATACCCTTACCGAGCTAAAAATTGTGCCTGAAAACCATATATCACCTGCAAAAAATCAAGCTATAGCAACGAATAGCTCTCCTGAACACGTAGAATCAGCTTGGAATAAAGATGTGTTCCGTCCTCCAGCTAAGGGGGAAAACCACTCCATCCTGCAGGCCACCTTTAGCGTCGACATGCAAATTCTGTTCCTTGCCACAATATGTGGGATAGGAGGGAATTTAACCACCATAGACAACTTAGGACAAATTGGGACTTCATTAGGATACCCAAAGAAAAGCATTAGTGCGTTCGTGTCATTAATTTCTATATGGCAGTTTCTTGGGCGTGTAATGGGAGGTCTCATCTCAGAGCGCTTGTTAGACAAATACAAGTGGCCTAGACCTGCCTGTCTTAGCATCGTTCTCTTCGTATCGTGCATTCCTCACCTTCTCATAGCCTTCAATGCGCCGTATGGCCTCTATGTGGCATCAGTCATCATGGGATTTTGCTTTGGTGCAGAGTGGACTTACCTCTTCACAATAATATCTGAGCTCTTTGGGCTCAAGCACTATGGTACTTTGTACAATTACGGCTCATTGGCCGCTCCACTAGGGTCTTTCATTTTCAACGTGAGAATCGCCGGACATTTGTATGACCGGGAGGGATTAAGACAACTCAAGGCGCTGGGCCTCACAAGGAAACATGGCGAGGAGCTGCATTGTTACGGAGTCAAGTGCTATCAATTGGCCTATTTAATAATCACCGCGGCTACATTCGTTACCGCTCTCGTGTCTCTGATTCTTGTGGCTAGAACTAGGAAATTCTACAAAGGGGATATATACAAGAGGTATCAAAAAAAGGATTCTGCCTCAACTAACGTGACATTGAGAGGGTATTCAGGGAAGGAAGATGATGAGATGAATTAATAGTTGTACCGCTTTTCATTTGTTATTATCTATACTTTTTATCCATTAAGTGGACTAATGTAGTAGTGATTGTATGTAAGTGTGCATTTTTAGTTCATTTTCAGACCAATTTTTTCAAATAAGCCATTCAACCATACGTAATAAAATTATACAGTATGTAATAAGTATTATAAGGAATTAAGGATTATTATTTATTTTTGCAATATTAGATTGGTTTATATTTTATCAACTTTAACAAATTAATCTGAGTTTTTGATGATCATAAATATATTAATGTCTATAAAGGTCGAATACTCAAATTTCTTTTACTTTGTATCGTATGCTGATTTTACCGACGTATTAGCTTAGTCATATAACCTTACTATTATTGACTACGGAGTACTAAAAAGCCAAAATATTACTTGTATATATATACTCTCCCAGTCCCTACCTTATATTAGCAAATCGGAAGATCTAACCTTGGTCAAACATCACACAGTATGGGTTGACTTCTCCCCATGAAAGACAAAGTAGAACGCGTATTAACAGCTTCATGTCTTAAGGCCTTAATTTAAGCAAATCTTAAGCAATGATTATTTTGATTATTATGCGGGTTAAGCAATGACCATTATGGCAAGTGATTATAAAGTTGGAAATATGCCTTGAAAATTGAAGTCAATTGCCACCTTAATGTCAAGATGCTAAAATAACCTTTTGATAACGTTTATAAATCGTATTGAAAAAAAAAAATTATTACTACTGGTTGTATAGTATCGGTTTTCTAACGACTGTCAATATATTTTTTAAACGATTTGCCTATGTATAAGTATGAAATGATTTTTTACATATTTAAATTGAAAATAAAAAGTATGGAAAGATTCTTTACGTATTTAAATTGAAAATAAAATGTAAGGCTCCGTTCACTTCACCTTATTTTTGTTGAAGTGAAATTATTTTTACTGAACTGAAATTATTTTTGCTGAACTTAAATTATTTTTACTGAACTGAAATTAATTTTACTGAACTGAAATTGCTGATTCTTTATTATATTTCTTCTTTATAGTTACTGATTTTTACTGAACTGAAATTATTTTTACTGAACTGAACTTATTTTTACTGAACTGAAATTATTTTTACTAAACTAAAATTATTTTTACTGAATATTATTTTTTTTAAGGTGAAGTGAACAGGGCTAAGTATAACAAGTGTCCATGAACTATTTAGTAAATGCTCATACCGAGTAAGTTTTATTTTTCTTATAACGTGGTAAACATGACTATGATAGGCTTTGAATTGATCACCTACTTGATACTATGCCCTCATAATTTTATACATTTAAAATGTAAATAGATTATGAGCAATTCAATGCTGTATCAATCATTCAATCCCAAGAGATCTGGAATATAGAATCATAATTGAGCATTAATAAAATCTTCAACTTGAATATTCTTGTGGTTTAGGCAACGAATTTTGAAGAATGATGATAGTCCAATAATATGACACGTATATTCATGTGAGTATTATATAGTATTAGCAACGATTTGCATTGAAATGGAAAGATTGTCATGGTATGGAGTTGCCGTTGTCATCAATATCACCATATTCAAAGTAATAATATTTAATTTCCAAGTTGCATACATATGTAATGTTGATTGTCACTCTTTTGATGGAGTTGACTTGACATAGTGAACTAGGGGTTACAAGACTTAGGCCCCGTTCACTTCACCTTAATTTTGTTGAACTGAAATTATTTTTACTGAACTGAAATTATTTTTACTGATTAAAACTGAACTTTACTGATTAAAACTGAATTTTACTGAACTTATTTTTACTGAAATTATTTTTACTGAACTGAACTAATTTTTACTGATTTAAATATTATTTTTTACTGATTTTATATATATATATATATATATATATATATTAGGTAAAATAATCTTTTTTTGTAATTTATATAGTTGGCATATATAATGATAATATATTATGCCAACCATATAAATTTACATAATATCGTATATAAAAATGGTTGGCCTATATATTATGGGAATATGTATTTGATATACTTGTATATGATATTAGGTTTAGGGATACTGTCTTTCGTTGCCTAACTTTACCGCCAAACATACCAAAACAATAAAACTAATAATAATAAGAATAAAATCATAACTTTATTATAATCATAAATTATTACAAGGATTGCTTCTTATTGCATATGACTATTTAAGTTTATTATTCAACGTCTATATGATGATCTTCTTCCTCGATGTCCCTAACTGATTGCCAAATATGTTCTGCTATCTGATTTTGTACTATATCCATCTGAGCTTTCCTATCTTCATCAAATATGGAGTATTCCACTCTAGGTTCAACATTTGCACATCTTTCTGAAATTGGTATCCCTAAAGTGTACAATCGGATAAAATTATGAAGAGTAAATGTTGATAAGATGATTGATAATTGATATGTTTGAGACATTTGTGGCATGTTTTTCAAAATTTTCCATTGCCCCTTAACGTTGCCAAAACACCTTTCAATTGTAGTACGCAATGAAGAATGACGATAGTTGTAATGTTCCAGCATTCCTCGAGGTGGAGGACCATTGTGAAATTCCGGCATATGATAACTTGTCTGCTTGTCTTTAATTGGACTCAAATAACCGAGTGTGTTAGGATAACCTAAATCCACTAAATAATATTTTCTTGATAAGAAAATAAAAATTTTATTAGAATAAATTATCCTGCTAAAAGAAAATAATATTAAAGAATTACCTACCTAGAGGAGGGTGTGGAAATTCAAATTTAGGATCAGTTACCATTATATCATGAGCACTTCCTTGATATCCAACATTGACAAATGTGAATAACCTATTAAAAGAGCATGAGGCTAGTACATTCCAAGTTTTAGTTCCTTTACGTCCTCGAAATGGTTGACCATCACCATCAGACACAACTGCACTAATATGAGTTCCATCTAAAGCACCAACACAATCCTAACACATGAAAATTAAATTTTTTATTATTAAATTATGCTTTTATAAATGCATTTATATGAAAATTAAATAACATACTAACCTTAAAAAAAAGGCCAATATAATGAGTTTTCTTGTACTTCTGGTGGTGTATTGGCCAAATCTTGATAAGGACGAATTAAATCACATGACAATCTTGTCAATGCTTGCAACACCCTTCTAAAATATTTGCTTATTGTTGATATTGAGTGCTTAAATGTGTCAGCAGCTTAGCGTTGATATGCCCCCTCTTGCCAATATAAATAGACCAATTCTTACTTGTCCATCCACTTTTACAAACCTTTCGTCCGATAATAAATTTTTTTCTACCATCAATTGGACTAGTCGCACAAACATATCCCTATCCAATCTTAGCTGCTCTTTAAACAAACCAGGATGAACTGTTAACAACCTTGTTATATATGCTGATCCACTTTCACCCTCGATCCTTAAAGGTAAGTGATGAATTGGGGTAAGGAGTCTCAACAATTCATATAGTACCAACAAACAGTATGCATTTCTGAAGCAACTCATTGTCCATTCTACAATATAAAAGCAACAACAAGAAGTGAGATCTCAAATTTAAACAAAAAATATAAAAAAATAAATAAATAAAAAATATTAAGATATAACCTTCAATATGTAGATGATTACAAAAAGTATTGTATATTTTTATGATTGTCCAATTCGTCCCACCAAGTAGTATATATATATAAGCAAAACTACATGCAATACAAGGTATTATTTGTTTTACCATATATATGGAGTACAAAGAACGCAAAGGAAAGAGATTGATTTGGCCATATCTTTTTCAATATCTCGTATATATCATATATCTTTACCAAAAAAAAAAAAATTGCATATATAACTTGTCAGAAAAAAAAAGAAAAAAGTTGCGTATATAACGTTTTCCTCATTTTTTTTTAACAAATAACGTTTTCCTCAAATACATATATGGTAAAACTAACAAAGTATTTACCAAAATAACGAACTACAATTTATATCAATAAGATATATTATTAAATATATGTAATTTTTTTTGAGAAAAGTTAAATATATGTAAATAAATGTTGTATTTAGGAATGTTAATATTTTGTTCCTTAATGTGGATAATAACAAAGTTTCTATTAAGTGCCCTTGAAATAAGCATGCAGCAGATCTTCATTAGCTAATGGCCTCTTCAAGAATTGTATGGGTCTTCCTTTATGTTTTTGTATAACAAAATAATTACATTAACTAAAATTACTACCATACATCATTAACATAATTTGAATAATAGATGACAAAAAACAAAGTTTAATACCTTAACAAATGCAGCCCACCTATCATCTTGTTTGATGAGAGGGCAGCCAGTCACTGCATCAAAAGCAAGACCCGTCCAACGAACCAGCATCCGTCTTCAATTCATACCAAGCTATATATTTTCCTTTCAAATCTGCAAAATGATTTTGCAGAGGTTTTTCAGAAAAATTTTGTCCAGTTTGCGCATTCAAATTACGCACAAATTTTTTCCAATCTAACTTTGAGTTTCCATCTAATTTGTGTTGGAGAGAATCTCCAAAAATTTTCTAGTAGTGTCATTGATGAATTTGGTTCTCGAACCCATGAAGATTTGAAAGCTACAAGCTCGACTTGGATGAAATAGAGCTATGAAACAGAGGTTTTTATAGGCACTATAGAGTACTATAAAGATACTTTGACATATAATTTATGATCTTTATTTTTCCAAAAAAGAAAAGAATTGTACAATATTGTGAAATCTTACACACAATATGTTAACCATATATATGTACTCAATTTAGGAATTTACTTTCAAAATAAAATAAATATCTTAAACAATCCTTTTTAAACAAAAATTTATATTTTTGTTTAATAATTAATTACATTTGTTTTTCTTTTGATGCAAATAATTAATTACATTTGTTGAACATAAAATTAAACATTCTACAATTTATTAAATAAAAGTCAAACACACTGACACTATTATGATATATATATGAGACTATTAAAATATATAGTTGATCGTTAAAATAGTTTCGAAAGCAGCGAGTTGGAGTTAACGATCTCAAACCCAAAGACTTTAGCACTATTTATGACATGCATGAAAAAAAATCTTGTTAATTAAATTTTTTGGTTTGAATTGTCAGTCAATTTTTTACTACGTATACGTTGGTTAACTGCATGGAATTTACAAATAATTATAGCAAATATTGGTAGATTGATTGATTATTGATCATATCAAGGCATGTGATATTTAAGCAAAAAAAATATAACGACATATTGGTAGTATTGTATAGATCATGTATATATAATCATATATGAATATCATATTTCAATATCTTATTGAATTTATTGTAAATGATTAGGTATGCTATTACGATGAATTTTGTTACCCTTTTATATATAAAATATAGTACTTGTATTTACCAAATATCACCGACTACAATATCAATAAGACATAATATTTTATACTTGATAAAAACAAAGATATTATATTTTATAACTATACAATATGTGATAAAAGTGTAGACAAAAGTGATGCATAAAAAAATATATGTGAAGTATTAAAAAAAATCTTGTACGACAATATTTTGCAATATGGAAAAAATAATTTACATAAAAAAACCTAGTAAAAAAAAGCATCAAAGTACATGAACTTAAATTAATTTAGCTGAAATTATTTTTGCTGAGCTTAAATTATTTTTACTGAACTGAAATTATTTTTGCTGAACTGAAATTATTTTTATTGAATTGAAATTATTTTTACTGAACTTAAATTATTTTTACTGATTAAAACTGATTTTTACTGAGCTGAAATTATTTTTACTTAATATTATTTTTTAAAGGTGAAGTGAACAGGGCCTTACAATAGTGATAACTGTATCACTCCTTTATTGCAAAACTATGGAGTAATGTTTACCCATTGTCGTCATTGTTATGTATTAATTACGTGATACCACTAAATAAATAAACTGTTAAGATATGCTACTTAGACTCGGCTATAAGTGTATAACATGATACATGAGTATGTATTCAAGTGTCAAACATATATGAAAATTAAAGGTAGTAGCAAACTAGCAACTGATAGCACAATAATATACACTTTTTATATGTCATATTTATATGATATTTGTCATGCTTTCTCCGTCCTTACATTTAATTATTTGAGCATCAATTTATATATATATTTCGATTATTGCTCTCCTCGGGTTCTTTTTCTTTTTTATGTAGGAATAACCTATTATGTGAGTTGAGCTACCTATTGGAGATGTTCTTATGCGACAAAGAGAAGGAAATTACACAAGGACAACCTACTCCACAACCGAGGTGTGGCATACTACCTTTTCCACAGCCTACCCGCGGATAGTACACTAAAGAGAAGAAGAAGAGTGGCAAGTGCAGCCCACTCCACAGCCCGCCTGTGGCCAGCAGAGGTGTGCCATAACCAGGTTGTGGCTTGCTCGTGATTGACACTTTGTACACGAAGTTGGGCTCGTTTTGGCTGATTTTTCGGGAGTTCTAATTGTATTCAACTTCTCCAATATTATCTTTGCTTACATATATCTAGTTATTAGGGATAATAAAGGGGGGTATCCGCATGATACAAAACTAGGAGTAGCAACCCCATATAACTAGTTAGTTGTTCTTTTTATTGTTTCTTTTTTGCTTAATTCTCTTTTATTTATTATGGGTTTCTAGTCTTATTTTCGAGATTTAAGTTGAACCCTAATATGATTAATACTTGATTTATTCTTTTAAATTCTCAATTAATTATTTATATTGTTCATGCTTGATTGATTGTGCTTATGCCAATACTAGATTAGGGATAATTGGTATTGTTATTATTCCATTGTCTTGATCGCAACGGGAGTTGGGTTTTGACGGATTTGAATAGATCAATTAAGGGTATTAAATTCTCCACGGAAGTAGGTAGAATGGATTGTTAGGAAGTTAGGGTGCCGGATTTAATGTCTTTAATTTACATGATTCCACGGAAGCAGGTTTGATTGTTAATTAGGGAAGTCATTGACAATTCAGGAGAGATCTTTGGTATTTTATAGGGCGTACCTTTCCTTGTGAACATATAATTAATTGGTTGGGGTAGGAATTTGTCTTGTATTGATTATGCTAGTGGTGATACTTAATTTTAGATGGTTTTATTATTCGATTTTCTTGCTTTAGTAGTATAATATTTTCAACCTTATTTTGATTGACTCAACTAGTTATAATTCATAGCAACTCAATATTGATACTACCTTCTCTGTGGGATCGACCCTGACTTACCCTACTACATATTAGGAGGATAGTTAGGCTTTTATTATTTTTGTTAGGTGAGCGACCGCATATTAGCAACCTAGCAAAGTTTTTTGCGAAGCGAAACGTATTAGCGTTATATCTGTTCAGAGTGTCAAGTATCTAACACAAGTACTAGGAAAAATAAAGAGTCAGATTCATAATATCAAATTGAGATGCATTTGTAATTGAGATGCATTTGTAATTCAAGTTTTTTGCAATTCAAGTTTTTTGTACTCGATAAATATCAAATTGAGATGCATTTGTAATTCAAGTTTTTTGTAATTGCGTCTAAATTCATAATACGAAGTATTACTTTATCAGTGGTGTTATAACTGATGTTCACTCTAGAATTCTTTCAGGGGCAGTTGTGATCAAAGCCTTTGTGCTCCCGTAAACAAAAATATAAATATATAATACAATTATATTATGAGTTGGTCTCTTACGTTATGAGCGTCAAAATTTACAACCAAATTAAACTAACAAATTATATTGTTGATAGTCAATTAGTGATGCCAACTTGACAATTGCAGAAAATCTACTACTGGAAGATTTGATAAGAAAAAAACACACACACACACAAAAAACCACCACTATCAACCGGAAAATTTCTGGTATACTTATTGTAGCAAGTGGCACAACGGTCCTCTCACAAAGTAGTTGCTCAAGAATCATGCACAGAGTCACTACAACTCTTCAATTATCCCAATGCCATCAGTGTACACACTTTTTTCTCATACATTAGATCTTGTTCTTTTGAGCTTTGGGCAGAGAACAGAGCAACTCTAAAGAACAGGGCATCTATCCACATCTACACCTAACTACCAACTGTACCAAATTCAAAGTAACAGACAAAATAATTTTATTCTCTTACCTCGTATATTATTACGAAATATGAATATATTTTAATATATTTAACTATAATACTTTAAATAAAATAAGATTAGATAAAATAAGTTCAAAAACGCGTTATTTTCAAACATGTAAATTATAAAGGACAAATGAAAAAAAAACGTGAAAGTTGCATCAAATTTTTTGACAAAAAATCTACGGAGTACAAGAGAGAAAAGAGTTAGTGGGCCTAAAATAGCTCCAAAGATAAGATAAAGGTGACAAGGGATTATCAAAGACCACAATCATAATCCATAACTAATTAGCTATTCATGATTATAAATGTTAATTAAGAATTTAAGAGCCCGTTGTTAATTGGACCCAGTCCAAACTCTCAAGTTTTTTGTTTCATCCGAATTCAACTCCCGCTTGCCATCACACAAAACCCAGGTAAACACAAAAAAAAGGGAAGAACTTGATTTTGGAGGTGAACTTTGCTTTGATTTTCATCTGCAATTTGAATGGTATCTTACTATGTTTTTACTTATCAACTTGTAAACTTCATGTTGTATTTGATTTTCTCATTGTTTTTGTATTTTCTCAGTGTTTGTATGGTATGATTTAAGCTCATTTTACACTAGTCTTATCTGGGATTGATGAAGAATAACTAGAGGTTTTCTGGGTATTTATTTAATTTTAAGTTTCATAACCCCATTGTTGTATTATACAGTAGAATTTCAATCATCATAATATAAGTTATATAACTATGTTTTCCATGTTTGTACCTTGTTATATGATGAGCATTTGTATGAAATTTCATTCAGTTTTGAGGGTTTTGATTAGACCCCTATTTTAGTGAATAACCATTTTATCAATTTATGAGTAAGTTATAATCAGCTGGGTATTCTATAATTATTATAACTAAAATTTGATGATATGCGTTTTACATGCAAATTTTAAGAGGGGTGGAGATGGGGTGTCTTATCCCCACATTGATCCAACATCAGCCGTGTGAGACTATGAGTGCGGTCTCGAGTTCAGCATTTTGCTGTTTGTTCCAACAATTTCTCTTTTATTTCATGCCTAGACGAGGACACCGGGAGATTTCTACGAGTGTTATTACTTAACCTTCTCTTTACCCTGCCTTGGGTGGGAGCCTTGTTAGAGGCACTTTTTTCTTGGTATTGTTAATGGTTATTGCTTGTGCACATTGATAAGTTCATTTGCGTACACTAGGGTTTAAACGTGAATAAGACATTCTAGTGTGTAGAGTGTAACCAATTGCGGGGGGTTGTAAAGTGAGTTGTCTTATGTGGGTGTATTGGGCAGAAACCTAAATGATGTGATTTAGAGCAATCACAAACTTCCGTTGGAGGATGACTTAAAGTTTGATTTCCATGCAATGACAATGGCTATACAATCATGAAATGATGATGGCAATGGCACTGCAAACCATGGTATAGTTTGGTTCAAGTTGGAAGTTTGCCTTCTGATGCGTCCTGGTTTTTTTTTTTCCATAAATGCTGACATTTTGGTTAGTGGTTAGGCATTTAAATGATGTTACATAGTTTGTGTTTTTATATATATTGCTATGAGATTCTTAACTAGTATAGCCAGTAGAGTGACATAGGCATTAATATGATATTTATCTACATTCTCAGGTCCTAATGATAATAAAAGGGCTCTTCAGGAGGTATGAGAGATGGAATCCTGTGCATCCAACCCATGGAGCCTTTTGGGGAATGGGAGTAGGGATTGGTTGCGGTGTGGGTTGGGGTCCTGGTTTTGGACCTGAGGTGATTGGATATGTCGGTTCCGGATGTGGTATTGGATTTAGTGTCGGTATTACTCTAGTTGGTTTTGGCATTGGCCTTCCTGTATATACTCTCAACAATGCTCCTAAAGGTAACATCATTGTTGATTACTCAACTGTTTTGTGCATTAGAATTACCCATCCTACAACTAAAATTCATTTACACCTTCATTTTAAAGGGGAAATATTGCTACCTAGGATTATTCAACTTTCATCAGAGCCGTAATTCTCTTTTGTTTACATTTACATATGAGGGCAGGCTTGATGATAGATAACAGAACGTGAAGTCACTACAGTTTCAAAGAGTTGGCAAGGGAGTTGATGTACATGTTGAATTTCATCTGAGTTCTTGATATAGATGGCCTTTGCAAGAATTTCAAGTTGTCTTGAAGCATAATTATGGCATGTTGCCACTTGCCACACTAGTGAAATTCTCCTTTTTAAGGGTAATATGCCATGGATCTGGAGGGTGATGCTGGATAGGTTGACTATATTAGCAGAACAGGAATAGGAGTTAGGGATGAAGATAAAAAAAGAGCAACTTGTTATATTTATTATGAGATTATCATGCAAAGACACAGATTTAGGTTAAAAGATTATGACTAAGCAAAGTTTGCTGGAAAAATCTCATACATGTCCATTCTCATGTCTATGTTTTAATACATAAATCAACTTTCAATGGTTAGAAGAATTTGCCATTATCAAGAGAGCAAGTTTACAATAGCATTTAGATGAGACATTATTAATTATTTGTCTCTTATAAAGAACACTGGCCTATTCAACTCTGCCTCAAATGCATTTTTAGTGGTTCTGATGATTGCAGAATGTAACATAATTGGCAAAACGCCGTATTTAGTTTCCTTTGTTTTCTGGTCATGGTGACATTAGCCATATTGCTGATTTTGTACCTCTATATATATACTTTCTCTTCTATTACGATTTCTTTGATTGCTTAATTTTAAGAGTAAACTTCATTTTAATCTGCTAAGAGGCTGATTTTTTTGGTTGTGAGGAGTTAATGATAGATTTTTCATTGTCTTAGCTAGCCTTACTGTTTACAGATCTGATGCTCTCAACTTATGCCTTCTCTTTTATTCTCATTTTGGCTGATTGCTGGAGCTTACATCTTAAATTTTTAGCTTGCATTTTTGATTGGGAGGCTATGTTTTCAGTTTTAATAGCCACAAGAAGCAATGCTTGGGACATTCCATCTCAGTTTCGGAGATTGCAACAGAAGGCAAATGACAGCTTTTCATTATTGAAGGACTTAGATATATTGAAAGGGACAGATAAATTCGATGTCGAAAATGCAATATCTTCACAGAGAAAGACTATTTCTGAAAGTTCTGAAGTATTGAAGAAAAAAAATTCTGAATCTGGTAAAGGTAAGCATTATAAATACATGTTTTTGAGTATTGGATTAATGGAAGGTTGTTCTTTACATAAATACATGTTTTTGAGTATTGGATTATAAATACAGCTTTTATAGGTCTAATAAATTGTACAATGTACATAGATTCTGTGTCTCCTCTCTGTCTTATAAAATCATGTTTCACTTATCACAAAATTTATTCTTCGTGTAGCATACCAAAACTTGTTGGTGCTTTCTTTTCTGGATTTGACATATCTTGTTTAGTTGCTGGTGAACTAGGTGAAGATTCCAAGTTTATTAGCCAAATATCTGAGTTTATGCTGTCACTGTACAACTCTTGTGTTATGAAAGTTGATGCTCATGATAGAAGCAATTATTTGATGATTATGGGCCTTATGGCTTATTAGCTGTCACTAATTTTGTCTTTGATTTTACAGAATTGTGATATTATTACTCTTTGACATGCAGATATCAAAGATTGATACTAGTGAGGTTAGACCATGGCATGCAAAAGCTACATATGAAGAACATATTGCGCTTTTGGCATCATCTTCGTAGGTTTGAGTACGGAAAATCCACATCGTAAATCAGGGTCATCAGGTCTGACATGCTGATATCAAGGACGGAGCTTTGTGAAGCTGAGCTATGGACCTACGGTGAAGCAAAAACTAATATGAAGAGCATATTGAGATTTTGGGATTACCTTCAGAATTTTAGTATGACATACACAGCTACATTGTGGATCATGTCCATTATATCACCTCCAATTCCAGTATTCAAATTCTTGGTATTCATGTGTGATAATGTAGAGCTGAAGTTTCTCTTTTGACAGTTTCATGTAATTTACAAGTATTGCTGTTGCTGTCAATAGAGAGAGGGAGACTGTACAATTCCCATTGGCCATTTTGATAAATGACACCAGTATGTAGGATCTAGCAATTTTCCAACCTCTTGAATTTATGTGGTACAGCTGTAAAGAACTAAAGAACCTTTGAGCAGCCTCGTAGCAAGCAGCAGTTGAAGAGGTTATGGGCCATAATTTGAAGGTGCGTTCATAGCCAGCAGTATCAATAGATGATTTAGTATTTGCTGACATCTAATGATGGGCACTCATGACCACTGAGAAGACTGAACTCTTGGAGGGCCATAGCCTGGTGGTAGTGGTATCATGGAAAGCAGTCACGAGGTAATACCCTGACTTTTCTCTCTCAAAAAGAAAGGTAATGCCCTACTTCAGGCTCGAACTTGACTTGGGTAATACGGAGTACCATAATAGCCCTTGAGAAACTCACTCCAAGAACGTCATAACCGCACAAAAACTTAAGGGGGGAATCAAGGATCTTTCTTTCCTGTCCTAAAGTCCCAAAGTCTGACAGCGATTTTTTGGTACCAGATGCTGCGGAAGGTCAGTATCAGGGTGGGAAAAAATGACATAGATAATAGATTTCCTTGTTTATCCCCACCGTGCTATAACAATTGATCCAATATGGATGCCCCACAGGCCACAACCTCTAGGTTCGTCAAAGCTAGCTGTGTCCAAGTGTTTACTGAAAGATGCAAGGCGATGCGAGCAAGGCAGTTGTCATAGCAATGTCACTAAGAAAAGGCCACAACTTTGGCAAACGTTGTGTTCCTTCGACATTTTTTACCTGTTCACCACCTAAATCTGATAACTGCTCTTGACACTAGCAGTATATATTAGTTGGTACATAGCAGGGCGAGTTTAGGGTCTCCCTCATACGACCCCCAAAATTCCAATTAATATTGAAGTGCCACTTTCTACTCCAGCACCTTGGTGAAATGAAGCTCATATGATTTCATGAACTTGGATTATAATTGAACTTACAAACTCTTAAAAAAAGTTTATAAAATTTTCACACCCTCTACTTCATAGTTCGTACACTTCTTCTATGTGAATGTGACCGATGAGATAATAGCAGGATTTGAGTTTGAATTCAATGTTCTACAACTTTATGCTACAAAATTGCACCATATATGTCATATGAATATTTGCCAACTTGGGGACAACTCTACTAGTCATTGTTAGTCCCCAAGTGTTTTTTCCGACTTTAATGTGTGATGTTAGATATTTTTGGACTTATTCTATTCACCTTATTTTCACTTATTTCAAGTCTAATAAGTTCAAATAAGTTTATTTAGGTTCGGATAAGTTAAGTTAGGAAAAATAAGTTTTGATAAGGGTTACTCAAGAACAAAATACAACTGATAATAAGTTCAGATTAGTGAAAATTAGACACTGCATATAAATTTTTTTCTTGTCTACATCACTCTCCTTCGTGGTCCAGCCATTCTTTTGACCCGCTAAGTCGCTAACAAAAAAGAGTACGGGAACGGGACACACCTAAAAGCTTCCCATATACGAGTACGTGATGTAATTGAAGGAGCATCAATAATGAATTGCTTCATGGCGTGGAAACCCAGCGTTGATCCGCGCCTGGCGTTATGAATCTGCGCCTTTTCTTCTTGTTGTTATTTTATTCCCCCATTAATTTAACACAATTTTGAAGAACAAATCCACCCAATTATACTTCAACTTTTCCCCTAAATAAAATATAACACCAACTGAAAACAAGTGACATTCTTTCTAAAAAATCTCCTTTTTTTCTCAATTTTCAAACCCAGAAAATCATTACTTACTCTCACTCAACTCTCATACATACACAGTTACACACTAGATTTCTCTTTCATGTCCTTTTGATTTATGCCCGATTAAAGTTTTTTTTTTTTTTTTGGAGCCATGAGTCTCTTCGGTCTTGGCAGGTTAGTTTTAATTTTTATTTTAGTTTCTTTAATTGGATAGTTTGAGCATATATTAGTGATTTTATGAACTGGGTTGGTATTAATTTCTTGTGGGATGAGATTTTTTTTGATGTTGAATTGTATTAAGATCTGTTTTTGTTGGGCTTGTTTCTGGGTTTTGAATGAGTCAATCAGTTTTATGTTGAATTTTGTGGGGTTAATCATCTGGGTTTCTGGCAAGAACAAGATCGAAGGTGTATAAATTTCAATGTTACTTGCATGCAGATTGCAGAATTTTATTAGAATGTTTAAAATATAGGATGTTTTGTAACAAATGATGGTAATTTGGTATTAATAATTTAGCAATGTGTGCAAACCATATTTACAGTATGAAAGTGCAGAATTTTTATTGTTAGAATGTTTATATAGTATGTTTTGTATCAAATTCTGTCTTTTGATAGCATGATTGTAGCAATTTGTGCAAACAATTACTAGAGATATGATTAGCTTAGGGCAGATGTAACACTAACACCCATTGTGAATTTTCTTTATGGTGGATTATTGGGAAATTAAGGTGTACCTAGCATGACCTTGCCTTAGGTAGTACTCCGTAAGAAAGTTTGTTGGGTGAAGATTAAGATTTAGTGGGTTCCTTTATACTTGTGTTCTCACTGCAATGCTTGTTCTAAAGGGAAGGACCAAAGGATACTTTGATGTGGGAGCATCCTTCCCTAATTTTGGACTTAGGATAATTTCAACTCCACCTTATGCTCTTGAGTTGGAGGCTATAATAGCTTATTTGTTATGGGTTGATCCCTTTTCCATGCTTTCCGTCTCATGAGTTTAGTTCAGTTCTTGTGGTTTGAATGAGCTCTTGGAGAATTTAAAGGATTTAATAGGCTTTGGGGATGGATAAGGCTGGAAAACAAATTAAAATTTTGTACGGGTGGTTGTGTTATTATTCAAGTGCAAAGACATTGTGGAAAGAAGCAGAATCAATGTTGCCCATGGGCATTTGTGCTATGTACACAATCGTTTGTGGCATTAGGATGCAAGCACCTCAAATTATAGCTTGTCACAGGCACCCTGCACCGGTGCAAAGGTGCATGCGTGCACGGCTAATTTGATGCTCAATTTCTCAAAGTATTTGACCATAGTCCTATATTCTTCTTTAAAATTATAGTCCTATATGTTTATTTTGTAAAGAATGGCTAAGGATTGTCTTCAAGACTTAAACTCTTAATTAGGGTTAAATTAGTGTTTGAGCCTCTTAAACTCTTAATCAAGATGAAGGTTGTATTTGGCCCATTTTGATGAATAATATTGAAATGACTCTTATGTCTAGTCTATTTGGCCTGATATCCTTTGTGGATCACTTGATCTTTTCTTTCTAGGCTTTGTGACTTCTTTTTGCTCACCTTATCTCGACTTATTTTATAGGGTTAATATATTCATATAAGCTCTGATAAGATAAATTTTAAGGGATTTAGGTTTAATAAGGAGTGCCCAAGCTTAAGTTACATCTAAAATAAGTTTGCTTTGGTTACTCAAGTGAATAGAATGCACCTCAGTGTTTGATTGTTTGTGTTAGTTTATGTGCTGTGAATTTGTGATTGCTTTATATGCCCAAAATCAAGTGAATAGAATGCACTTCATTATCACTTCGATCGTCTCCTATCTTTATTTTGGCTGATTGAATACATAACTTATGTTACATGGACTCGGGAACGGGTGTCGGACACGGACACATGTCCAAGTGTCCGATCCGGCAAGTTCTAAATTTTTAGGACACGGGACTGTCCGATATTTGGACACGGGTATGGGAACACGTCAATACGTAACTTAAATTTATGTAAATAACTTATATATTACAAAAGTTTTAAATTTTTCATTACGTCCACCCTTATATTTTTAATTTTAATTCTTTCCTCAGTAATTTCTCCTCATAAATGGCAATCTTCTTCTCTCCATCTTCTCTATATCAATGGTGGTCTTCGAACAAGATGTGTTTTTCTTTCATGTTTTCCTCTTTTTTTCCTCTCCACTTTTGATGGAAGCGTCCGAGTGCACATTGAAGGGTTGGACACGTGTCCCGTGTCCGTGTCGTGTCGACACGAACACTTTGCAATTTTAGCCGTGTCCGATTAACATAGTACATAACTCATAAACTCCTTTATCCTCCCACGAAATCAAATACATCCCCAACACAATCTACGACTTAACTTGGAGAATTTGGTTCAAAATTGTTAGAAATCCATAAGGGCACTAAGATGCATTTATTAACAAAAGGGAAAGTTCTCGCTGGAAAAAAATAAAAGCCTTTTCTCTCTCTCTCTTTCACACACACACACACAAGATTGTTAATGCAAGGCATATATTTTAATTTTATTTCCTATTTTATTCGATGGGATCTTTATAGAAATATTGTATTAGAATCTTATTCCTTCAGCCCCACACTAGTTCGAACACTTAACACTACATGGAGATTTAGAAATATAAGTTGTAATAGAGTTATCTACCGTCATTTATTTAAAAAAAGATGCTCATTGTACATGACACACAAGATTGTACTCACACTAGGATTGTTTCCTATTTTAGTTGATGAAGCCATTATGGAATACAATATATTAGAATCTTATTTCCTTTCCCCCCTCATTAGTATGAACACCTTATCACTCTTAGAGTCTTAGGAGTTTAGTTATTATTGTGCTATTTTATTGGTATTTACAACAAAATACTCCGTAGTTGTGGTGGGCAGGGGTGATAATTGAGCAGAGCAACTCGTGAGCACCTCGAACTCAACTCGGTCAACGCTCGGTCAAAACTCGATTGAGTTGGCTCGTACTCGCTCGAATCAGCTCGAAACTCGATAAGTGTACAAGAAATTCAATACTTTTCATTCTTCTGTCTTTAAAAACAGAAATTTACCTTGACACTTAATAAATTAAAATTAATATACTTAGTAGGAAAAATTTACATAAAGAGAAGAAAATGTAATCAACAAATGTTTGAAATTCAAGAGAGCTAAACCTTTAAACGAGCAACAAGTGATCGACTCGACTCGGCTCGACTCGATACTTAACGAGCACGAGTCGAACCCTCTGCTCGTGATCGACTCGCTCGATTAGCACCCCTAGTAATGGGAGTGAGTAGGGTATTTTTATGGTTATATTATTGAAAAAGTAGGTGTGAGGGGAAATTATGGGTTCAATAAAAAGATGAGAAATACTTCCTTTGTTCCATATTGCAATATGAGGGGGGGGGGGGGTCACGCTTCCCAAACAATTTAAACTTTAAGTATTTAATTATCTCTGTTTCATATTATTTGCAACGATTTGACATTAAGTGTGAGTAGAATATGTCTAATCGCTGCAAATAATATGAAGCAGAGGTAATATAAAGGTAGAACTTATAAAAAGTTGATACTGTGAAAGTATGTATCAAAATGAATCTCATAAGACTCTACATGACTATATATATCCTTACGTATAAATCAAAATCTGTGGTCAAAGAGGAGAATGTGAATAATGTCAAAACTACAAAAGTTGTCAATGAAAGAAGAATAGATAGTTTGTAGGACTATAAGAATAGAAGCATTCAAATTATTCTGGGAGAGAAAAGGGTGGAAAGTTTTTAAACTATTCTAGTATGGAAGGAGTAATGAAACATACATTTTCTTTTAGATATGTAAACTAATTATATCCTCCTGGCATGCAATTTAAGGCAAAGATTAGAGAAGGTTATCGGACAAATCAATAAAAATGGCTTTACAATTACTAAGAGGAGAGGGTTATGTTATTACAATTTAAATTATAATTACTCCGTTTTTTTAGATGATATATTTCTTTCATCACGTTAATTAATGCACAAATTCAATGATTAATAGTAAACATTATAAAACGTTGATATAATGAAATAATCGTGACAATACTAACAAGATCTCATATTACTATTTTTTGTCATAACTATAATTCATAAAAGCTTGTCAAAGTAGAGTTTGTGAATAGTGTCAAAAGTCAAAACGTGTCAACTAATTCATACTCTCTCTTATTACGTCATATTGTGATTTATATGCAAGAAAAAGTATAGGCATGTGAGATCTTGTTTGATTCGTCTCAATATGTACTTTATTAAAATCTAATGTATGATAATTTGTACCAAAACGCAACCAAAGATATTAATTGTTAAAATTGTGCTTTGGCAAGCATGAAACTCTTAGTGTTGCAAGTAAAATGGAGTGGAGGATGTATTATTTTTTTAGTTTATATATCCTATTATGGATTGAAATCAAGAGAGTATTGATTTGGCATATGTTTCTTGATCAATTATCCAATATTTCCATATAACTAAAATTTAACAGCACCATTCTTTGCTGGCAGGAACCAAAGAACATTTCGGCCCAAGAAAAGTGCTCCTTCTGGAAGTAAGGTTGGTTTTTTTTTTTTTTTTTTTTTTTTTTTTTTTTTTAAATGTATTTATAAATGTGTTTGCAATTTCTTACTTTGGTTATTGCATGACTTCTCCAACCCTTGTAAAGGAGCTTCTATTGAAGGGGAAAATCAAGGAGGATACTAGTTACAGTATTTAGACCTGTTGATTCTAGGCTCTAGCTATAGCTATGTATCTGTACTATGATAACTTTGAGGTCATCCTACCCTCTTATTGCTTTTCAACTTAGCAACAGTTTTAGCCTTTTAAATTTGTTCATATATTGTTAATCAGTGGCTTCTAGACCACTAAAGTCAATCATTATGCTGCAATTTATGAAGACCATCAAAAGTATTGACTCAATTTGTCATGTTTTTACTTTTTAGTTTAAGGCATATTGATATTTGAATATATGCTGCTAATACCAAATAGAAGTGAAACATTGACTATGTCTTCTAATCGCAGGGGGCCCAGCTGAGGCAGCTTATTGATGCGACCCTAGGCAGTGGAAATCTGAGGGAAGCAGTGAGACTTCCGCCAGGAGAAGATTTGAATGAATGGCTTGCTGTGAACAGTATATCTCTTTTCTCTTCCTATCCCCTCTCCTGTATATTTTGCACAATTTAAAACAAATCCCTTACCCTGGTATACTGTCATAAATCCAGACTATTGTCCGCCTTTGATGTACTATTGCTGCTTTGCCATTGTCAGGCTATAAATCTATTCTGATTGGAAATTTGGAATTTGTGTTGCATTACAATTTCACATTGTGATCGTATTGTTAGAATTGCCTGTTGTATCTAAGTCTTATTAAGATTGATCTTTTTTTCAGCTGTGGATTTCTTCAACCAAGTGAACCTACTCTATGGCACTCTCACTGAGTTCTGTACAACAGAGAGCTGTCCCACCATGACTGCAGGACCCAAGTAATGCCCTTTAGATCTTTTTTCAATAGTTATTTATTGAGTTCATGCATTAGCATTTACAGATATCTTGAAATTGGATTTTTTATCAAATTTTTTCTTCAGATATTGAAAGATTGTGCCTCACTACATTCATTAGTCAATATAAATGCCGTTTAGTCGCTAGAATTGCATGGTCCACACAGATTCGAAGTTTAGGTGCCAATTTATTGTATCCAGCCCCAAATCCTTGGGAGCTGAAATATGCAGCACCTTATTGGGAAATTGTTGTTTTATTTTCTGCCTTGCTTCTTTAAGTTTGGAAATAGATCAACATTTTGGCGGTATAATTAAGTGCTAATTCACTGGGGATCTTTCCTGCGTGGGATTATTTTTAGTTTTTGGGATTCTGAGTTAATAAAGCCTAAAGAGGCTCATGAAATTAATCATGTTCTCTATTAGGTTATTTTTGGCGTTGAAGTGAACAGATTCTAAATACTTATTACCCTGTGGTTTGTGGCATTATGTTATTGCAGGTTTTAATTCTTATTAATAATAAATTGAATAAACATTAAAAAAATGCAGATTTAATTTTGGTTTATCTCTCACATAGATCATGGATTAAATGAGTAATCGATGCCTAAAGGGTAAAGTTGAAACTGTGGTGCTTTTTAGCTTCATTGCACAAAGTTGAATGGTTAACTGGGATTAATTTCAAAAATAGGGCTTTAGTTTCATGGAAAGAAGCTGGTCAGTAAGGATGTTTGCTTCTGCTAATGGTTGGATTAAAGTCTTTATTGGGTTTCAAAAAAAAAAAAAAAAAGTCTTTATTGGGTGCTGGTGGTGATGCTCATGTAGTTTGTTAATATGATGTGTGAGGTGGTCAAATATACTAAAAATTTATGAATATTTGGTTAGACTAAGCCCAATATTCAAGGTAGAACAACTGAAGGTGATTAAGGCTGCTTACTGCATTGATTGTAGACTTGTAGTAGTCTAATTTGATCTTATATGGGTCATGGTTGAGTAAAAGCTTAAAAGGTCAACAAGGATATCAGCCTTTTAGAATAACATGCTGAAGCTGAGAAAAGAGACAGCCATTGTGATGCTTATTGTTATTATGTGATCCTGGGTTGGATAAGTTGAATTGAAGGTCTTCATAAGTTTGTGTAGATTCTGTTTACGGCTTTAAACAGATGCAATTAAGGTGATTATTTCCAATGTTTTTATTAATTATTTTTTCTTTTCTTCTTTGTTTTGGAGTGATTAGCTCTACTGCTTATAAGATCTGGCCTTCAGAAGTGATCTGGAGCATTTGTTGTAGGCAATATCTGAGTCTTTTTTTTGGATCAAGTGGTTCATAGATGCTAGATATCTTGACTCTTGATGAATGCAGTCTCACTCAATTTTAGGAGCCTTTATCAATCTTCAACTGGCTTGAATTACTCCATTTTGTTTACTGACTCTTTTCAAAGCTCTCTGTTTCTTGGAATATTCAAAGGAGCAAAATATGAAGATAGATAATTTGCTCTGTAGGATGGTGGAATGGAAGCGAGAAATTTAGAATGGAGAGAGGATTTCAGCAAGTCTAGGAGTCAAAGGGATTGGGTCTTAGATGTCTGAAAACATCTTTTAATCCTAAACCAACTTAGGGCATTGTTTTTTGGGGGACCTATCAGAACCTGTTCTTTCTCGTATACTGGGATTTTTTAGTTTCTTTGTGACTGCAATTATCACTTGCTTTGTTGATGATTGTCTGTTTTGTAAGGAGCATAAGTTCCTCTTATGCATAATTGTGAGGGCTCTACAGGGGCTAAAAGGACTTCAATTGTGGGATGCTTGGAGTAAAATAGTCTAATTCTTGCTTATTTTGTATACATTCTTTACGCTTCTGCTTTTTGAATGTAAGGTGTATGAAGCATGAGGTGTCTTGATATTACTTTATCAGAACTTTTGTTTCGATTAAAGCTCCTTTCCTTTAGCTTATTTTACTACTACTACTACGTATTAGGCTTTCTTATGTCGCATACAATAGATTGATATTGGCTTTTTTGGGATGTTAAATTCTCGCTAAATTTGCTTCTGCATCTGTTTATGTCAATTTTTTATTTATTTATACGAGTGTTTACCAATATATCATAATGTAAATTTTTACGTACAATCATTGATGTCAACATCATGTTTCTATACTCCGTATTTACTTTGATTATGCCGCGACAGGTATGAGTATCGATGGGCTGATGGAGTTCAGATAAAAAAACCTATTGAGGTTTCTGCACCAAAATATGTTGAGTATTTGATGGACTGGGTTGAATCGCAATTGGATGATGAGTCCCTCTTCCCACAGAAGATTGGTAATCTTTTAGCCATTTCACATCTTCCCGCTGTTATTTGTAAAAACAACATGACTTCCCTGGAAAAAAATACTAGTAAATGATTGCTTTTGACGGAAGCTATTTTGGTGAAAGAGGTGGGCAGGCTTATATATAGACCCTGTTTGTGCCTTAACAGATTCTTCTTTTGTGGACATTCTCTTTTTGTAGGGGCACCATTTCCTTCGAACTTTAGGGATGTTGTCAAAACTATCTTCAAGAGGTTGTTTAGGGTGTATGCTCATATTTATCACTCGCACTTCCAGAAGATAGTGAGTCTCAAGGAAGAGGCCCACCTGAATACTTGTTTCAAGCATTTCATATTATTCACATTTGTAAGTCCCTTTTATTTATTTATTTATTTATTTTTTATAGTTGTATAGAACCAACACATGGTCGATAGATATTCTTAATATTTGAATTCCTTGAGTTGGATCTTTAAAGGTTTCTCCTTTTAGAATTAGGAATTTTGTTATGTTTTGGAGTTAGTTCATTTAAAAGACATAAGCTTCTCATAGTCCCCTCCTTCAGGATCTGATGTTACTGTCGTCAATTGTGCAGGAATTTGGGTTGATTGAGAAGAAGGAACTTGCTCCTCTTCATGAACTTATAGAATCTATTGTTCCTTACTGAAGTAACACCTTTTTAATTACATATCCTGGATTGTTGGTTTAGTCACATAGTTGAATCCAATAAAGGAATCTCAGTTTTTAGACTCCGTGTGCCCCTCTTTGCTCTTGTGCCTTAAATTTATCATTTGTATATGCTTCAGTTTCCATATATGAATGTGTTTCGTTATTACAAGTATATGATATAAACTATGGAAATGATTATTGCCATTTTGTATGTGCAAGTTCTCAAAGGCCTCTCCTTTCTGATAGCTAAATGCTTAGCAGATCACTTGGTGGGAGTTGAACACGATGCAATGTAGTGATTTATTAGCTAATTTGATGGAGTTACCGAGGAACTTTTTCAGCTGTGAATGAGGTCGACTAAGACTTTGTTTGAAACCATGCATATCGAAGAGGACATCTTTATTTTTCATGATTGGGCAGAATAATAGTAGCTTGAGCAACTATTGTTTGCTCTTGGTCTCGTGGACCATTATCCCGTCTAGAATTTCTCTGTTTTAATAACTTGGGTCATGAATGACTCTAATAACTTTATCTCAAAGACAGATAAAATCATTCAATATCAAGTGTTTTCTTCTAAAAGTAGCTCCAACTTAACCAAGGAAATTACAAGATGTCCACGGGGTAGAATATTTTATCTCATATCTAAGATGAATTGGTTTATCATCCCTCAAAATCGTATACAATTTGCACTATTACCATATATAGCTCTCAATAAACCAAAATACTCCGTAAAATAGACAATCACGATTATTGAATCATGTGGAAGATAAGTGCAACACAAAAATGTGTCAATACCCCTAAGAAAAGAATATGTAGCACTCACATGCTCCCCCTAAGCAAATTCTTAAGGACTATAAGAGTACTATGTCTACATGTATATAAATCACTGAAATACTGCACAATCAAGAAAATTTGCTCCGCAAATGGCTCACTGCATCCTTGAAATGTCTTGGTTAACTTGACTACACTTGCTGTAATTGCCACCTTCAACTTTGTATGAAAAATCCCTGTTGCACCTCAGAAAAGATACATCAGGAACAATGAAAGAAACTGACACATACAATAAGATTACCTCCGTCTGGATTAAAGTTGTCACGCTGCTGGTTCAATCCATCAAAGTGACAATAAAATCTAGACAAAGGGAGTAGTTTTTTAAATGAAATAGACTCGTTAACATTGCCAATGTTATTTAATACTCCCTCTGTTTTTTTTATTTGCATCAGTTTGACCGGCACAATTGCCGAGACGCAATTTTGACCATTAAATCTTTAATTGTATATTAGTAAAAATTGTAACAAAACTATATTATGAAACTAGACATTATGACTAATCTAATGATATATTACTCCCTCTGTCCCTATTTTTTTTGCCCCATTTGACTGTGCACGGTCTCCAAGACGCGTCTTAAAATGTCTAGATCTTTATTTCCATACACGTACAAATTATTAAAACGTGATATTAGTAAAATATACAATAAGACGAATCTAACAAGACTACTCATGACTATATTATCTTTTATACATTAACGGTAATTTACGGTCAAAGTTTTCAAAGTTTGACCAAAAAATGGTAATGGGGCAAACATAAAGGGACGGAGAGAGTATATAATAACATTTATTCATTTTATAGAGGTGAAAAAATTAAGTCAACCATGGTAGGTGAATAATGCAAAAATCAAAGTGATGCATTTAAAAAAATGGATGGAGTATATAACAACATATGTGGGCGTTGGTTGATCAACTTTGTATTATACAATACTTTCTATGCTTAAGCAAACAAAAATGCTAGTAGAAATCAAATTAAAAAGTATAGAAGGGAATGTGACATACCTACTTATAATATCTACAAATCATTTTCAGTTGTCTGCAAGTTCTCCTGACTAGAATGGCCATATGTTGAGGAAGCAAAACTATAGAGCACAGATATTACACCAAAAACACCAATAACCATTGAAAATAGCTGGAAATTTGCAAGCATCTCCCCTCTGATTAGACTCACTGTTGAGTGACATACAATGTCGTCTCCTTTAAGTACACAACCATCCGGCATCATGGGGCCGTACAGGGTGAAGGCAGTCTGATAGAACCAAAGGCCTTGTAGAGTTATGGCAATGCTGTTAGATAAATCAAGTGGGAAACTTGATGGGACAAGCGTGCCAACAACACTAGTTAGAACACACAAGCCTATTAGTACAACCAGGATATAGTGATAATAGCCTTCCAGGCCTTTGTGATTTGTAGAATGGAAATAGAACAGCAGGTACTCTGAAGAGAATGCTGTTGCAGCAATCAAAGTAAGTGCTCCATCTGGCAAGGGAAGAATGCTGAACAATGCAAAACATGATGAGATTAGTCATATTTTCAGAAATTAGTGTCAAGAAGATGTTAAAAGAGGCACAATAAAACATAGCATTGAATTTAATTACAAGAACCAAGTTCAGCTAGCAAGGGTAGGAATACAGAAGCTACATACTCTGTATTGTTCAAAATAGTAGAATCCATATTTCTTCACCAAATTGTTCAAAATAGTAGAATCCATATTTCTTAACCAAATACCCCCTGGTCCCACAATTGAGTCAACACCCACTTTCCGCATGGAGTTTGAAAGAGTGGAGAGCACTCTTAGTGACCAATATTAGTTCTAAAATCAGCAGCAACTGTCTCAAGAAATAGTTGCAAACATCATGGCTTTGAGTCTATATGACTAACAAACAGATCATATACACCAGGGTAGACAAAGCACAAAGCCTACCTAGTCATTGCAGCTTGTAACTAAGGCTGCTACAGCGCTATTCATGACATGAAATGAAAACAAGGTTGCTACTCATGGCATGAAATGAAAACTCTAATAAACACTGATTGCTTTCCCTAGTTTAGCTGGATTCTGTCAGAATAATGAGTAACTGAAGCAACAGCAGCATTCACTTACAAGTTGAAGGACACTCGGTGACTCTTTGAGAGACAATGTGAACTAGAGTTTAATTGGATAAGATGAAAACTCAATACTTCACATGAAACTACTATGCACTATGCAGTATGCCCAAACCATGACACTGCAGACAGTCCTTTGGATTTTAATTTGTTACCAGAAAGGATCCCAGAGAAAAATAGGAGAGAAGGTAGTCTAATGGTTACAAGTAGTGATGTCAAGCACTGAATTCCTCAGAAGCACAATTTAAAAAAAAAAAAAAAAAAGGGAATTCCTTAAAGATAGTAGATCTACCCAAGTACCCATTATAACGCAAACAAGGAGGGTATAGATAAAGATTTTAATAAAAATGCCTAATTGAAAATTTTAACTTAGGCAAGCAACTAATATAAGTCTACAACAGACCACAGACCAAAGGTCTGCAAATAAATTTAGCCACACAAATTACTGCTCAACAGATTTTTTACAGGGGAACCCCTCCATCCTTGTACCTTAGGCCTAGCCAGCATCCACAATATCCAGCACAAGACGTTACTAGATTATGTGTTGACAACTGACCAAGTTAGACAATTTCCACCCATTCAAGTATCTTGCACCTATTTTGGATGCCCCACTCCAATTTCCACTTTCCTCTTTAATAACATTTGCATACGAACTAAACTTTTGTCAATCTATCAAAAACATAAGCTCAAGGCTTCCCAACATAATTATGATTGATCTAAAGCGGGAGTTTAAATGTCTAATATTGTCAGCTTCATGCCTTCAAATATACAATGGTTGTTTAAATGCCTGTCACAGATTTTCTAACTAAAAAAGCCTTTAAACCATACTGCTTTCTTCCTTTCATATATGCCTAAAAAATTACTCCATCTCTAAATGTTCTTCTTGATTAGACAGCAATTGTCTCACAAAATAAGTCAATACAGAAAAAACTTTTACACGCGGGGGGAGTACTTTTCAGCGTTGATAAACATAAACCATTTCAAGGTTGAAATATATTGTGCCTTAATAGCTACTCGAGGAGATCTAAATATTATACTAGCAAACAAACAGTGAACATGTTGAAATATAAAGTCCAGAACAGGCAAAATGTAAGAACCAAACCATTTACAAATGCTAAACCTGGCCTACATAGTGCCCCTCTTTTTTTTTCTTACTCGTACAAGCTTAACACTTATTGCAAACTAATAAAGATATAACATTTGCTTTATGAAATTACTAAAGTCAAAATGGAAAAAGAGCAAAAAAAATAAAACTCGTATCAACAGATCACTAAATGCTATAGTAGTTTCAGCGTCATAATCTTTCTGTTTACTAGATGAAGAGCATAAAGCTACAGTTTTTTTTATAGAATTCGCAAAACCAAGCAGAAAAACTACGAAAAGTCGTAGCAGGGCTGCAGGGAAAACAAGAGACTCATGATCTTATCTTGGCATTCGCCACCAGCACCCAAGTCACTTGAACTGTTAATTGAACCAATTATCAATTGAAAGAGCTACCGAGCTCAACAATTGCTAAACTAACTTTTGTACCCAGCAATCACTTGATTAGCCCTACCAAAACAAATCCATTCATGACCAATAAAAGCTGATACAGTTATACCTCAAAGCTCCAAACATATACTTCACAGAAGTACCACCAGTCTTTGAGATTTTGACATGCTAGTCAATTCCAACAATCATATCATACTTGTATATTAGTATATTACCCACTTTTTTTTTTCTACTGAAAACATAAACAATTACTGGATGCAATAATATAAAGCAAAAGGGCAAGAAAGGAGGAAAACCTGGTCTTTACTGATATGAGAGTGACGAGGCCGAAGATGAAGAACATGATCAGCATACCAGAATGCTCAAAATTATTCATATGAGAAGGATTCAACACCCCATTCACAAAGTACTTAAGATGAGGTGCATACACAAGCTCTATGCACAAATCAATAAAAGCACCAATCACCACCAAATACAATTCCAAGTACTTTAGCCTCCCATCAAAACCCGGCACCGGGTTCCATACCCGGATCCGAAACGAATTCGGACTCCTCACATATCTGTACACACTACACCACATATGCCACAAACCCACCACCAAAAACAGTGTCCCTGGCACTACATGACCTTTAAATGACCCCATCTCTTCAATTAAACAAAATTATCACCCAATTCTTTCATTAACTCCCTTCTATACCCCCCAATTACACCTTTTGCACCTGCATACCCTAAAAACAACAGATAAAACAACACAATTTCATGTCAAACTTTTCTACCTTTAAAGAATCATATTCTATACACCCTTTTAACCATAAAGTTCATACAAAAAATCATACAATATTCCTAAATTCACAAAAATGAAAACGCAGTATCAAGAACTTTCATTACACCTTCAATCAACAAAATATCCATCTTTTACAAGTCAAAAGTGGATGATGCAACTACAAGTCACAATTGGTCGGTTTGAAAAAGACTTCAGATTCCAAATTTCTAGTATTGGAAAAAATACAAATAATACAAATCCTTTTATTCATAATATTTAATCATTTATGTATAAAATGGTAATAACAACAATGCATTGAAACTCAGAAAACCCACAAAAATCTAAAAAAAAACCCATAAATGTAATTAAAATGCAAACTCACAATTAAAAAAATCACTAGTAAATAGTTATAGCTTCCAAGAAATGGATGAACTTACATAGAAACAGTTGAATATTGTATAATAACTTTGGAAAAATAAAATTGATGAGAAGTGATTAGTGAATGATTAGGATCCAAAAAGCAAAAGTTGACCAACTACCTAAAAAAAGATGGAAATCCAAGAATCACTGTAATTTGTGCGTAATTGTATGTGAGAGAGAGGAGAGAGAACGGTAGAAAGTGTACATCTGGAAAAAGGGACAGCTTTTAAATCAAATCATAATGAAATCATTTATATTATTATTAGTATTTATTACCCTTCGTAATTTTGTATGGACCCTCGTGATTTGGCTTGCAAACGTTGACTTCATCGTGATCGTCAATTTTTTAATTTGACTACGAGATCTTTGTACCATCGTAGCAATCTAGCATTATGGAAAAGTGAATGGATTAGAGGATTTAGAGCCCATTGAGGACGGTGTAAAATTGGAACACCAACATTAACACACGGGTAAAACACAACATAATATGTTACTGTGCGTCTCAGATCGAAAGTGCGCTTTAGATTAATTATATTCTTTTGTACAAAAACATGTATATAATAAAATACTTAATATGACATGATATTATCCAACTAAACGAATCACGTTAAAATATGTGATGTTTAGGTTAATTATGCCATTATGGTACAACATAAAGACATGTGAGAATGAATTGTCCTTCTGAAAGTTTTGATATGGCAACACTTGGTTAATGGATTGGCTCTAACCAACTTTAAGGCATGCAAGCTTGGCATGGTCTGACTTTGCCCACATCCATCTTTAGGAAGGAGCAAGGGTAATAGGAAATTGAGTCTTGATAAATTTAGTTTAAACTTTGAAATTTTGACCAATCCGAGTCGAATGAATCTAAAAGCTTTAAAAGTTTGTGAGCAATTCAAATTGTTTATAATATCAATTCCAAGTTAGTATACATTGTAATGTTGCTTATGCGGATATTAATTATATAAATATGAAGTACTAAATATCAATAATAGGCATGATATATGATAAAACCCATAAAACCCCTATAAGATAAAACCCTTATGTTTTACTATAGCAGCGACATGGAAATAAGTTATCAAGATAAGCATTAAAATTCGTATTTTTGCTAGGATCTGTATGTTATCAAGATAAGCATTAAAATTCGTATTTTTGCTAGGATGTGTACGTTATCAAGATAAGCATTAAAATTCGTATTTTTCCTAAGATGTGTATGTTATTCCGTATTATAAATGAATACTCGTACAAGAGAAAAACTAGAGTTGCAAATATTGAAGAGTATAAGGAAAAAGTAAACCCTATTTGTTGGAATAAGACTTTATTATTATTGTTATCAAATCAAGTTTAATCAAACATGTATTTTTAACTCAAACTTGTATCTAGTATGGAGTATTCAAATCACATTTAAATACTCAAATACTCCAATCTAAATTTAAGAACTCTAAAATCATACGGAGCGAGATCAAATTAAGATCAAATACGTCTTTGTGCCTCTTTAAATTAAAAAAAAATTTCACGGATTCACCATGACTCCTAAAGTCCTAAGTCCTAACCACTAAACCCAAACTCTAAATTCATTTTCCAATTAAAAGTTCGAATGATAGCATTTGGGTTTCACTTGGCCCAAACCCGTTCAACTCCGGTCACCGGTAACCACCATTTTCCGGCGGCGCCTTCTTTATGCCGAGGTGCACCATCTTCCTTCCTTCTTTATGTTTTAAACTTCATTTTCAGATTCTAATTAACAAATTTACTGCATAAATATTGAATCTTTAACGCTTATTTATTAAATTAGGGTTCATTTCTAAGGTCTTGAAATTATGTATATATTGAACTAATTGAAAATTCGTAGTGCTTATCATATTTTTGTTAATTGTGCAAGTATGGTTATTTCTGGAAGTTTATGCTGTTTATATAAATATAATTATGAATTTATAAGGTGTTTTGATTCATTTGAAGGTTTTTTTTTTTTTTTTTTTTTTTTTTGAAAGAGATTCATTTGAAGTTTTAATTAAGCATGATCCTCACTCCATTGAGATACTCTGTTTTGGTTAGGTTGTATTTGCAAAAATCTCTACTCCGTTCTAATTAATCTAATTTTGGATACATGGCTTTGATTATTTTAATTCCCCTGCTAAATTGGGTTTTATTTTTGTTAATTTTTATTATTATTCAATGTGTTGATTTCTTAATTTGTCCAGGTTATGATAATTTATAGCAGTAGCATGACACACCACGAATGATTTGGACTTTGGAGTTCAAATTTCTAGTATGGTGACAACTATCACACATTGTAATGTTTTCGTTCCTCAATCACATCATTATATCGTCTTTAATCGACATCATTTCGTACTTGAGCAATGTAAATTTTATTATGGGTACCGCGGTACTAGTCATGCTTCCATTTATTGCAATTCCAAGTTCAATCATACTGCTATAACACAGCAAAATCAGTGTAGTTCTTTCCTTGGTTCTCACACTGAACATAATCTTAATCGAAACAAGGATTTGATCAATGAATCTTCAGTAGATGAGCTGATTAAAGAGCTTACTTATGTAGGATTCTATGTTGATGCTGTCAAGCTTTATATTGGCATGTTGGAGGATGGTTTTATCCCAAATGTCTTTTATTCCTTTCCTGTTTTGGTTAAGGCAATTGGCGGTGTTTGTGATTTGAACTTGGCTAGGCAAGTTCATGGGCATATGCTGAAGTTAGGTGTGATCAAGTATATATCTGTAGCAAATTCTCTTTTAAGCACGTTTTGGAAATGTGGTGCTAGTGATGATGCAATAAGTATGTTTAAGACAATGCAAGAGAGGGATTCAGTTTCGTGGAGCACTATGATTTCTGGCTTTCATCAATCAAGGTTGTATATTAGTTCACTGGAATGGTTTACACGCATGGTTTGTGAATTCGGAATATATCCCAATAGGGTAGCTTGCATTTCAGTGCTTTCCTCATGTACTTCGGTTAAGTCTCTAATACATGGGCAAGAAATGCATGCTTTTGTGATTAAAAGTGGGTTGGATGTTGATGAGTTTGTTTTGAGTGGATTGCTTGAGTTTTATATGAGATGTTGTGTTGTAAGTTATGCAGAACAACTATTTCTGAGCGTTGTTGGGTCTATGAGAGAAAATACCGTGTTATGGAATGTTATGATTTTGGGGTATGTGGAGAATAGCTGTTACTCACAGGCACTGCGTTCTTTCATTGAAATGATGGTTTCAGGGGTTAAATTTGATTCTTCTACTATGGTTGCTATTCTTGTCTTGTGCTCAAAGTCCTTAAATCTAGCCTTTGGAAAGCAAATTCATGCACTTATTATTAAAACTGGTTTGGAGATAGATGTTAGAGTTGGAACCTCAATGATAGACATGTACTTTATTTGTGGTAATCCTGATTCAGGATTACAGTTATTTGACAGGTTTCATAATCATAATATAGTCATGTGGGGTACAGTAATCACAAATTGTGCTCGATGTGGATCTTCTAGAAAAGCATTAGATCTGTTTGTTGTTGGACTGGAGCATGGTTATCTGGATTTGGTCATGTTATTAGCTGCATTACGAGCATGTTCATCTCTGTCAGTTAAGCTTGAGGGCATGCTGCTTCATGGGATGGCAGTTAAAATGGGGTTGGACCTAGATGCATACATTGGTTGTGCCTTAGTTGATATGTATATGAAATGTCAAGACGTATCATGTGCTCAAAAAGTCTTTCTAATGTTACCTATAACAGATGAGGTAGCTTGGAGTAGTCTGATATCCGGATATACTCACAATGAATGCTTGGATGATGCTGTGAGAGCATTTTGCAAGATGCAAGATCATCGAATTAGACCTAATGCAGTGATTATATCATGTCTCCTTTCACATTTATATTTAAGTTTGCAGTGTAAAGAAATTCATGGGTATGTGATACGCAGTGGATTTGAGACCAATATTCTTGTGAACAATTCACTTGTAGTTGCTTATGCAAAATGTGGAAACTTGGAAAGCTCGTGGAGAGTATTTCTTGAGATGAAGGAGAAAGATGAAGTTTCATGGAATTCGATGATGTTGGGGTTAAGCCTACATGGTCTTGTAGACGAAATGCTTATTTTGTTTGACCAGATGAGAAAGAATGGCTTGAAGCCTGATCATCAAACATTTACTGCAATTCTTTCTACATGTAGTCATACAGGAAGAGTTGCAGATGGCTTGAAATTCTTCAGAAGCATGACAGAAGAACACATGCTTGAACCTAAACTTGAGCAGTATACTTGCTTGGTTGACCTTTTAGGTCGTGCTAAATATTTACACCAAGCATATGATTTGATAATTGCTATGCCACACACCCCTGATGACCGCATTTGGGGATCGTTGCTTGGCTCTTGTAAAATTCACGGTAATGAGAAGTTAGCTGAAGTTGTAGCTAATCACATCTTTGAGTTGAATCCTGATAGTATTGGGTACCGTGTACTCCTTGCAAACTTGTACGAGGACTTGGATAAATGGAACGAGGTTGTAACACTCAGATCCGAAATCAAAGGTATGGGACTGAAGAAAAGTCCTGGCTGTAGCTGGATTGATGTTGATAATCAGATTCATGTGTTTACTGCAAGTGATCAAACACATGATCAAGTAGGAGACATACATGCCATGCTTAAAAGTGTGACTGCAGAGATAATTAGGAATGGATATATCCCGCAATTGTAATTTCATGTTAAGTTAATTTTTAATTTATTTATCTTATTAGGATTTTTTCTTTTTTTTTTTGGGAGAGGGCTGTGAAAAAAATGACTGCTTTGCAGCCCCATCACCCATGACATTGTACACCATGATTCATGATACTGATATCCAAATTTGTTATCGCTAATTCATAACAAGAAAGCAAATTTTGGTATGGGACGACAATCTTAAACCATAGAGAAAATAACATTCCTTCTCTATATACTACCTCCGTTAATTATTATGTGCAACAAAGGAATATTTTATGTCTCACAAATAATACCCCTTTGTTGCACATAATAATTAACGGAGGTAGTATATAGTTTCATAATGTAAGTTACCCTACAATCCGCAAGTAAACCCTTAATTTATCAGAATCTTACTATACAATCACCTCAATCAACAAAATTTGAAACAATTGACTTAATTGGAATGAAAGAAGCAATGAACGTTTTAGTTTGAATTTGAATCAAAATGTGTAATAATTGGGCCCATAGGCACTTGCCGCACTTGATGGTGCACACAGTATGTTTTATTGGAGCTAATTATCATATGGAGTGTTTTAGCTTTACTTAATAACTTCAACAACTTTGTCCTTCTTTCACAAACTAAAGAAGTAAAGTTTAACTAATTTAGCTTGTTTTTGTAAAGCCACTTTCCACTATGTAACTTTACGGAAATATTTCTCACAAGGGAAATATGAACATATCCTTATATAATTTCAAAACTAATGGAAAAAGTTGTATTGTAAAATTAACTTTTTCATTTTCTATATAAATTAGGGAGTGCTTTGTAAACAATAATAAGAAAATCATTTAAATCATTTTACAATTTAATAATGTTACATTTCAAACGATAAAACACGCAACAAATTGGAGCAGTATTTTGTTTTAAGAAAAAAAAAATCGAATTTACTTTGATATAGATTTTTGAATAGGAGTGAGGGGATAGCTCAAGTGATTAGAACTCCCCTCCCGATTTTAAAAGATCTTGGGATCGATTCTCATCACCTGCCCTTGTGGCTCTCTAAAACACCAAAAAAAAATATAGATTTTTGAATTAATGTGATTCCATATTATTTAACAAGTAAATAGGTTAAAGAAACGATCAAGGAAGCATCACATGCATTAGTATTCTAAGTAACTATTTAGCTTTTGAACTTTTTTCTTTCAAATTCTTTAAATTTAGTTTAGTTGTGGTGTTCTTGATATCAGGGCGTTAAAATATTTAATTCGGTTAATCATCTTTCCTTGTACTTATGTAAAATTAGGGCTACATTTATTATGAACCTAATAAAATAATAAGGGTTCTATTTTATCACAATCTTTAATTTTTTTTTTTTTTTTTTTTTGGTGTGTGTGTGTCTCAAAATCAATGTTATTCATTCAAAACAATGATTCTTGTTGTTAGTAATTTTCCTTTCTTCTTCCAAAAAACATAAGTACAAAATTACCAATGAGGGCTTCACTCATCGACAAACATCCGAAAATATATATGATACATTACAAGCTTAAATCCCTTTATCTATTAGTAAATTCGTAACGCAATCCTCTTTTTTTTTAAAAGGAGTTGGTGGGGAACTCACGTTGTGACTTTGAGGTCATGAGTTTGAGCCCCACCAACTACATTGCTTGGGAGTATGGGGAATCCCTTACCTCCCTCTCTACTATCAAGTATTGTTCTGCGAATTTGAACTGGCTTAACATGTGAGAAGTACAGGTTCAATAAGGTCTTTCATCTTACCTTTTAAAATAAAAAACCGATTGTTTTTTTTGGTTAAAGCAATCCGATTTACTACCATTTTTTATTTTTTTTTTGAATGGTACTACCATTATTTCTCAAGTATACACTTTTTTTTTTCTCTTTTAGTAGTAAATAATTTCATTTTCCACCATGCAATGTTCCTGGACATCACACAACACTACACACAAAAGACAAAAAGCTACATTTTTTCTACTTTCATTTTTTTTATTTTCCTTTTGTTGTTTTCTTTATTTTTCATCAACAAAAAATTAATTAAAGATAAAAAAAAATAATTAAAAAATATATTTTGCAAACATAGATCTCGCGTACCTCTTCTTTCGTGCTCCTTCCCTCCTTCCTCTCTTTCTCTCTCCTCTCTCACGTCTTTCGCCATTTTTTCAACCTCGAATTTCAAACCTTAAACCTTTGTTCTTCATCAAATTTGCTGCTTCAAACAATCAATTCTTCACCAAATTTTTCCTCAAATTCTTCCAATTTTTTGTGATTATTCATGAGCAGAAGAATTTCGAATTCTTAAAAAATTGAACAAAAATCAATTTCCATTTAATCATTTGAATGCTGATCGATTACGATAATTTCTTTCTTTGATATGCTAATTTTGTGCTTCTTAGCAGCGATCAAACGATTTTTTTTCGATTTGATATAATTTCGCCGATTTTTGGCGGATTTTTAAATTTAATTTTTTGTTTTTTTAAGTAATTTTGGTGGAATTGAGTGATGTCATCATCATCTAAGGTGGTGTATGAAGGATGGATGGTGAGAATTGGGAGGAGGAAAATCGGTCGATCTTTTATTCATATGAGATATTTTGTTCTTGAGCCTCGTCTTCTTGCTTATTATAAGAGAAAACCCCAAGATAATCAGGTATAAATTTAATTGTATAATTTCCACTCTTTTTTATGTTGTTACATTTTAAGTTTTGAGTAAGTTAGTTTGTTTTAATTTGATTTTTTTGGGTTTTATACATTTTTTGTTGAATTTATTTGGGGAACTGTGAATTTTTATTGACGTAAAAGTGTTAATTGAATGGAAAAGTGCTTGCAATAATTGTAGTATTCATGAATTAGAGGAGTTTAAGAATGGTTTTAGTTGAATTTTGATTGATCAGAACTGATATCATGCCGAAATGATAGCCAGTTTGTTCGAATTTCGGTGAAAATTTGATTCGAAGTGGAAGAGTGGTTGGGAATAAGTTTTATGGATAAAGTTGGATTCTAAAGGAGTAGGATAGATGATTTTCTTTTGAGGGTTAGTGAAGTTCTTAGGCCCATCTTTTATTGAGAATCTTCATGTTAGAATCACATACTTGTTAGCTTCTTCTTGAATGAAAGGGCTTTAACCAAAATGTGTTATGTGGAAAATGGACAAAATTACGAGGACTCGAATAGATATTGATAGTGCATTGTGGGAATGATAAATAGTCTGTAGGGAGTTCGGCTATTGTCTTAGAAATTTTACACGAGTACTATAGAAACTTCCTGGCTGCCTTTATTCTTTCTCCAATGTTTAGGATTCATTATGTAGATTATTTTATTTGTTTCTTAATGCATTTTATAGGTACCTGTCAAGACACTTGTCATTGATGGCAATTGTAGGGTGGAGGACCGAGGCTTGAAGACCCATCATGGACATGTGAGTTTTTTTGTTACCTTGGTTTTCTTAATCATTTATACTTTTATTTGTCGACATCTGCGTATTTGGAGGATCAACTATGTAAATGCCCGAGGATTAGTTGAACTGAGTAATTGCTTTTATGACATTTTTGAATTTCTTTTGTCTTAAGATTTGGGGTTTGAACTTTGCTCATGCTAGGAAAGTTGTGGATGGTCTTTAGAAACTTAGTGCTTTTGCATTCATTTGGATCCTACATTTTCCGTAAGATTTATATTTTAGGTTTGCATACATTTGGATTTCAAAAATTTGGTCAATGAGGGACTCCATATTGAACATCTGATGGAAGTCATGACACTATTAATTGGAAATGTATGAAAGATACATTAGACTTGATACAGAGTTACTGACTTATTTGACAAGAATGCTTGGTATTTCTGAAAAAACTTGGTTATTTGTGAGCTCCTTGTAGAACTATGGATATGATGTTTAGAAGTTAACACAATTTTAACTGACAAAGTAGCTTTGTCATCAGTGTATGTAGGAAGAGGAACAAAAAATCACCTTTTTATAAGCTCCATAAACAAGTCCATTGACTGATTGAGAGCCCTCTCTTGTGACTCATTCCCTTCAAGTGTCTGACCTCTTTGTCTGTTTGTCAATGACTACTTAAATTTTTTTTAACACTCTGTGAATATGTTTTCTTTGTTTCAAAAAAATTGTTTTGGTACTTCGTCTAAGATTCTCTACTTATATGTGCTTATTATCATTGCATCTTTTTGATTGGTTATACAGATGGTGTACGTCTTATCCGTGTACAACAAGAAGGACAAATATCACCGCATTACGGTGTGTATCTTAGTCTTTTCAATACTTAGCTATTCTTTTTAAGCTTATGTTCTCTCCTTCTTTCATAAATATTTAATTTTATTTTCCTTTGCACCTCTCATTTTCTGTTAAGAATTTGAATGCTTTATATTCTAGTCGTCTGGATTCTTTCTGCCCATGATGCTTGTGATGGATACAGATGGTGGTAATATAGTCTATGCAAAAGGTTAGCAGTATGGTCCTGGTTGGACTGACTACATGCTGTTCTACAAACTAATTTGCTAAATTGCCACATCAATTTTTTTTATTTGAGCTTAACCCTCCAAATGGTTTGTGGAAGCTACTTCTGAAAGGTTTCAGTATCAGACATGTAAAGGAAGTTAAGGAACTAATGAAGAAATAGCAATAATGCAAAACTTAGCGATCTGTGCCTACTCACGTATGGTTATTTTATAGATCTTGAGTTTCAACCGGGTAGTGCAGTTGTTTAAAATAATACACTGCAGCTAGCTGCTACAACTTCGAGGCACATCAAAATTTTGTTTAGATTTCCTTGCTGTAAGTAGTTCTAATGTGACTCGAATAGTGGTACCAGACTATGCTTGGTTATTATGCAGTGTCCTTCAATTGTCTCGCTGCTACAAAAAAAATTATGGGAAAGCTTAACCCGATGTGTCTTCGTGATAAAGTTGGCAGCATTCAACATCCAGGAAGCTTTAATCTGGAAAGAGAAGATAGAGCAAGTCATTGACCAGGTATTCTTTCTACATGCTTTGAATTTGTATTTTCTTTGTCAATTGCATGCTGAATTTCTAGGGTAATATCTTTCTTTAAGTCTTAAATCTAGGATTCACTGATTTGTAATTTTGTATTCTATATGCAGCACCAGGAGTCTCAAGTTGGTAATGGCAACAAGTACATATCTTTTGAGTACAAAGCGGGCTCTGATTCCATGAGAAATGCTTCTTCCTCAGATCATGAAAGTCAGTAAGTGGCTTCTTGATTCATGTTTCTAATATAGAAATTTCTACTTTATCTTGATGATATTTTTTTGGATGTCTTGACTGTGGAGTAGGATATTTGACCCCTTTTCAATGTTTTAGGCAGTAGGAATTTAACAGAGAAACAAAAACGGTAATTTTTAAGAAACAGATTTAATGAAGTTAATTAACCTGATAATCATGTAAAAATATTTGATAGCCAGCTGATCTTAAGAAAGCAAAAATTAGTAGGGAACAGTATGCCAATCCTACTGGAAACCTACAAGTACAATCCCATAGATTGCTTTTGTGGTATGAAACCATAAGAAAGTGCAACTTTTATGCTCTTGATACACCGTCACTAATCGCCCCACTGCAATTGTGAAAGGTAATTTTCATAGCCTATCTTTTTCTGAACCAGAGCACTTTTGGCCATGCTCTCAGGACATTGGAAGCATCTATTTCAACTTAGCTGTTATTTTCAGTTTAGAAAGTCTTAGCATCATCTTTCATTTTTCATTTCAAGGGCCAGTTACTGTGGATATCTACTCGTATGCACTTCCAATTATTTTTTTGGGCTCTAATTTGGGATTGTTGATAGCAATCCCTAAACTTCTAACTCCATGCACCTTATTATCACAGTTGCTGACCAATTCATCTAGCCATACCATCCCTTCTTTTTCTTTGACGGAGAGGCTGGGGTTGTACTATTGTAGGAAATTTATATTTTTTTTTGTCTGGTCAGAAGAAGATAAAACTCTGCCTTTGAGATGGGTTATTTATGTTGCTGAACACTCTGGTCCTTGGAATTGTGTATTTTGACTATTTTCTGAACACCCTGTTTTCTGAACTTTGCAGGCTAAGTGCCCAGGAAGATGAGGAGGATGGTTCTAATCTGTTGAGGAGAACAACAATTGGAAATGGTCAGTTCTCTTTTCCCCTTATAATTAATAAGTGGCATTTGTGCTTATTCGGTCAGTAGCCTCAGTACTACCAGCTCTATTTATCTTCCAGGACCTCCGGAAGCTATATTGGATTGGACCCGTGAAATAGACTCTGATTTATCCCAAAGTACTAATACTCAAGTATTTTCTCGGAAGCATTGGCGTCTTCTTCAATGTCAAAATGGTACTTGTATTGTAAATATGATGTTGCTTAAAAAAAAATCTTCTTAACAAGAAGCTGATGCCTGATAATATCTTATTTTAAAAATTGCAGGGCTTCGTATTTTTGAAGAGCTTTCTGAAGTTGATTACCTTGTATGTAAAGCTGTGTTGTTAAAAAGTATGATGATTTACTTTTATTTGTTATTTCTTTATTCAATTTTCTGCTTGTATACAGCCGAGGAGTTGTAGCCGAGCAATGAGAGCTGTAGGAGTGGTTGAAGCTACTTGTGAAGAAATTTTTGAGCTTATAATGAGTATGGATGGGACAAGATTTGAGTATGTAACCAATCTCATCCATGAATTTTCATCATTACTCTGAAGTGCTTTTATATTCATGCCATGGGAAAATTTGCTTGGAGTTCATCTTCCCAAGCTTTTGTCTCTCCCTCATGTGATGCAATTCTCCCAATAGCCTCCCCCAGAATGATTATAATTTTCCTTTACTTACAACGCCCCCTAAATATTGATGCTTACTAGCGGACTGAGCTTGTGATGCTTTTTTTTTGTTTTTTTTTTTATTATATCATTCTATGCTGTGAAAAGGCTGTTTTTTCCTTCTTTTCTCTCAAGCTTTATATTTTTATCATATAAGTTTCATTCCTGTTTCCTTTGTTCATCCATACCTCAACTTCCATTTCATTTTTCATGCTATTGCTTCTTTGATGAAAATGGATGCCTGACCTAACAGTCTGATCTGGGGCATGTGTAGATCTTATCAAGTATTGTTTTCTTTTGGGTTAGAGCTTCATGTGCATCTGGCTACTCCAATTGGAAATTTCTGGAGATTTGTGCTTGAGTTGACTTATCCATTATTGCTGATTTTTGCACTAATTTCTTAGTCTGACGTAGTTTTACTTATATGGTTTTCCAGATGGGATTGCTCTTTCCAGTATGGTAGTTTAGTTGAGGAGGTGGATGGGCATACTGCTATAATATATCATAAACTCCAGCTTGACTGGTTTTCAATGTAAGTTTTTCTCCTGTTGTATTTCTTTTTATAGTTCCTTATTATGCCTTTCGTAGTGATGATTATCATACTTGAGAAGGGAACTGGATGATCTAACTGTTGATTTTAAAGTACATATGATTCCTGTGCTTTAACATAGGTAGTGTACTTGGTAGGCCTAGAAAAAAACTAATTTGATGTACTGAAGACTTGATCAGAATCTGCCTGATATTTTAGTTTCATGAACACAATTTTTCAGCCCAAAACCAAAAAGAACTTGCAAAAATGAACAAAAAAAGGGATTTGACCCAAAAGTGATCTAAAAGCCGATCTTAGCGAAACCCAAACTTGCACAACCTGACTGATCAGCTTGATAGGTTATTGGGGCGTTGAACATGTTTACCTGAATATTCTGTCCAGTGCTTTGTTTGCATGGAAAGCAGTTCATTTATTAAAAATTGTCCCCAATTCGTGTTATCTCTTACACTAAACGAGATATGAGTTGCCTTGATGCTACAAAGACATCTTGATTAAAATTCTTATAAAGATGAACATATTGCATTTGTGTATGGGAAGAAGAAATAAGATAAATTCTGCAGTTTTGGCACATGGATACAACATCTATGAAGTAGAACGTGCTGTAGATTTATGTAGCAATCTGTGATTTTTCCAGGTTTGTTTGGCCTCGTGACCTCTGCTATGTGCGCTATTGGCGACGTAATGATGACGGAAGTTATGGTCAGTTGTATTGTTTATAGCTTTTTTTCTTTCTTCACCTTCACACTCCTCTCTTTTCCTCCTTGACTGTATTCTGTTATAATGCAGTTGTATTGTTCCGCTCAAGGGTGCATGAGAATTGTGGTCCTCAGCCAGGATTTGTGCGAGCCCATCTTGAAAGTAATTTCTAGATTTCTTTGTTAACGGGCTTTCTGTCGACTCAGTTTTATGCATTGCATAATTGAATTCTCTTTGCTTTCAAATACAACTACTGTTCAGTTTGTTTTCCAATCATTGAAATAGGCAACTTTGTTTTACAATATTTCAGGTGGTGGATTCAACATCTCTCCTTTAAAACCTCGAAATGGGAGGCCCAGATCACAGGTGCAGCACCTTATGCAAATTGATCTAAAAGGATGGGGTGTGGGCTATGTCTCATCATTCCAGCAGCACTGCCTCCTACAAGTGTTAAACAGTGTTGCTGGTGAGCTCTTGTTGCCGATTCTTTTTATCAAGGGTCGGCTCAACTATTATTGGGTCCTTGTGTAATTAACAGAAATTGTGCCCTTGATTTATATTTCAAAAGTTTTAAGAGAGAGATTATAAATTCTAGGTTTACTTTAATATAGAAAAACCTTTCCAAATCTCAAAAATAAATGAAGCTCTTAGAAAATCTTTTTTGATTCTTCCAATTTACAATAATGACCTTGATTTGAAATGGTAATTGGAGAGGTAATTCCAAGTGGGTGCAATTTAATGGTTTTGGTTGTTATTTTAGAAAAATGGGAGTTTGATAATATTGATAAGAGTTATGGTGGCAGGAGACATTTCTTGAAAATGGAGACGCGCCTCATATATTTGAGAACGAGGGTTTTGTAAATAGTAATGCAAGGGGAAGTTAGATATTTAAGATTAAAATGGCTTTTTAGATTTACGCCCTGTTTGGCAATTAGAGGTTAGCTGTTAGCTTATTGCCGGATGTATAGGTGGTTGTATACTTGTATTTAGTTGTTTGTGTAAAAGGGCTTGGTAAGTAGCTCTTAGCTGCTTGCTACTTTATTGGGTAAAATGACAATTAAAGATATTTAAGTAATATATTGGTGGGAGAGTCTTCATTAAAGGTTAGTTGATTTGGCAAAGTCTAGGATAGAACATTCTTTTCACCATTCCATACACAAACCTCTGTTCTTAAAAGCTCCTACAATCAGCTTTTTCATGATTAGCCTTTTGGGCTCAAACTTCTCTCTCAACCAAGCTTTCCCATTGAAGGTTTGGAGTAGTCAAACCTTTCATTTTACCCCTAACTTCTCCCAACCAAACACCCCCTTAATGTTTTTATTATCAAAAGCCGTATGCATTTGGAGATGATTGAAACAAGATCTATCCCACTATTGTTATTTCTTATGTATTCAGTGAGTGAGTTTTAGATTCTATTTGCATTGAAATTTTATAAAGATTTTAAATGGGAACAACAATAAATTACGGAGGTAATATTAAAAAATTATATAAATAAGTGTTCAAGTTTGACAGTAGAAGCTATGATTGCATGCAGAACTGTATAAGACAATTATGGAGTCCCCCCCCCTCCTTCCCCTCTTAATACTAGTTGCTGACATTTCTATTCATATTTCTTGTAATTTCATGAGCTTCTCTCAAAGAATTGTTGCTGAGAGTTATTAAATAAGATATTTGAACGCAATTTTAGAAAACTTGCATGGAGTCCCCTTTGTCAATTAAAATAGAACGTTATGCAAAATCTTTGACTTGGAAATGTAAAGGTGATGTCCAACTAGCTTTTCGTTGAAGGGTATTATTTCTCATTTGGCCTGTCAAGAAGCTTTTGCCTCTTTATCCCCTAAAATGTGTCCATGTGATTAATTGTAAAATCTCTCACTATTCTGACAGGGTTGCGTGAATACTTTTCTCAAACTGATGAAAGGATCGCTACTCCCAGAATTCCAGTCATGGTCAACATGACCTCAGCATCTATGTCTTCTCGAAAGAACCAAAAATTTCAGGATTCATCTATTCATCCTAGTTTTTCCGATCAGAATATGGTTCCTAATAGAAACTCTGTCATGATGGATGAAGACTCTGATGAAGATGAGGATTTTCAAATACCTGAGTCAGACCAAGAGGTTTGTACAAGATTGCTCTGTAAACTCTTTTTTTTTTTTTAATCTAAAGTTCTGTTTTTCTATTTTGGCAATCTTGTAGGGTTACCGCTCTCCACCAGAGAATGAAGTCAAGATTTCAGGTGGGCATTGCTTTTATCATTTATCCATCTTCTTTGTTTTTATGACTGTAATACTATTATTCCTGCATAGAGGTAACAGCTGCCTTTATGTTTGAAGCTGTTGAAGAACCGACTGATCAGATTGACTTAACTATGTTTTCGGGAACTTTACGACGAGATGACAATGAAAATGCTCGCAATTGTTGGAGAATATCCGATGGAAACAACTTCAAAGTTCGCAGCAAGAATTTCTGTCGTGACAAATCAAAGGTCACAGCAGGGAAACCTTTAATGGATCTTGTTGCAGTTGATTGGTTCAAAGATTCAAATCGGATGGACCATGTTGCTAGACGTCAAGGCTGTGCAGCACAGGTGGGTTTTGAAATCTTTCTTTCCTCATTTCTTTTTTCTTTTTTTATTTTTTATTTTATTTTATTTATACAGAGGTAAAATTATTTTATTCATAAAGCAAGAATCGCATAAATTGACTTGATTCTATTTTGTTATTTATTATTAGATTCAGAATTTAAGGGTTAGTATGGGTGTATCACATTGTCATTTTTATTTTTTACCATATTGCTTAAGCTACTCTGCTACGTTGAGTATTTTCTTCCTCTTACTTCACCTTATGCTTTAACTTGTCAACATTTTTTCTTTTGAATTGTTCAATACAGCACATTTTGGAATCTGTACTGATTGTGGCATCTGTGTTTGACACTATACATTGCAACAGCTTGTGCACTTATGCAACTATAGCTTTGACAATAATGTGCTAATATGATGATTTATTTTGGTGATAGTGTTTGACTAACATTGCAACAGCTGGAAAATAGTTAACTTATTGCCATCCATTAAGTGATAGCAAAGAGTCTCCCTGTATTATAGAGGATATTGAGACTTTGGTCATTTGTTTCCCTATTTTTAAACCTACTTTACAAAGTTATGAAGTGAATTTATGAGGCATACATCTTATAAATTCAGATGTTATAGTGGGTATTTGGCCATATATAAACTTCTCCTTTTAAAAAAAATAAAATCTGTTTGGTGTTAAAATTAATTCATTCTTAGCTGTGCTGTCAATTCCATCTCTTATCATGCCTTGATTTGATGTTATTATATATTGCCAGGGATTTATCTTGGCCCCTCATATAATGAGTATGATGAACCTTTGATTGTGTTTCTGCTTGTAGGTTGCTGTGGAGAAAGGAATGTTTCCTTTAGTTATTAATTTTCAAGTGAGTTTCTTTCAACTGCCCGAGCCTTGATCTAAGTTTACATACCTTGAATTAGAAAGGATATTTACTCCATTTCCATTAGGTACCTGGTTCTACTCACTATAGTATGGTGTTCTATTTTGTGACAACAAAATTAATACCTGGGTCACTTCTGCAACGTTTTGTGGATGGCGATGATGAGTTCCGTAATACCCGGCTGAAGCTCATCCCTTCAGTTCCCAAGGTAACTTCATAGACTTTCCTGTTGAGTTAACTTTATAGACTTTCCTGTTGAGATATTTTCAAACTGCCTGCTAGAGTTTGGTAACTAATAAGCTGATAAGAGAACTTGTCCTTTACTCATTATGTGTTTTTTGGTACTTTTCCCATGATTTTGTATAGATATCTTTTGGATATTTGTCTCCTGCTTTTGTCACTTCAGTCATTACACCAGTTGTTAATTTCAGTTCTCTGCTTTTGTCACTGCCTTTTCTAGTTATATTTCCCAAGAATAGGCAGGAAAAGATTGCTGTTGAATTAATTTTACTGTATATAGGCAAAGTTAACTGCTACTGCACAATTTATGCCTGTGTTATCTCCACCCCCCCCCCCTCCGCCTCCAAATAAATTTAAATTCCTATTTTTCTCATGCCGTTGTTAAGAAGTCGGTGGAGGTGTTGGAAGGTATATTTACGTTCCATTTTTTATTTCGTTAATTGTAAAGGTTGTGCACCATTTATGTTACTGAACTTGTGTAGAGATGAAAAGGCTATATGTAAATATTCAATCGAATAGTTGGTCAACTTCTGCCCCTCTGTCAATCTATTAGAGATATCCCCTGTTTTGTAAGAATGTCAGATTCCAGTTGTTGGCCTTGTTGCAATGTGAATCAATGATGCATTAGTACTTTTTTCTGCTTATTTTAGCCTTTCTTTTTGCTTTCATATTCTGCATTTTCTAAGTGGGTATATGCTTTATGCAGGGCTCTTGGATTGTTCGTCAGAGTGTTGGAAGCACTCCTTGTTTGTTAGGAAAAGCAGTTGACTGTAACTACATTCGAGGGCCTAACTACTTAGAGGTAAATTTTATGTTTGTTTGCGAATTTGAGAATGAATATTGATTTAAGTGTATTTTGCATTGATTTTTGTCATATGCTGATTACCTTTTGTAGGTTGATGTTGATATTGGCTCTTCAACAGTAGCCAATGGAGTTTTGGGCCTTGTGATTGGGGTGATTACAACATTGGTGGTTGATATGGCTTTCCTTGTACAGGTATGGAATTTCCAAAAAATTAAAAAGTTGCTACAAAGTGGCAAGTTGGCAACTGATGGAGCCTACAATAAAGACCCAAAACTAATGAGATTGCGGGCTTAGAGAGCTATTGGGGAGGTTTTTGAATTTTAATGAATGAATATATGAAAATCTATGATTAGGTGGAAATTTATTGCTTGATTAGAGAATCAGTTTTTTTAAAATCCCCTCTTTTAATCCCCTTTATAGGACTGAAATTGAGGTTATAAAACAGTGAATTTGTTTGCGACTTTGCGTTTAGAGAGTTCTCTTTTCTTGTGTAACTAATGAGATTGTGGTTTAGACAGTTCTCTTTTCTTTCGTAACTTAGGAAACTTTAGGTACCTTGAACTTTTTAGTTGGATCTGGGATCTCTGTGTGCTGTGGAAATCCTATGAATGTGTTCCATCTCGTGTCCTAATTTCTTTAGTTACAGCACTGGCATTGCATTAAACGTTGAACCAAAATCAATTATGGATGAGGCACTAGGTAGGAATCAAAATGGGAAGAATTATCTCAACCTTAAATTTAGGGATCTGCACTGTTTTCTTTGGGCAATTGCTCTCTTTTTTGCACGCAAACTGCTTGTTTGCAGGCTAATTGACCGCAAGTTGATGTGAATTCAGGCAAATACTGAAGAGGAGTTACCAGAGAGGTTGATTGGTGCTGTCCGTGTATCTCATATCGAATTGTCATCTGCAGTTGTGCCAGAGTTGCCAGATGCACCTGCTGAATGAGCATATATACATCTGGCTTGTGTTCATGTGCATATATTTATCCGGAAGAAGCATTCATTCTTTTTGGCTGATCACATCCTTTCCTGATGTAAATCATTACCAAGATTTACATCATTTGGATTAGCTGAAGAACCAACCACCCGGAGCAGCTACACATTGTATATTTTTGGAGCAAGATGACAGCAAAATGTGGTAAATCTATTGGTGTTATACATTCCTAAGGTGTAAAGTCCTGCCAATTTACTCAGCCTCCAGAATATGTTGAGGTTGTACAAGTTTATCAACGTGGCAGTTGATCTGTTTTATTCTTTTGATTTCTATGTATAACTTAGTTGCATAATACAGAGTTTAGAAATTAGAATACCACAATCAAAATCTATAGTGAATATTCTTCACCCCCCCCCCCCCCCTTTTTTTTTATTCATTTGGCTGTTACTGTTATAATGGAAAATTCTTAAGGCTTAAGTACATAGTGTAGAATATATATTTTTGTGCTCTTGAACCTTGATTCACTAAGCCATTTCGAGGAAAATTCATGGTTTCATGTGACTGACTATACTCTCGTGATTATTGTTGGAATATACTTTTTCCCTTTTTTTAATATTTGCAACACATTTTTTTTGCGGTGTTTAAGAATAATTTAATGTAACTAAAATAAGGTTGAAAGATTGTTAGGAGTATTATTAAGTGGGTCTTGAGCTTAAAATAAAGGTAATTGTAAAACATTTTATTGCAAAAAAATTTCCAATTGTAGTGTGTTGCTATTATTGTGATATTTTCATTTTAAGAAAATGTTACAAGTATTAAAAAACGGAGGAAGTATACTACGAGTATAATATTTGAGCGAACATTGTCTGAAAAACAAAATTGAGAGAAAATATTCAATAAAGTTATATGAATATGACTCCTAATTTTTAGATTTCTTGTAAGTCTGTTGAATGAACGATTTTGGTGCGATACATGTGGGCCAGGTCCTGGGCTTTGCCCACTTCTATCTGGTATATAGCCAGCCCATAAGAAGCATCATGTTTTCCATAATTAAGCGTTTCAGTGATAATTAGTATGTTACATAAACAGAAAGAACACTTCGATCTATATATATACAGAGAGTTGAATTATATGAACAACAATAGAGTTGGTTTATTCAGCCTAGCTATACCGAGGCTTGTACTCAGTCGAAACCCAAACGAGAAATGGAAGCGGCAAGAGATCGATACCAACCACCACCGGAAAAACAGTTTGTTCTACATTGCAAGGATTGGAATGCTTTTTTCATGTCTGAAAAAGTTATCAGGATCAATCTCAGTCTTAATTTGAACCAATCTCTTGAAATTTCCCTTGAAGTATTTATAATACCAAACACTTGCTTTCTTAAAGCTTGTGTTTCCTAGCTCATTCATCCCTAAATCAAAATCCCTATAATTTGCATATGCACTTCTAGGATTTTTACTGACATAAGGCTCCATGTACTTGTACAGCTTCCTAATCCATTTCATGTGTAGTTTTTCGCTCTTTTTCCCATCTTGCCAAATCGTAAGGTACTGGATCATATACACGGTATCCTTCCTCTGTGGGAAAGGGATCGCGGATTCTGAGATTCTGTTCATCTTTCCACCATAAGGAGTGAATATTATAGCACCACTATCCTGTTTCAACCTTTTCAAAAGCCCTGTGATAGCAGTTTCAGGAATTGGCTTTCGGACAAAATCAGACTTTGCTTTGAAGAAGGTCCTAAAAGATGACTTTGCCTGAAGTAAAATATCAAGAGATGTTCCATTTGGGTATCCACCCATGTATAACACCGATTCAATCCATGTGATTTCGAGACAATCCTTTCTTGAAACACCTAGTTCCGGAAACTTTCTTCCCATGATTCGAAGCATTCTACTAGCTTTGCCGAGGAACAGACCTTGGTATTCTATTGTCACGTTTCTTTTGCCTTCTTCATTAGGATTTGTTGCCTGCATTGTGACTTTAACCAAGAGATTGTCATCAAATTTATCACATACATGTTGCCATTTACCTAAGACCTTGATGTCATCTTCTTCCATGATTTTGTTGTTCATGAAATAAGTCACAGTAGGCGGTACATGAACCAATTTGAGTTTCCAAGCAACAATAACCCCAAAACTTCCTCCTGCACCTCCACAGATTGCCCAAAAGAGATCTTCTCCCATGGATCTCCTATCAAGAACCCGACCGTTCACATCAACTATACGGGCATCAATGGCATTATCAGCTCCAAGGCCAAACTTTCTTAGCATAGATCCGTATGCTCCTCCTGTAATATGCCCGCCCATGCCTAAACTGGTAAAGATACCAGCTGGAAAGCCATGAACTCTGCTTTTTTCAGCAATTCTGTAATAGAATTCACCAACAGTGGCGCCTGCTTCAACCCATGCAGTTTCATCTTCGATATCAATGCTGATGTTTCGGAGTTTGGCAAGGTCTACAACTATAAAAGGGTGGTCAATTTCGGATGCAAAAGAGACACCCTCGTAATCATGGCCTCCACTGCGGATCCTTAGGTGAATTCCGAGTTGTTTTGAGCATATAACAGCTGCTTGAATATGGGTTTCTTGTAAAGGGGTGAAAATAATCACAGGTTTTTGGACTGAAGGCAACATATACCTGAAGTTCATGATAGTAGAGTTTAAAACAGAAGTGAAGGAGGGATTTTTTGCAGTGAAAAAAGTATTGGAGAACTGGATTCGAAGCTTGGAGTTTAGATTGAGGCATTGTTTAAAGGATTCATCAAGAGATTGTGAAGTTGCAAAGGAAGAGAATAACAGAGTTGGAAGTAGTACTAGAGCAAGGATCGAGGCTTTCAGGTAAGACATCATATGAGATAATGGATTGTGTCTTAGTGTTTTGCAAGTTGAAAGAAGGAATACTCATAAACTCTGTAAGTATTAGGTAAAACTCAAAACTATTTCACCAACTCACTAATGACAGCATTTTTGAGTTGGTGAAATAGTTTTGAGTTAAAGCATAAATTAAGGACCTAAACTTTTGAGTTTTTCACCCTTGAGGAACTCACAATTTTTGTTTTCACCTTTAAGGACCTAAGGTTAGCATTCCGGGCACTTAACTCACCGTTAACCAAAGGGTGACTGTCAACCATAAGTTTTTGTTTTTTCTTTTCTTTTTTTTTTTTTTTTTTTTTTAAGGAATCAACCATAAGTTACTTGAGTTCACTAAATAATTAGAATTAAAACCAAAAGTAACAAAAACCATATTCAATGCAAAAGTAATTCTTAACAAAAATTACATAATTGTTTTCGGTTTTCATTTCCAAAAAAATACTTCCCCTGCTTTTGCAAAGAATCATGAACAAAAGTAGCCAAAATCATATGGGAGATCATTAAATAACCTTGTTGTGCCACCATCGTATATCAAGTTAGGATTATTAACCCACTTTCCACCATGATGAATTACAAGACATGGTGCAATATCCATTTCTTTAACAACATCACAATCAAAATTATACTACAGAACCAATGATCTAATAACAAGACTTGTTCATTGTTTTTTAAAGAAGTAAAACTATTACATCAGTAGCATATTAATGCCATCTCACAATAGTCAAAATATCATATTCAAAGTCATAAGCTCACATTGTCATATATGCTTTAGTGTTATGCATATGATACTGCACACTTTTGGCCTTATCTCGGCCATTCACAAAGTCGGTAAGCATTTGTATGATCAAATGATTGAATTTTTAGCAATCCCATCCCCTACTTTATGGTAATTAAACACAACACTACTAAAAATTTCACAATCTAAAGACATGCAAACTATTCTTTCCCATAATTAAACACAACAAAACTTAAAATATGTAATTTCATCAGTTGCTACCACAAATAAATAAATTAATTTTAAAAAATTAATATATTTCAAAAACCCTAAACCATACAAAAACCCAATTATATAACACCCTCAATTATGTAATAAAAAACAAAGAAATTGATTACCTAATGTCTTACTTTCAATTTCTAAATGAAATTTGCTGCAAACCCTTCAAATTTTGTAAAAATGGAGGCTTTTACAGTGAAACACTGCAGAGAAGTTCTGGAGTAAGAGAGAGGGAAGATGGGTTGGCGCGAGTCTTGCAATTGTCCCAATACCCGTATGTAAAATTTGGGGGTAAGACGGTAAGTATGATTAAATTTTGTCTTCTCCAAAAACATTTAAGTCAATTTCCATTTATTTAAATTTTATAATAATAAAGTATTAAAGTTAACTAAAAGCAATCCACTAATTTAACTAGTGTGGTTAAGTTTCACCGAAAAAGTGTCAATAGGTCTCTTAACGGTGAAAATAAAAATAAGAGGTCCTTAACGGTGAAAAAAGTAAAAGTTAAGGTCCTTTGTATATGCTTAACTCAATAGTTTTTCCATTGATTGGCTTTAATTAATTTTTTAATTATCAATGTCGGGAAAAAGACTAAGACAGGTAGCTTAGAAATTATCTTATAAACTTGCTAAAATTATACAGCAAAATGAAACCAAATAATTGAAATTATATAATTCTATAATGAGTCATAAAGAGCAAATAAGTTCATTTCTGATAAAACCCCGTCAGATACTTTGACCACCTTTTTCAATTAATTTGAAACGTACAATTAAGGATAACAATTTTTAAATGTGTGTTTATTTTTTATTTTTTTTAAAAAAAAAAAAAATTATACAAGAGCTAGGTCTAAATGCACACAATGTATATTTCGCATTTCTTTAAATACGTAATTAACATGGATAGCAAACCTCTCAAGAGTTGGCTAATATAATGAAGCTGCACAAAGGGCTACGTGTTCTAAACTAGAAAAACAAATCTTTTAAAATGTCATAAATTCAAAGTTTAGTTGTACAAGCTATCACCAAAGTCGTCCAATTCTGAGTCACGCTCAAAATCCTACGCGAATCTTTGAAATTTGGCTATTACTTCCCCTAGCTTCAACAAGAGGCTGGTCCGCTGGAATGTCATATAAAACTGATCTAGAGTTGAGCAAATCCATTTTGGCCTATTCAACTGTACTCGATTCGGACTGCTATTTTAGGGTCTGCATGGTAGCCAGACCCTATTGATTAGGCTCTTGTTAGAATGTTAGGGGTCGACATGAGTAGATGGCCCTAATAAAAACATCCAAAGCAGAGTTCAAACCAATTAACATACTACAATAAACTCAGAATGGTCCAGCCCATGGCCTGTGATCACCTAACTGTAGTAAGACAATAAGAAGGATAAGGTTCCAAATATCCATAACAAGGGCTCAATGGTAGTACATTCAATCAATTTAACAATGGATAGTTAAGTTGAACACCCGAATACAGCATCTCAAGGAACTATTGAACAGAATAACAACAAACAATAAACGGAAGAAATATGGTTACAATTATTGAGTTGATAATAATTTTAAGATTTTTATGTACCTGGGGCTTTATGATCAGAAGATACAATATACAAGATACTTGGAAGCAGCCATGTAGATCAAGCTGGTTGAAGGATGTCCAAGGCAACTTCCTTCAGAGATGGCATAGTTTCTCGTTGATGCACACAAATATACTTGTTCCCAGTCCTTCTAAGAACCTGCCAAGGTCCGGGATAACACCTGCAGTATTGTATCTTTTAAGTAATAATTGGTAGAAGATACAAAAGGCTGACTTCTAAGAAAGTTCAGAAGTATGTAAAATATGTGCAACTGAGCAGCTAAACTGCAACTTTTGGCAACAAACCTGAAAAGAGTTCCACCATTTCGTCCTTTAAAATTATGAATGTAATACACGGTTTCCATTTTTGGCAACAATGTCTTGGTAAGTGCAGCCAACTTTGGGTAAAAGAATGACGGGTAGTCTGGAGCCCCTTTTGTCAAGGACAACAGTCAGCCAACATGTTCATGGTTTCATACATTTTGTATTAAAGGCTTACACAGGAAGTCGAAGTTTGCAGGAAATAGAAACTCAAATGTTGCTTGGTATGCCAATACCAAACAACGGTAAGTACAACTTCCCTTTTAGTAGAGGAAATTCCTTACCACTTGGAGTTTTCCAACCAAACAATGTATGGTCACGTTCAAGGAATTCTTGGAGTAATACAACTACATGGGAACTGATAATTCTCATGTCAAACCAAATGACCATTAAGAGAGGAATTAAAAGCACTTAAATCAGGCGAAGCATGCACAAACTACTCAATGTTAGCTCATGTGATAAAGGATACATCCAGATCTTATTCGATCCAGTTCCCCATTGAAAACAATCAATTTCCTTGAAGTGTTAGCGACTGCTTCTTTATACAGTTCTTCCACAACAAGCATCTCTTCATTCAACAAAACCACATCAGAATTACATCAACAGACTCACTAAAAGGAAGAGGGCTGTAATAGAGGATCTACCATTCACATTGAAGTATGGGTATGCAACCAAGAAAAGCTCATCTTCTGGCCGTACGCGGTCTGCCATTTTGACTTTTGTGCCAAAACCAAAGTCCTCAAGAAAAGATGGCTTAGTCAGGTAATCTAATTTCAATGAAACTCCCTCAAAAACTGACGTTCTCGCAAACTTTACTTCACTGGCTTCTGGGAAAAACTGAAATAACAAAAGCAAAAGTTTAACTAGTTGAATTGAATTAATCACTCAAAGAATGCCATCAAACACAACAAAACATTCCATCCATATTACGGAGTATAATATAAGCCACAGAGTTAGAGTCAGCAGATTTGCATTGTCTCAATTTAATCAACATTCTCTTTTCATACCAGAATCCACAAGTTTCAACTCTCTAAAAATTTCAAAACTCTGAAGATTATCCAATATTGGGATAAGAAAGGTTTCTTCAGTTGATTGCCGTGTAATTTCACTACACAAAGTAGCTCCATGATTTTTCATTTTTGAAATCAAATGAATGGAGACTGTGTAACAGATTTTTCAGTTTTGAAATCAAATGAATGGAGACTGTGTAACACGAAATTTGAGCATTCTTAGAAGATTGGGAAATTTTTAAAATGAAGTATTCACATTAAAAAATCAAGCAATACAGACTCCAATCATTATAAGAAAAGGAGAATACATATAATTTTCCAGAAACATTCATACTATCCTGGTCCGGGTAGCTTTTTCTGGAGCTACAAGGCGGTCACAGAATTCACGGATCAACTGCATGCTCTCAGTCATTTCTGTACCACCTTCACCATCACCTAAACCAGGGATCATAGAATTATACATTTATACCAGCTTGTACATTCAATGTAATCGATAGACTTCAGGACAGGGAAAGGGGGATGTGCAATATTCAAAACAAAGCATGTATGTAGAACAAACCTGGCACTGATTGTAATCCAGAAGTTGGGAACTCAATCTCCTGCATAGCATTTATGTTAGACACAACACTATAACTGCTTGGGATGATAAAACCAAAGTGAAATTAGAAACCACGACACTAACCATCAACTGTATGTTATCCTTTATTGCAAACTCAGTAGCTTCTTTCGCCTGCAATTCATAACACAGAAGCAGTGGGACAGTGTAGTGAGAATCAGGAAGTTGATTCGCAAAATGATTACAATCAAGTGACTTAACAAGTAAGTGTGTCGATTTCAGATCATTTGGAAGCACACATTCCTTTCTAATACAAGGCCTTTACTGTGAATGAAAACGAAAATCGCACTTATATATCCATCTATCTATAAGGTACATTAACAGTTCTGCTCTCCAATTTCCATTCTTTTTTCTCATATTTAAAAGATCAATATTATTTCATTGACTCCAACAAACACTCAAGATTCAAAAATGTCTAACAAGAAATAAAATAAAAATGCTCATTGCTACAACAGTTATGTTTATCAACAATTTTAACTTCTGGGTAACCAAACTATCAACAGATTATATCAACTAACACAATAAAACCCTTATCAACTCAAATTAGGCACAAACTTCGAATTAAATTTTCAAACAAAACCCCACAAATTAAGTTCAGTAGGTCTTGTTTATAACGAGTGTACATTGTCACCCTGATCACAAAAAAGACGAGTTGTCATATACAATACACCAGTTGTATATAAGTTTCGGCCTAATTAAAAAAATTAAATTTTGTATTCATGGGCAATAATAATTTAAAAAAGGGAGAATAAATTACTTGACGAAGAAGCTCAGAATAATCAGCTGGAAAGGAAGCGTCAGAAACTGAGACATTAGAAGCATAAGTAACAAATCTTGAGTGATAATTACTTCTTTTCAGCTTCAATTGTGTAATTCCAAAATTCCAACTTAATTTCAAAGCTCTATTTTTGCAAATCTTGTCAACCTCAAATAATCGCCCATTATCAACCTAATTATCCAACCATTTTAGAATTAAAATTCATTGGAAAAATTAATAAGGAAAAAAAAAAAAAAGATTTTAAAATAGAAAAATAAAACAACTTACCTTAGGTGACGGAAAAGTTGGAATTGCCGTCGGAATTTTGGCGCCGGAAAACGGCATTTTTAATTAATTACCAAGAAAAAAATTGAGGAAGCTTAAGAAAAACGTTAACATTATCTGTTTTTATTTATTTATTTATTTTATTCAAGGTTTTTTTTAATGATATTTGTAGGTTGGGTTTATAATTGGGTATGGGCTATTATGGGCCAAAAAAGTCATGTTGGCCCGATCTTACGTATATGAAGCCCATGCACAGTTTGATACATGTGTAAGAAGGCCCACTTAATATATTTGGTTTTTTATTTTTGTAAATTGGTGAAAAATAAACCGGTAAGCTCGTTGTATTCTTGTTGGCCTGTTGCCAAATTTCGAAAACGATGCTCATGCAATGTCTTACAAACGTGTCTCTTATGTTTTGTTGGATGCGTAATGGATTCATGGATCATTTTAAATTAGGCCATTTTTGGAAAAATGGAATCTAATAATTCCACCTTTACTCCGTCTTTTATAAATAATCTCACCTTTAGGAATTCCAGAAACAATCCCACATTTGACAGGGATTTTTCACTAACAATCCCCTGACCGGTTGGATTGTTTTGGTAACCAGTTTTATTAGGTTACAAGACACGTGTCAACTTTTCATTGGTTTATTCTATTTTTTAATAATTAAAAAAAAAAAAAAACAAAACCCCCAGCCACCTGAACGACCCCCGGCTCCTTCCCTGTTTCAAAAAAAAAAAAAAAAACAACCCCCCTTCCCCTCCTCATCGCTGCCCCAGCCTTTCCCAGCAACCCAATCAGCGCAATCGGAAGCCTGACAACAAGCCCGATTCTTGAACGGCCAAAACCTTCAACAAGCTTGACAAATTAAAGGGGTTTTTGGGGGGTGGTTAGGGTGTTTTCAGATGGAGTTTTCAGGGCTAGGTGGGGTTTTTCGGGACTGGGGTGGAGTATGTCGGGGTTGGGCTTGAGTTTTCAAGGATGGGTCGGGTTTTCCTGGGCTAGGGACGGAGTTTGCAGGCTCCAAAGCCCAAATTCGACCCTTATTCTTTCTTCTTAATTTATTTTTGGGGCTGATTTGTGGGTGTGAATTGATGTCGTAGTTGTTCGATATGGAGGTTTGGCGGCCTGCAAGTGGCTTGCGGCGTTGCGTGTAAGGTGGGCGCTGGTTTTGCGTCTGTAACAGCAGGTGGCTGCTTGCCTGCTTCTTGTGAGTTGTTTGTTGTAGATCTGTTTGTGAGAAAGGTGCGTGAGATGGTGATGTTTGGCTGCGGTGGCGCGGCTGCTTACGGTTGCTGCCGGTGGTGAAGTGGGAGGAGGGTAGCAGCATGTTGTTGGAGCTAGGTGAGGTGTGGACGTGGTGAGCAGGCTGGTGCGTTGCGTGAGGGAGCAGGGGTTGTGTAATGGTGGTGGACTGGTGGTCCGAGGAGAAAGACTAAGAAAAAAAAAAGGAAAAAAAAGAAAAAAGATTTAGGTCAAAGGGATTGTTAATGGAAGATCCCTACCAAAGGTGGGATTGTTTCTGGAATTTCAAAAGGTGGGATTGTTTATGGAAGATGGAATAAAGGTGGGATTATAAGTTTCTATTTTTCCGCTATTTTTTCATGTTAGTTTAGTTCATGCTTTGTCTTTAGTTGGAAACCCCCTCCATCTCATAATAATCGTAACATTTGACCGGCATACATGTTAATGCTCAACTTTGACAATAGATGATTGTAATTATATACAAGTATTATTAAGAAGTATAAAAGCTTAATCTAATGAAAATATGCATAAAGACTAATCTAAAAATATTTACATGACAATAAATGTTTCTTTTTTATTTTATATATATATATATATATATATATATATATATATATATATATATATATATATATATATATATATATATATACTACCTCCGGTTTTTTTTATGTGCAACTTTGAGTCATTTTGCGGTTCACGAAGCAAAACTTGATAATGGTATTAATGTATTATAGGGGTATGTAATTAAGGTGGAGAGAGAATGTTATGAAAATTAATCAACCACCCACTACCACCACCAAAACCAGCCAACACCACCGCCGCCTTCACCAACACCACCGTCTGCTTCACCAACACCACCACTACCACCCCCACGAAACCACCACCACAACCAACCCCACGAAACTAACCCCACCCTCACGAAAACCCACCGACGGAACCACCACCTCCACGAACACACACCAAAACCCAGAACAACGACCACCCACCAAAACCCACCGATGGAACCACCAAAACCCACCCACCAGAACCCATATCTGCGGCCACCCACCGCCTTCACCGTACCAACACCAGAACCCAAATCAACGAAACCACGAAACTAAACCCCCAACTCGAACCCAAAACCACGACCCACACCCCCTTCACCGTACCAACACCACTGTCGCCTTCAACGCGGGCCCTTCACCACTACCAGTACCACCACTACCAACCCCACGACCACCACCCTCATGAAAACCTACAAAATCATCGGTTGAAGTTGAAGAGAGAGAATGAAGATCAATGGGGGAAGATGAGGATGACAGAGGAGAGAGAAAATACGGGGGAAGATGAAGATGAAGATGGTTTTGAAGAGGAGAGAGAAAATATGGGGGAAGATGAAGATGAAGATGAATGGGGATGGTTTTGGATTTGTTGAATTGAAGATAAAGAGTTGATGAATTAGATTGGGTTGGTTGGGGTGAAAATTGGGTAAGAATTAGTGAGTAATAAAATCCGATTATAGTTAATAAATTGTGTTTTAATTTTTTAAATGAGGGTAAAATTGACATTTGACTAGTTTTTTTTTTTATTAAAAATAGAAAGAAAAAAGAAAGTTGCACATAATAGTGAGCGGACTAAAATGGCAAAAGTTGCACATAAAAAAAACCGGAGGTAGTATATAGTCAAAGTAACTATATGAATAATGCAAAATTAAAGTCAAAGTGTTGCGATTATTACGAAACAGAAGGAGTATATATTTGCAAACACATTCTTATAAGGCGTTGCTCTCTTCACCTTAAAATAAATACAATTTCAATAAAAAATATTAGAGTTTAACAAAAATAATTTTTAATCAGTAAAAATTAGAAACCTTAATGAACAAATATAATGTGGAATCGGTAAATATAAATTTTAATAAGTAAAAATAATTTATGTCCGGTAAAATTATAAGTAATCGAATTTTAACAAAAATAAGGTGAAGATAGAGAACATGGCCTAATTAAGATAATAGGGTGAAGAAGTTGTTGTCTATCAGCGGCAAGATGTATATAGAGTCTGCATTTCGAAGATATTAACACTTTTTAAAATAAATTTTTATCCCTTCGCTTAGTTGTATTATTTATGCTTATGGTGATTCTAATACGTAACCCAATTTACACTATATTATATATTCAATAAAATACGAAGGAAAACTCTTAAAACTTATAAAGTAATATTTTGAAAAGATATTTCAATCCGAATCTAATAAAGTCTCATATGATATAATTTATTGATGTTTATTGTAGTGAGTTTTCATAGTAAAAGCTATTAAAAGTTACATACGAAGTCTAAGTTAAAAAGTAACGAAAGGAGTAACAACTTTTAAATATGTATATGCTTATTTGAATCCTTAGACTACATATATCATTGTCTATAGTTATTTTCTAACAATAGTTTGGTACCCTGCTATCTTCTTATGACTTTAAATTGGTACACTTTGGAGTGTAAAGTAACTTCCACCTTTATTTTTTCAATAATTAGGGCCACATTTCTAAGTTCTAACAACCCTACCAAACATTATTTCAACCAAACATTATTTCAATTTCTTGAAGTCACCTTTTGTTTTTTTTTTCAAACACACTACTGTGTGCAAGGGAAGAAAACAAAAGTCTATATATATAAAAATCCCCACCTTCATATTCTTAGGCCACAAATTAGTATAAACATAACTCAAAATTATATTACAAAATTCTAAGATATTATTCGATAATTGAATAATGGCAAAGACTAAGGTGCTTGTTGTAGGAGGAACAGGGTACATAGGCAAGAGGATTGTGAAGGCATGCCTAGCACAAGGCCATGAAACTTATGTTCTCCTTAGGAAAGAAATTGGCCTAGACATTGACAAGCTCCAGATGCTCCTCTCCTTTAAGATGGAGGGAGCTCGCCTCGTCGAGGGCTCGTTCGAAGATCATCAGAGCCTTGTCGAGGCGGTGAAGCTTGTAGACGTCGTGATCTCAACCATGTCTGGTGTTCACTTTAGAAGCCATAACCTTTTGTTACAACTCAAACTTGTTGAGGCCATTAGGGAGGCTGGAAATGTCAAGGTATGTGCGTTCTACTCTTGTTTGACAATATTTTCTTTTTTTTCATTTTTTTGTAGTACATGATTTTACAATTATGTGGAGTAGGTTTTTTTATAAAATTATTTTGAAATGAACACACAATTTATGACTTGGATGAAAGTAGATAACAATGTTATGAATGAGTTTGTTTGGAATAATAACTACTCTTGTCTTCAATGGGTAACAATAATAAAGGCCCGTTGGTAAATCTCATGTTAATAAAGGCCCGTTGGTAAACCTCATGACCTCATGTTGGTAAAGTTGGTAGAGCAATCGTACCAACATAAATCTAAAAATACTCAAATAGGATGTCATTAGATTTGTATCGAGCAATATGAAATTTTCACAATTTCTTAATTACGAAATTAAAGAAAACGATAAATAAACAATATTTAATAGATAGAATTAAATTTGAATGTTATGACATACATGATCTAATTAATTCTGAAATAAGCAAATATCAACTTAAATGAAATAGAATTGAATAGTGGTGGTCACATTATTTCGAAATTAAAGATATTTTATCGAAAAAAAAAAAAAAAAGTCTGATAAGATATTGATATGTCTGATTATATCTAAGATAAATATATATCAACTTAAATAAGTTGACTAAACGTAAGATATAGTCATGGTTGGTGATACAAGAAAAATATACGAAATACTTTTTCAGTTTCTTTTTAATTGACACGTTTTTTTAGTCACATTTGCCAATGCACAAATTCAACTATTAATATCTTTAATTACTGATAAGCAAAAATTATGAAAAGTTGATATTTGAAAATATATATCGTGACGAATCTAACAAGATTATTACTATATTTTATCACTTATAAAGCACAAAATACGATCAAAGATGAGTGTGTGAATAGTGCTAAAGTCAAAACGTGTCAAACTTAAAACAAAGTTAGTAATATTTATAAGTTGGTGATACCCAAAAAAAAAAAAAAAAGTTGGTGATACAAAAATAATATTTAGTAATATCCGCTGGTCATTATTGCCAAAAAAAAATAATAAAAAATATATCCACTAATCATTAGTGAAAGGTGGTAATATTATTTATTTATTCAAAGCCCATAAGCTATAACCCACAACAGAAATTAAATATACAAATAACAAACATTTAATAAAACCACTAGTTTTTGGGCTCGCACAATGCTCGAGATTATTACATAAACTGATCATTAATATACTTTGTTATTTATGATTCAATTTTCTTGTAATTAAATTTGTTGTTCATATTGTCATTTGTTACATATTAATATTTTGTATTCAAAAGATTGCATAAAAATCACATAGCTTGGTGGTAAGACACTTAGTTGTAGTATTAGAGGTTGTGTGTTCAAATTTTATGAAAAACATATTTTTTTTTATTATTATAAGTGCATGACATGCAATGAAATACAAATGGAAGGGAGAGCCACGTGACGTAATGAGTAGTTGAGTGGGTGACGTGTCGTAGTGAGGGGAGATTACGTAACACGTGAACGTTCTTAGGAATGTCTTTTAATATATTAGTATACTAACTGTATTTCACTATTTTGTCATAAATTTTCAAGCTAATCACCTATAGTGCGTGCCTAATTATGGCCCTAATCAATGGTATGCATTTATGCCTTTATGATGCAAATTTACTAATTTCTCCGGTTTGTAAAAATAACATAAGTTGCATAAAAAAGAAAGCATAAGTTTGTAGTATAATTAACAATAATTATGGTGCATGTTTATGTATATGTACATATATGCAGCGTTTTTTGCCATCAGAGTTTGGTATGGACCCAGCAAAAATGGGAAATGCACTTGAGCCAGGAAGAGTTACGTTTGATGAAAAGATGATTGTGAGAAAAGCAATTGAAGATGCTCAAATTCCATTTACTTATGTAATTGCTAATTGTTTTGGTGGTTACTTTGTTGGCAACCTTTCTCAAATGGCCTCTCTTCTCCCTCCTAAGGAAGATGTTGTCCTCTATGGGGATGGAAATGTCAAAGGTACCTTTCGATTCAAGCTCGATCTCTCTCCATATGTCCAAAGTCATTATTCACGTTGATAGTATAAGTTATTTGACGGAAATTTATATTTTGGCTCAAATTGTCCACCTTATTTTTTTTACATAAGTTTAGGGGACATAACTATAAATTAATTCAGTTCATGAAAAATAAGTACTACCAATAATTCGTATCATGTACTCAAGTTTAATAAGTCTATTTCACACACGCACACACATATTGTGATAAAAATGTACCCTTAATATAAATATTTTTAAAGAGGTTGATTGAGGAATGCACGCATGTATGAATAATTGTTTTATACTCTGTACTACGTATGTTATTATGTATGTTGTCTAGAATGTATTTAATTTTAACGGTGTGAACGGTGCAACAGCATGCTTCATGGACGAGGATGATGTTGCAACATATGCTGTCAAGACCATAGACGACCCTCGTGCAGTAAACAAAACTATTAACATCAGGCCTCCAGAGAATACATTGTCTCAAAGAGACTTGGTTCAAATGTGGGAGAAGCTTACAGGAAAGGAGCTCAACAAGCACAGCATCTCCGCTGAGGATTTTCTTGCCCCTATGAAAGGTACAAATGTCAAGTTACTATCATATACTTCCTCGACCAAAATAATAGTCACATATATTTATATTATATAGGCTAGTCGCCTGGCCTATTATTTATGTAGGTAATTAAAAACATAATTAAATTAAAATTGTACTTGTAGGTGATTTCATATGATTAAATTTATTGTTAGTGGAATTAGTTTTCGTTTATTTACTTAAATTATACTTTTATTAGACCCTTTAATTTGTGTGTAATACTCACAATTTCTTTTTGTGTTTCAGATGCTGAACTTGCACATCAAGTGGGAATAGGACATTTTTACCACATTTTCTATGAAGGCTGCCTTACTAATTTTGAGGTAAAAGATGATGAAGAAGCTTCGAAACTCTATCCGGAGGTTGAATGCACTCGGATGTATGATTACTTGAAACGCTACTTGTGAGAGAGAAGAGAAGAGAAGGAAAAAAAAATGTAAAAATAAAGTTTTTTTTAAAGCCATTGCCTTGATTGTTCAATTTGTTTTCCTTGAATTGTATATCTTTGTTATTTCAAAATACTCTATAGTTTTGAAAATTAAAAGAAAAATATAAAAAATTTGGACTTGTTTTCTTCATCTGAAATAAGATGATATGGTCTTATTTTAATAAGGTCTATATGATAACTTATAATAATAAAACTAAAAAAAACAATTATCAAATTGAAACTTGTTACATTTGTTTCATTATGTACTTTTCGATATATAATATAATCTCATATTTTTTAGGCTTTTTAGCAATAAGTAAATGAGATTAAAAGTTTGATCTGATCTTTAACAGGGATAAGTAATCTAATATATATAAATAAAGTAGACATTTTTAAAGAGCATTCGGCACGCCACGTAAGCAAAGGTATGTTTTCGACCAATTAAAAATTAGAATTCTATTTTATTTTGGAATTAAAAAATTCGTTTGCCACGTAAGAAATATCATTATTTTAACCAATAAGAATAAAGATATACTTATTTCGACCAATAAGAAAATAAGAAGAAAGATTTGATATATAATTATTTCGGCCAATAAGAATAAAGATTTGTATTTATTTTTGAATTAAAAATATACTTTTTCCGACCAATAAGAAAATAAGAAGAAAGATTTGATATATCTATAAATTTTTATCTTTTTTTTTTAAATTATTGTTATCAAGAGAGTATTAGTAGAATTGATAGTTTTTTTTTTTTTTTTTAATGTAAGTATAGTGCTTACAAAAGGTTGCACCACGGAATAGATCAGAAGCAAAAGCCCATAATTGTCAAGCAAGTCAGAACGAAAATTCCAAGTTTAATGGAACAAAGTGACTACAAACAAAAGAAAAACATAATTAGTCAGCACACAAAAAGGCCCAACAGATTTAATCTATTCAAACTTTAAGCTGAGGAAAAGATAAGCCTTATCGAGGCAATTTGCCAAAAGATTGCAGCCTTCTATAATCCGTTGCACACTGTTTTTGGTTAAAGCCTCGAACGAAGACACTCAGCAGGTTTATCTATTTTATCAGTCAAGCAAAATATTATCAATTGTTTCGATACTTAATAAAATGATAAAATTTAAGTTGGGGAAAAGATATAAATTGATTTAATTAGCTTATGATTTGTTATTATTATAAATAGGCATTAATTTAATTCACGCACCATCAAAGAATCACACAATACCTCATACAAAACAAATTGCATATTGAGGTTTAAGAAAATGTCGGTGTAATTCCTTAAACTCATTTTTTTTTCAAATTATAATTATTGGTAATATTATTTTTAACTATTTTTTTCAATGTATTGTTTTCTTAGGTCTACTTCGTCGATTCGAGAACTTAATTCTTCCAAAAATGATTGGAAAATTAAAGTACGCGTATCAAGGCTTTTTGATGTTTTGAACTTTCGAAAACATAATAGTTTGATTAGTTTGGACATGGTTTTAATTGACGAAGAGGTATGCCTTTAATTTTATTTTTTTATTTGATAATACTTATCGTTTTAAATTCATTGTGTAACTTACAATATTATTTTAACATATAATTTTATTTTGCACATGTAGGGTGATTATGTCCATGCTTCAATCAAAGGAAAATTTGTCCAACAATTTCGTTCAACACTAATTGAAGGCAAAGTTTACACAATTCGATATTTTTCTGTTGTACCTAACAAAAATCAATATCGTGTTGTGAGCGATAACAAGATAATGATACAATTTTTTCAAAATACATCTGTTAAGGGGGTTGCAGATAATAATAAAATTTCGTTGCATAGATTTGATTTTATTCAATTGCAACATTTAGATCAATTCCGTAGTAATGTAACACTCCCTGGTATATATTTTACATATTTTCAATTTTTATTGTTTAAAAAATATTATAGTGTTATCATTCGTTTTACTAACTCTCTCTCTTTTTTTTTTTTTTTTTTTGTATATCACTTTGTCTTACAAGATGTGGTTGGTATGGTTGTAAACAAAATTGGAGATTCAATTGAAATAGAAGACAAATGGTAATTATTATTTTAATATATTTGTATATATTATTATTATTAATTACGATAAACTAAAACTTATAATTGTAAGATAATTTATATTTGACTTATTCTAGATTTATTAGTAAATTATTTGTATCTTGATATCATGGTTAGGGGACAACGAATCCAATTAAAGATTTGGGATAAGTATATTCTGATTATTTAAGACAAAAAGCCCTACTTGCTGATTCCAGTAAGCCTTTTGGTATAGTTGTTACTTCAACAATGGTCAAATATTTTAATGATAAGTATCATATATTAGTCATTATAATAACTTTTTTTTTTAATATTTACAACGAATAACCGAATTTGTCATTATCATTTTGTTTATAGGAAAAATTAATTTAAATACTTCTGCATCAACCAAAAATTTATATTGATCTTCAAATTTCTAAGGTTGATGAATTAATATCAACTTTATCTGTTCTTATTTAATAATAATAAAAAATATTACCAAACCCGTGCATTGCACGGGCTTCACACCTAGTAAGCATTTAAAATAAACCAAAGAGAACGAGTCCTAAAAAGCAAACTCAATAATCTTCTTTTCAGTCTTTGCATGACACTGATAGAATTTATACAACTTTTTTCTACTTTGTATTTTTAACCTTTGTTTGGCCTAACATGGACATACTGACTAACATGTGCGCACCGTCTACTATACCGGCCCAATTAATCCTGACTCGGGGACGTGGCACGTGATTTTCCCCGAATATTATGGCCGGCAATAGCATGAATCAATAATCATGCCATAATTTCATAATTTCATATTTTCATGTAATGAGATAGATCAAAATAACCATTCACATTGTTTCAAACATAAAAAAAAAAAAAAATAATAATAATAATAATAAATAAATAAAAAAAAAAAAAAAAAATAACCATTCACATAAATTACCTTTTGTGCACAAAAAAAATAACCATTCACTTTTCTTACTTCACAATTTTAACTGTTTAATTCATCCCAAAATTCCTAAATTATCAATTACACTTGACTTTTTCATTCATTTTTTGATTAGTGCTACATTTGCTCAAGGATGCACTACTATTTACACTTCTTCGCATTTTTATTATTTTTCTTCCTTATTATTAATCTTGCTTTTGTTTTTTTTTTTCTTTCCAACTAATTCCATCTGTGTATATTGTTATTGTTCATTTTCATTAACAATTATACTCCCTCTATTTCTTATTATTTGTAATAAAAAAGTATTATTTATGAAACATAAATAATTTTTTTTATTGCAAATAATAAGAAATAAAGGTAATCATTCACTAACTAATGTATATATTATAAAATAATTGTTTTTGTTATATGTCGTGTATATGTAACATATTTCGTACAATTAATATAATTCGAATTATAGGAAATACTTCGTACGTAATACTTCGTATTATTAATGCCAAAAGCGCTAGAGAACATGGTCTTACACTATTACCTCTTGCTCCCCTCACAACTTGTCATTAATGCATGGCAGCCTCTCGTTTCCTTCGCCGTTTTTCTCTCTACATGTTTTTTTCTTTTTATTTTTTATTTATTGTTTGTTTTATTCTCTTTTTTCCTTTTGTTGTTTTGTAGTCTTAGCACAATTGAGTTCTGTCCCTTGTTGGGAAAACCTATTGTTTATGGATTATTACATGTGGAATTACATTATTATATCATGTAATGTGGCAATGATTAAAATAGATGATTACTCCTACAATTAGATATGATGGGGTCAAGCATTTATAATATAAAACCTAATTTAAAACATCTGCAATAATGCTTTGATTTGTATGCTTCATTGTTGATACATAACATTAACAGATGATATCTCTAATAATAAACTTGTAAAATTATAAAATTGATATTTAGAACTGTAACACGATCATGTTTGTTACGTGTAAATTGAAGTAGGAGCAAACATTTAGCTGCTATTGTGCTAAACTTGTTTTCACTTATTTTAGAAAAAAAATTATAAGGACAAGCCAAGTTCATCAAGATAACGATCGTCCTCACAAAGTACCAGCATTCAGCAACATGCTCAGTTGTAGAAGATTACTTGGACATTAGATTATACGTAGTATTATTTCCTAAAAATATGGCATACCCAAATTAAAGGTACATTGACAACATGTGGCCAAGTTTATCAAATTGTCAATCAATCTAGAAAGGAAGCATGAGACAGTTGGCCAAGCTTATCGACTTCCAGGCACAATACCTATGATCAATTCAAACATACCAAATTGTTAGTTTAGTTGGTTAACTAAAGTATTGAGGGGTGATACTGAGAACCTGATGAGATCAAATTCCGTTCACATATCATTGTTATAGCAGCTCTCTCTACACCAAAAAATAAAAAAAATAAAAAAATAAAAAATAAAAAAAATTAATTAGCAAGGGTGGTTAATTTTATCAAGTGACCAAATTGGTTTCGATCATGAATCATGACACTGTCGGTCAGTTTATAATTATTAAAAATAACCCCTTCACTAATTAATTTCTTTTAATAAAACCAGACTTTGTCTTCCCTACATCTATAACAATATTTAGTTCTCTGAATCTTGTACAATATCCAAGCAACATCACCGTTGAATCCATGTATATACATAAATAACTTTATATTATGCTGTCAGTATCTCTCAAGATTACGATTCCCAACCCTAATTATTGTCAAATAATTAATAATTAATAGTTTGAGTATTTTTTTAAATAATGTAATGTAAAGTACAAAAGTTAGATGAAGTCCTTACAAACTTAGTGTTTAATTACTGTAACAATAATTTTGTAAATTTTGGGTCTATATCTTATGAACATTACATAATTGGCCATTGGCACTCAATCTAATCCTCAATTGACTATTAGTCCATTATTTTTCGTGGTTGTAATGTCAACAAATATGTATTTATTGAACTTTAATTCAAAAACAATTATATTTAGTTTTAATTTCCTCATTGCGATGAAGTTATCATCTTTAATGTTATGTATACTCCCTCGATCAATTTATTATAAACTATTGTAATATGGCGTAAAGTGTTTATCTAAGACGATGCATATGGTTGACATATATAAGAGATAGATATATTATAATCATTTCATTGATATAAAAAACACTTAGCTTTTAACTACATTTCATCATTTAGACTTGATAGTAAGAGATGAAAACAATATTAGTCAATTAGTGATCGAGTTGTCTATTGTGCTTGAGCATTGTTTAATTTCATAAGGCCAATCGAGTCATGGAGACATATATTTCAAGGGGTCATGCAATCGAACAAGACTATCTATCCAACACCAAATTAATAATTCAAGCAAATTGAAATCATTAGGGGTGATTATATTAGTTAGAGTGACAATGCCACGATTAATTCCTACCTAGTTTATTGTTATATCGCCCAATTTATATTAATTTTAAGCTTCTTTTTTTTTTTTTTTTTTTTTTTTGAAAGCTTATTAATTTTAAGCTTTACTCTAGATATTTTATACATCAACCAAACAAATTTTAAAACATCATAGGGATTTGAACTCAATAACAAGGGGTTGGAGAATGGAGACAAATAAAATTATCTTGTCGAACACATACTATATATAAAGCTACGTTTGCTTGTAAACTATTGTAAAATAATTATATTGTGATCGATCTCATTTATTTAAAAGAGAGAGATATAGAAAAGAGATGGAGGGAGGTATGAGCGGAGTTTACGGCGGTGGAGACGGCGGAAGCTTCCCGTACCACCATCATCAAGCGTTAGAAGGCGGTGTTTTGTTGTCAAGGGACCCGAAACCACGACTACGGTGGACTCCTGATCTTCATGAACGTTTTGTTGATGCTGTTACCAAGCTTGGTGGTCCTGACAGTATGTTATATTTCCCTCTCTTTCTCTTTTATTCTTTACATTTAATTATGAAAATCCGCAATTTTAAAAGTTAAATTTTGTTGTAATATGGAAAAATAGTCGAGCCTAGGAAAATGATTTATGCAACTCTAGGCTAAATGTTCAAATGTTTTTTTTATCTTAGAAGAATTTTATTATAAGGCTTGGGTTAATTTACATATGTAATTGCTGAAATTGATCAATGAACTAGGTGGTAGCTAGTATTTTTTTTCTTTTTTGACAACTAGGTAGCTAGTATTTGCAAACATTAGAGTTAGACATTTTTATGAGATCATCAAATCACAAAATTATTTGAATGAATTTTTGAAACTTTTGATGGGATATGAATGTCTTTTAGCCGAATTAACCATTGACTAATTTCGAAATCTAGATGGAATAATTGCATTTTCACAAATTATCATTGTTAGACTATAATAATTACGGAGTATTAAAATATTTTCCTTCTTTTAGATATTTTAATTCTTATAGTCCTTCTAATTCTATATTTATTTACAAATTTATTTCTTCAATTACCATTAGATTAATATGTGCAATTGTGCATGCAACAAAATAATACTGTAATACAAGGCTATAAACGAGTTTATAATTGTTTCAGTGTAATGTTGGATACTTCGTATTATTTAGTGTAATATAGAACCCAAACATGTCAATGTGATCGATTTTTTTTTTTTTGTGTGCATTTGCTAATTAATTTAGGATGGATTCCAAATTAATTGGAAAGGAATGAGTGAATGCACTGTGCGCAAGGTATGGTATATCTAGAGTTTATAATGGACACCTTTAATATGCTCCTACAAAATAAGTATTAACAGTAATTGAATTTAAGTTGAATTCGAGCATGTTCAACAATAGTTTTTGATAGTACTATAGTAGTAACTCCTAAAACTTAATTGAGCCAAAATATGATTAACACTGAATGTAAGTTTTTTACAAAGCATAGCAATTAGCATGCATTGGATTCTATTCTACATTAGTTCTCTAGAGTAGTTTTTGGCAAAAGTAGCCAAAATTAACGCCTTTTGGTGTAGAGCTTGCAAAAGCCAAAATCCAACATGACTAAAAAATATTTTTGGGATACTTTTAATTACATGTTACTAACAAACAACTATTATATTTGACATCTAACTTAAAACAACTATCAAAGTATAATGTACGTTGCACAATTATTTATCTATATATATATATATCAGTATATGCAATTAGTTGTACAGTATTTTGTGCAAGGTATAACCAACATTATTTATTTAATTTGTTCATATGCTTATATCTAGTGCATGCGTTAACTAATTATCTTTATCTAGTGCCACGTATGATTAATATTTTTGAAATGTTACAATCACGTAAGATTAGTTTTTTTTAAAGCACTAGGTAGGATTATAATAAAAAATAAATAAAAATTATCAGAGTGACACATAAGATTATTATTGATTTTTTCCCGAGATTTTAGAGCAAATTAGAATTAATAATTTTAAAATGGTACAATAGGATTATGCCACGTAAGATTAGTATTTTTAAAGCGCTAAGTAGGATAATAATATAAAAAAAAATTTAAAAAATTATTATAGCTACACATAAGATTACTATTTTTAAAATATTATTAAATGCTTAATTTAAGTGATTAATGAAACAACCATTATTATAAATTCTTACAAAAATTACATTAAGGAGAGTTTTTTCAAAGAAAATACAAGTTTATAACCTTGATAAACAAGAATAGTTTATCAAGGGTTGTATATGTAAATTACATCTAACTTTGGTTAACTATTATTTTTTCTCTCCTCTTTCAACCTTTTGGTATTTTCTGATTTTCTCTCTTCTCCTTCAAACTTTTGTTGTTTTCTCTCTCCTTCGACCTTCAATTTCAATGGTGGAAAGTACACCTTTTCACTAAATGACGTCGAATAAGTCGAAATCAATGGAGGAAGAAAAGCTTATCTACCCTATGGGGTTAACCATGGCTGTTGTTTTCACTTTGTTATTTGGGTTTCGTTTAATACTGGCGGCGAAGCCGTCGGAAATGGTGGTCCGAAGTCGAATTTAATGGAGGAAGGAAAACTCAACTGCCCTTTAGGGTTAACCATACCGTTAATTTCTCCTTTTGTTATTAGGGTTTTCGTTTAATTTCACAGGCGAAGCCGACGGAAATGGAGTCGAACGGACTTGAAAGAGAAGGTGAAAGTGGGCAGAGATTTGAGGGAGAAGATAAGGTGGGTGGGAAGAAAAAATATGAACAAGAGAAGATGAACATGAAGAAAAAGAAGGTGGGAGGAAGAAGATGATGAATAGTAACAAACGGAGAGTTAATGGTGTTAACTTTTAAAATCTGTCCAACTTGTCATAGTAGCCCACGAACAGTAAAAAAATATATTTTTTAATCAAAAAACACAATTTTCAATGCAACTTATTTACGAAAATACCATTTGATAAACATAATTTATTTATCCAGGTTATAAACTGAGGCTTGCTTGTTTTTTCAAGAGATTTTAGAGCGTTAGGAAAATGTTATATTTTAGCCAATGAAAAAAATTGCAATTTATTTTAAAATTAAAATTTTAAATTAATTATATAATTAAAATATTATCTTTATATTAGAAATTTTATCTAAGTATGGGAAACGAAATAAAAAATTCTTTTTATAATAAAAAATGTAAATAGTAAGCAAGCGAATAAAATCACAAAATTTATCAGATAAATATATATTTAGTAAAATATTTTAATTAAAAAAAATAAAACAAACCGTGTAGTATGTATATATATTTAGTTTAGTTTACACCATAAAAACAGTGAAATCGAGGGTAGTTTGAGTGATCATATTTTGATTTAGGCATGTGAATAGGATTTGTAGAGTAGTATGATAGATCAAGTGTAGTTGATAGGAAACCCACCTTGTGATTTTGAGGTCATAAGTTCGAGTCCCACCAACTATAATTGCTTGGGAATAGCCGAAGAGGAGAATTCTCTTATTATATATATATATCTCCCTCTCTACTCTCAAATGTCGACCTACGTAGTTGAGTTAGCTTAACCTGTGACTCCATAAGAGATGTTTGTTAATTTTGACTCCTTATGATTTGAGTGCTTATAGAGTTATAGTATACTATTTGAACGTGAAATAATTTATTTCATACTGACGATGTCTAACTTGAATTAAATTTTGTAGAAGCAACTCCTAAGTCAGTGTTGAAGTTGATGGGACTAAAAGGGTTGACATTGTATCATTTAAAGAGCCATTTACAGGTATTTCATTATCATCTTCACTTATTAATAATTAATATTTAATTTTTCATAAATTTGTTTTAAATTTTTTGTCAATTTACTCACTAAATTTTTGTTACTTTGTGTAGAAATACAGGCTAGGACAACAGTCAAAGAAGCAAAATAGTTCTGAAGGGAAAACAGATTCCACTAGTAAGCTTCATTTACATTTGATTATTTTTGAAATCAAATAAATATGCCTTCATTATATGCACTTAAATTATACTTATATTATACTTTTGCATGAATTTATGTTTTATAATTTTAATTATGCAAATTATTTTCTTCAAGATCCGAGAAATTCATACTCAAGATATAGCCTTCATTGCTCAGAGGCAAGTACTAGTGGCACTGGCCACGGATCATCAAGTGGAAGTTACGATTTAGGGTATGTGTATATGATCATTTTAAAAAATTGTACTCTCGACCTCGTTACTATTTAAATTGTTACGTCTAAGCATAATTAGAAAGTACTTTTTTTTACAAGTACTTTCTAATTATGCTTAGACGTAACAATTTAAATAGTAATATATCATGTATTTTATTATTATATTGTACAATTTGAAACAAAGGAAGTGCAAATACTCTATTCATATGCTTTGAACAGAGATGTTCCAATCACGGAGGCACTAAGGAGTCAACTCGAGATACAGACCAAATTACAAGATCAATTAGAGGTGCATAATTTTATTTATTTATTCATTTCAAATCTTAAAACAGATAATAATTAAGTAAAGCATTAATTTAAAGGTTAAAAGAATAGAAAAGTACATATTATAATTAATTCTGTAGTTAAATTATTCTTTACAGGTTCAGCATAGATTACAAACAAGGATAGAGGCACAAGGAAAGTACTTACAAGCCATATTATGCAAAGCACACCAAGGCATTTCTGTTGATATTAGCTGCCCTAGTAGTAACAATAATAGTTGTAACAATAATAATGATAATAATAATAATCTAAGTAATCAAGAAAGTATAATGTTTAGTGAACATGTTAATAATAAGGAGATGAAATCAATTTTTGATCAAATTTATCCTGATGATCGTCGATCCGAAGGCAATCAGCAAGATCACAAGGGAGATTTGTTGAAGATTAAGCATGAAGCAGCTGCACCAGGAAATTATTGTTCCTTACAATTGAATTTAAACAATAATGGTAGTAGTACTAATAACCATGATTATGACTTTGGTGGTTCACATGGAGCTGAATTTGAAGCCAAATTGCTTGCTTATAGAAGATAATAACAAGAATTTGACCAAAGTGTAGCCTCCTAATTCCTTAAATATTTAATTTGTTAATGATGTATAGATTCTAACTAGTAATTAATTATACAAGTGATTCGGTTTTCTTTTTTTTTTTTAAATAAATTATATTGGTATAATTTCTTTTGATGTTTCTATATTTTGTCCATAAACATTTACAAACGAGCATTTTTATGTTCATATTCTAGATTATTTGTTGTGCAAGCTATAACATTTGTTCAAGGTCGATTTGATTATTAAATTAACGACTTAAAAGTAAGGACGAGCATTGATTGATCTTGAATTCGACTTATGGTCTAGGATACATGGACACTTCATCTAACTGTCGTGTCCGTGTCGGACACCTTGTCAGACACCGACACTCGTGGGACACACGACGATACGTCTCGGATCGTATCCTATTACGATATGAACTGTTTAACTTTTTTTTAATGAGAAAATTCAAGCAAAGTAAGATAAATAAGGTAATTGTTAACTAACCCTGACCATCCACCACGACGTGTCCACCTTGACAACCACCTTGACCACCAACATTGTAGATTCCACGATGGTTGACCACCAACATTGTACTTTCTGACCACTAAAATGAGCCAACAACGGTCCGCGTTCATATCCGAGGCACTTGGTGGAGACGACAAACCTTCGACGACGCTGTTGAGTCAAGTATATGCCGTACCTTTTTTTTAAATTCCGATGTACCCGGTTGAATGTAATACGCAACTGAACCATGGTATGACCGCATGTAATATGCGACTATACCATGGTGCAGTTGCATATTACATGCGACTATACCATTGTGCAGTTGCATATTACATGCAACTATACCATGGTATAGTTGCATATTACAGGCGATCGTGTATCGTTAAACTTTTAATTTTTTTTAAATAATAATTAAAAATAACAAAATACATTAAATTTAATTAGTAAATTTACGATGATTTTTTTAATTTTTTTTTCTAATGAATTTAATTTAATTTGAAGTTAGTGGTGAAAAAATTAGGTGAGGCCAAATATTAAATTTACAAGAATAGAGAGGTCATTTAATACCGCGATATAAGTAATTCTATTATGGCATTTAGTAACCCCCTTAAACATATCAACGAGACAATATAGCAATACTCCTCTAAAAGGGTTAAAGGGCTAGAAGCCTAGAACTCAACTAGAAGAGAGTCTAAACCTTAAACCCTTTTCTCTCTCTACTTTCCCAATTTCTCTCTTTAGGGTTTAAGCCCCAACACTTTACTACTACTTCCAAGAGCTCCAACTCTCAAATTTGAATTTTCCCCCAAAATTTCTTCGGAAATCACTTAACAATGACGGCTAATTACATGTTTTACAGAGCCTCTGCAACAAAAATCATCACCTCTTCCCAATTCTTTAACCCTTTAACCAAAACCCCTTCTTTTCAAACTCCATTTTCATACCAATTTATCAGGTATATTCACACTACATTGTTTGAAAATGTATTTTACAGAAATCCCAGAAAAAATTCAAGGAATCTATCAACATTCCCTGATTATAATCTCCAAAATGCTGCTTTCGGGGTCGATTCTCGTGTTCCTGCTACTATTATCACTGGCTTTCTTGGCTCTGGCAAGGTATATATATATATCACTGTCTTCTTAATCTAATTTTTATTTGCTAATTTGGTATAGTATAAGGTTACCCACTTCATAATTATATTGTTGCTTGATCATTTGCCTAATTATGTTATTTTTAGAGGCTTAAGTATTCTGGGTTGAACTAAATTTGTGAATTTTTTTCTTAATATCTTTTGATTTTGAGTGTTGTCAAGGTAAAAAAGCATGGAAATTTAATTTTGTTTATAATTATTGCGATTATATTGTAATTTAAGTTGTTGGTTTTGAATTTGGAGTGCAAGTTTCTACAATTATTTGGGGATGTTGCTGTTATTTCATATGTTTATAAGATTGTCTTGCTTGGTGTTATTTTGGCAGACTACTTTGCTGAATCACATTCTCACAGCTGAGCACGGCAAGTGCATCGCTGTCATTGAAAATGAGGTATTAAAACATATGCCTCTTGTGCTTATTGCTTAGTAGATGGTTCTATTAGTTGTGTACTCTCATACTACAAGAACCTGCATTTAGTATTTGTTACCGTTTTTTTGAGTTACTTTCACATAGTGATTCGGCCTCCAAATGACTGGATATCAACTGGATACCAACCAATATTAGAATTAATTGAAGCAACAATGATGCACCAGATAATCAATCAATATTAGAAGTAGTTGCAACAACGATGACAACTAGAAGCAAAGGCCATATGTATTTGGGTACCATTGAGTATCTATTAGCCAAAATGATATCAAGCTTAGTAGATGTATCTAGATATATACGTAGTACTATGCAAACTCTTTTTTACCTTTCATCAAAACTAGAGTACTGTATAAATGTAGAAGAATCACCAGTGCAGTTAACTCAAAATATTTAAAATGGACTAATATTGCAATGACCTAGAGAGCTTTCATGTTATGCAGGAATTGCTACATTTATCTATCGACTTGTCATTTCCCTGGACAATCCTTGTATCCGTCTCTTTGGACAAAAATTTTTTTTATAAGAAAGCTGTAACATTTTCATTAATAATGTTTGAAACTTTTTCCCCTTGTTAAATTATAGAGAATATGTTGCTATGTAGTATTCAGTGATTCTTACAAATGACCCCAGAGGCACATATGCTCTCATCTGAAAAAATGATCGTCGCAGTGTTCTATTAGCTAACTCTTTCTTTGTGTATCCAGTTTGGGGAGGTAGACATTGATGGTTCTTTGGTTGCTAGTCACTCATCTTCTAATGAAGATGACATCGTTATGGTCAATAATGGCTGTTTGTGTTGTACTGTACGTGGCGATCTTGTGAAATTGCTGCTGGAACTAGTTAAGGAGAGGCGAGACAAATTCGATCACATAATCATTGAGACAACAGGTACTTCTTGCCATGTTTTTTACATTATCTTTTTTGCTTCAGCCCGCATCTCAACAAATATGATTGATTTCCTTAAGTATCTCTTATGATTTAAATAAATATGCACTCCGTAATAGTTAGTCTATTCCCACCTTTTGTCACTGAGCTGCAGGCTTGCTATTATTTATTTAAATCTAATCAAATTTAGTTCCGTATATTTAGAAAGTGGAACTATATGAATCATGCCATTAGGCATTAGCAATGGATTGTGATGCTATGCTAACCTCTTAGGTCTATAGAGTGGGGTAAGTAGGACTAAGTTTTAAAATCGATATATTGATGCGTATTTTTGGCGGTTTATATTTAATGGAAGGATTTGAGTGATTTTAATGGTGGAAATTTGAAGGATAGTCTTAGAAGGCGACGATTTCTAAGTTTGATCTTAGGAGCAACGATCCCAAAATCCTAGTTAACAACTAGTTTGAACCTTAACAAAGTTCTCTTCACGCAAAAGCTCAATAATCTCAACTTTTATTGTAAAACATCCTATTAAAATAATTGACATACAACTAGTATATATAGGAAAAATAAATCTATCCTACTTGCTCCGCAAGCAAACTAAATAAACGTCCATAATTAATTAATGAACCAAGATAGCCCACTAACTAATTAGCACAACTTTGAAAGCCCAAGGCCCCATAACTACTACTAAGAAAATAATAAAAACATTATTAAAAACTCGTAAAACCCCTACTTTAAGAGTAAGGTAAAACCAAGAGAGTACCTATAAAAAGAAATAAAGATAGTTGTGAGAAAGGGTTACTCGATTCACATCATATATTGAAGGTCATGACAATTGTATTCACAAGGTTGGAAAAGGGAAAGGAAAGTTTAGTGTAATAATGGTTTTCTTAATATGGATTAAAACATAAATCTTAATTTTTTTGTTAAATTAAGAACCTATATTGTCTAAGCAACTCTTAGCCTCTTAGGACACAACTGCTCCTACTGAAGAATTCATTCTGGTCTTCTATTTGTCAACCCATGTAATTTACTCTTTGGTCTCTTATCTAATTGGACAATTTTCTGTGGCTTTCAAAGAGATTTTTCAGGTCTTTCTGTCTTTTTACCTTATTAGATGGGGGTAGAAGAAAAAAGTAGCAGCATGCTTCTTGTACTTTATTATCAGAATTTTCAGTTTCTAGATTGCAAAATCATTAATATTTGACTACTGACCTCCATGGCTTGCATTTCTCAATCAGGTCTTGCAAAACCAGGTCCAGTAATTGAGACATTTTGCAGTGATGAGATGGTCTCACATTATGTAAAGCTAGATGGAGTTGTAACGATGGTTGATTCCAAACATGCCACAAGACATTTGAATGAAGTTAAACCAAGATTTGTTGTGAATGAGTCTGTAGAACAAGTTGCTTATGCAGACCGGATTATTATAAATAAGGTATTTTGTGAAGCATTGCTACTTGTTCAGCAACTATTGTGTAGCTTTATTTATAGCTTTTATGTCTTTAATGATAATGAAAGGCTTGTATCCTTATGCTGCAAATACTCATTTATCATATTTTTAATTGCTTGCAGACTGATTTGGTTTCCGAGGCTGACTTGGAAGTGTTGACAAAGAAAATCAGGGTAGGCTTTCTACTCTGATTTCTCATTAGTCTTCTTATTTGAACATTTTAAACAGTAGTGAGAGAACATTTCTTTCTTGTTGTCCTCTTTAGTAGTGTAACCATTGGTTCATACTCATGATTCCAAGGATTTTGTAGTATTGGCTAACATTATGCAGAGATAATGCAAGATTGTTAGACCTCAAAATAATTTCTGTTGATATTCTGGAAGTTTTGAGGAAGTTAGGAAGTTCTTATTACAGAGTTAGAGTTCTTAATTACTGTTGTGCTGTGTTGCGTTGCAATGTAATAAGACTGGTCTAGGGAAAAGCTTCTGTTTTTTGCATTTTATAACTGTTATATTTTTTACACTTTGAATTAAATCAGTAATTGGTTCGATTATGTCACATTTCCTTCAGGATTAACTGTTGAGGATATTGGTTCAAAGCCATGAAAGGCATACAGTTAAATAGTTAATGCCCTTTGTAGGAATCTTATATTGAGATGAACTCACTCTATCTATTGTATTCTCTGTCTCTTCTGCAGCATATAAATGGAATGGCACAAATACAGCACGCAAAATATGGAGCTGTTGACATCGACTTTGTTCTAGGAGTAGGTGGATATGATCTTGACAGGTCAGGTTTTGTTTGCAGTCTTTGATCCTTATGATTTATGAGTCATACTTTCAGAGTTGAGACTTGCTAGTGCTAATTGTAACTACAGTTACTCAGATGCAACTTCAATATTTTGTCATCTTTCTATCTTATGCTCATAGAGGATTAGTTAAGTATGATAATTAATTGTCATTTTGGAGCAAGCAACGTGATATTATTTCCGTCTTGGAATTTGCAGGGTTGAATCTGCTGTCCGATCAGATGATTCACATTGTGCTAGTCATGAACATAAAAAGGGACATGGTGAGGAACTTTTTTGTTTTTCTGTCATTTATCAATGTTTTGGTCATTACTCTCTCTGCATAAGATTCTAATGCTGGAAGCTGGTATTTGTTGCTGCTTCTACTATGGTAGATTAACAACTTTCTCCTCTACTATTAGCTGTTAACCTTTATCTTACATCACTGCTTCTTTCCAATTTTAATAATTGATGTATCTGTAGCATGAATGCATGATATGTGGTAAATTTTTATGAAAGTTTGTTTACTCAGCTCATTGGTGATTTTTAGTGTGGTATAATCTGTAGGTTGCACTACTCTGCAAGGCTTGCAGAGATCTTTTGTTGGCATGAGCCGCATGATATACTTGGTTTCTGGTAAAAATCATTGGCGGTGACTGCTGATCCATGATTTGATATTGGAAACATTAGAGTTCAAAGTTGTTGAAAGCCTAGCCTGTTGCATAGATTTCTATTGCAAAATTAGTTGTACTACTCCGTATGTTAGTAAGGGTTTATGTAGCCGAACCCACTTATGGGATTGAGGCTTTGTTTGATTGATTGATTGTACTATGTTAGTAAGCTTCATGACTAAGGTTGGACATAAGTATGTGTCTAGGTGTCAGATTAAGCCATTTTAGGAGTATTTTGAACATATATAGCTGTGTATGAGGGATCAAGTGTCCATACCCATGCAAGATTGTCACTCTGTCAATAATCAAGGGCACTTCGGTTGAAATGAAGTGTTGAACATGGTAAGAGACATAGAAGTTGTATTGGAAATACATGAGGAATCATGGTATAGCAAAGCGCACATAGTGTTAGTGAGGGGTATAAATGTATAATGTTAAGTTTTTAACTTTCCAAGCCTAAGGAACTCAAAGTAAATTTATGGATTTTTTTTTTTTTTTTTTTTCTTCCATATATATAATTCTCCCGTGCCATATTTACTTCCGCGGTTTCATCTTACTACTGCTATGGATGATCTACAAGTAAAATAGTAATTGCTCATCTAATTTTCCTCTGTTTTGTTGACTGTAACAGAGCATCACCAGGGTCATCATCATGATCATACTCATGATTCTGCTGTGTCTAGTGTGAGCATTGTTTCAGAAGGAACTATTGATCTTGATGAGGTAACTAGTTATGCTCTCTTCTCAATTTGGTAATTGTTTATGAAAAACTGTGAGAGGGATTACTCATACATAATGATAAAGTAATGAGTAATCAGTGTTTATTAGTGGATTTTATCTTGAGATAGGAGGCCTACTTAAATTTCAACTTTTCAAAGCATAAAACAACCATTTTAGTGGAGCCCGCCCCAGTTGATATATTTGATGAACGCTTGTCGTTTATCAAGTGGTTCTTTTGTAAATAAGTCAAACAGTATTAATTGCCAACTCATTAGTATGCTGTCAATTATTGTTGCGTGGCAAGGTTGGCCATTTAACTGAGCTAGCAATGAGATAACTCCGTCAGAAAGCTTCTTTCATTCATTCATCAATGGCAGCCATAGAACCACCATCGCCACCCGAACCAAACATGAACCTCCGCAAAGACCATCCCAACTCCACCCACGTATCTCCGACATCACTATTATCAGCGGCTTCGCCGCCAAATTAAACTAAAACCCTATGAATAAAGGGTTAAATTAAGGGCATGGTCAATCCCAAAGGGTAGGGGTGACTTTGTCCTCCATTGAAGTAGTTTTCTTTGCTTGATTTCCGAAGATGCAGTTAAAAATTGGTGGAAATTGAGAAAGAATTATAAGGAAGAGTAAGGAGGAAGGAGTACTTCAATGGAAAAACAGACGCTTATTTTGTTAACTCTGTTTGGTAGGTAGACATTAAGTGAGTTTCATGACCCTTGATATGTTTTTTTTGTTGTTCAAATACATCAACTTGTATTTTCTCATTTTAGTGCTGTTCATTGATCAGAGCCTTAGTGCCAATTTATCTCGAGAATCTTAGTGTTTAAAATTGAGCTTCTTTGTGATTAGCTTGACGATTGGCTCGAAAGACTGATCGAGGAAAAGGGAGAAGACTTGTACAGATACAAGGGAGTTTTATCAGTCAACGGATCTGATGAGCGCTATGTTCTACAGGTATTTGACCATAAATTTCTTCCCTATTTTAGTTTTTGGTCATCATTGCACAATTGTTGAACCTTAGGTTTATGGTGGTGGTTCTTCAGGGTGTTCACACTATGTTAGATGGTTGCCCGGGAAAAACATGGACTCCGGATGAAAAGAGGATAAACAAACTGGTTTTTATTGGACGTGATTTGGATGAAACAATGCTAAGAAAGGGATTCAAAGGATGTTTAGTATGACAAACTACCTGCTCGCTTTCAATTGATAATTGCAGCTAATTGTATATGGTAAATATTATGACATGAGATACCATGAGGGATATACACCAACTGTAAAATTATTTCACCGAATATTTTGGAGTTGTGAGGCCGGTTGGATGGTTTGTAGGTCGATTGAATAGATTTGGTCGGAGGGAATTCAGTTTGTATCTTATTTCTATGATGAATATACCATTCAATTTCAAGTCTTCTAGCGTATGTCATTGACATTTTTGTAATCAAGTTGGCTTAATTTAATGAGCTTACTTTAGTTACACAAAAAAATGATACTCTGAGTTTGAAGGCTTGAAACGTTTCGTTTGTGGTAAATTTTACATTTTCTCGTTTCTGTTTCGTTATCGTTTTCATTGCCGTTTCGATCGTTAATGATATACGGAGTATTATACATTTATACGGGTGCTTAATTATTTGCATATTAAATTACATTTAATTATTTCCTGAAGAATATGACTTGTGAAAACAACTTTATCATTGCATAATTAGATTTTTCGTCACATTTGATTCCTTTTCCCCTAAAATCTAGCGCTGATATCTTTCATTATTATTGTGCATCCATAATTTAGTGGATGTTCACTAAATTGTTGAAGAATCTTGTCATTGTCACTTCATTACCTCAATAACTGCAAATAGAATGTCCAAATTCTGAAATGTTAAAAATAAATGATCTTCACCAAAAGAAAAAAAACAATAAAATGATGAATAGTCTTAAAGTCCTAACTGTATTAGTTCGTGTTTTGTTGACGTGCAACACTTATCATAACATCGATTATAAAGACTGTCACCTTTTAGCAATATGACAAAGTAACAAAGTATGCTAATCACTTTCAGCGATATAACAAATCACCCCAAAATAAATATGTAGTATATCCCACCGAAACATTATGATGGGACCAATGTCACCTGAACCCCCATATGAGAACAAGATTTTTTTACACAACCAATGCCCTTCCTAGATTTACCTTGGGAAGAGCTTAGAAGTTAGAATTGATGAATGTAATGCTTGTCAGTTTGTGTATGTGTGTTAAGTTGAAGTTTCCTAAAAAGTTAATCAGTCTTCTTTGGGAAGCTTGATAAGTGCATAAACAGCTGCACTAACAATAGGACCCAAGGGTGGAGCCACCATGTATATCCATAATCCATGGTACCTTCCTGTTGCTATGGCCGGTCATAATGTCCTAGCCAGGTTCATCAACGCACCTCTCATTGGCCTGCAACATTTTACAATAGTTAATGAATTAATTTTCAAGTTCACTAATTGACCGTTTCTCACTATTTGAAATACAATGGTCAGTTAGTGAACTTGAAAGTAGTATTCAATAATGTAGCTAGGGATTAACTTGTTATGGATGAAGATTTAACAAATGAATATAGGTTACAAAGCTGCATTTTAGTTGTAAATCTAATACAAATGGCTAAATTTATGACATGAATGAAGAACATTGATGAATATAGGTTATAAAGCTGCATTTCAAATTATTTTGGGAATGGGTTGCTAATCTATGACTTGAATGAAGAACATTGATGAACAATTTTAATTTTGTGATTTTTAATTATAATTATAATTTCAAAAATTAATTAATATTATAAAAATAATTTTTCATAATTTATATTTATGTATTTTACATGTATTAAAAAGAATACATAAAAAAAAATACAATTTTAATGCATTATGGACATTAAAAATAATTCAAAATGAAAATAAAAATACTATATGCAGGCCAATCAGATTTCGTCACATCCACATATTGTGGTGCCTTTTTTAAAGAATGACATTGTAGGTTTTTTCACACACCAGGGTTACATTTATTAGTGCTCTTAAAGGCTTGGCACTCTTGTTCAGTACGAAAACATCTTGTACCCAAACAACAACAGCAATCTCCAAAAGTACAATGCTTATGCGTGCAAAAAATAGTATCTGGTACTACAAATTTCCTGCTCATCAACTTCATTGATCCAACTTCATTTTCAGCGTTATTCAATCTTCCATAGTTTTCATGGTCAAGGGCATCACCTACATGCATGCATAAAGAAGGGTAAGAATTAATTATAATAATATAACATATGCTATATTACTTTTTAAATTAAATCTAGAAATTCATGATATTTAACAAGCCCTAAGCAAAACAATTACATTGCTAAGATTATGATCACCTCTCAAATGTGCATGAATAAATTGGTATAGAAACCTAAGCTAGCAGGCGCTCAAACAAACACGAATTAATAGTTGTGTGACTTACAATTTGCAAAAATCAATAGAAAGACAACGATGACAAAAGAAAAAATGGTTCTTGATGACATTATGTTTGCTATTATTTGAATAAAGAGTAAATAGTAATCTTTTTGTTTTTTTTTTTCTATTATTATTGTGTATTATTGAGTACTATCATGGGTTTAACGGTTAAATATATTGTATATATGTTAGTCAAAGGAGATAATTAGCCTTATAATTATCTTCTTAGTTTATAGCTTCAGTTAGCGTATTTTGTGTATAATTGATTCCCAGTTTGTAGCCTAGGGTCAATGCTATACTTTGTATTTCTCTTTTCCGGCAGCACCAATGTCATCCTCTAAACACTCCTTTCATCCTGCTCTTGCAGTATCTAATATCAAGAACCATGTCTCCATTACTCTTGACATGGAGACCGTTCAATATTCTACTTGGGCGGAGTTATTCAAGGTTCATGCTAGATCTCACAAGGCGAGGAAAAAGAAAAAGCCTCTTTGTCAGCCGATGGTGATGATGATGAGGAAATGTGGTCGACTCTCGATGCCACATTCCTTTCTTAGATTTATGCCACAATTTCGAATGACCTCTTGCATACCATTCTTGAACCTGATGCGACTGCAATGGAGGCGTGGAATTGATTACGTGACATATTTCAGGATAATAAGCATTCTCGTGCCGTAACTCTCGAGCATGACTTTTCTACCACTAGAATAGAGCACTATCCCAATGCCTCTACCTATTGTCAGCGACTGAAATCCTTGGCTGATCAATTGAGAAACACCGGAGCTCCGGTGTCCGATAACATACTTGTGCTTCAACTAGTTTCGGGTCTCACTACCGCGTACCGTGGGGTGGGTATGCTGATTCGACAGAGTGACCCTCTTTCGCCTTTCTGCCAAGCTCGCTCCATGCTTACTCTTGAAGAGGCAGGCATGGCCAAGGAAGCGGCGATGGGCTCAGATTCCGCTATGTTGGTTGCTTCTCCGAATGATGATGAGGACCCTTCCCCTGTTTCATCTCATACGGGTCAGTCTAAGGGGCAGCAGGATCGAAAAAATCAAGTAAGTCGCAAGAATTCTGGTGGTGGTCGTAACAATGGTGGTGCGAAACCTGGTCGTGGTGGTTCCGGTGGAAAACCTGGCCGGGGCAGTGGTGGTTAGGGACCGAGTCAGCAGCAACAACAAGGAGGTCAGCAGCAATGGTTCCCGGGTTGGCCGCAATATCCACAATGGGGTTGGCCGCAATGGCCTGCTCCTCCTTGTCCATATCCCACGTAAGGTTGGGCCCGTCCACCTGCAAAACCCGGGCCTAGGGTATTGGGTCCGAGACCTCAGCAAGCCTATATGGCATCTTCTCCAAATGGTCGGTCTTCTTATGCTCCTACAGATATTGCTTCGGCTATGCACACCATGACTTTTACTCCGCCGGATCCATCATGGTATATGGACACTGGTGCAACGTCCCATATGACATCATCGAACGGTAATTTTTCGTCTTATTTTAATTTGAGCAATAATTCTAGTGGTATTATTGTCGAAAATGGTAATTCAATTCCTGTTCATGGTTATGGTCATACTCGCTTATCCTCCCCTAATCCTCCATTATCTTTAAATAATGTTCTTCATGCTCCCAAAATAATCAAAAACCTCATTTCTGTTAGAAAATTTACAACTGATAATTCTGTTTCGGTTGAATTTGATCCTTTTAGGTTTAATGTGAAGGATTTTCAAACGGGGATGCCTCTAATGAGATGCAATAGTCGGGGTGATCTTTATCCTCTCACTTCTTCCATCAACACTCAAGCTTCTTCATCTACTTTTGCAGCCATCTCTCCCTCTTTGTGGCATGATCGGTTGGGTCATCCGGAAAATGCTGTTTTAGATACTCTTAGAATAAATAAAAGTGTTGATTGTAATCTTCGTTCTAGTTCAAATGTTTGTCGTTCCTGTGTTTTTGGGAAACATTTTAAGTTGTCTTTTGAGTCTTCTAATTCGAGTACTATTTTGCCATTTGATATTATTCATAGTGATCTTTGGACATCTCCAATTTTGAGCTCTTCGGGTCACAGATATTATGTTTTGATGTTGGATGATTAATCTAATTTCTTATAGACTTTTCCATTGGCTAGGAAATCTGATGTTTATGAGAAATTTTTAATTTTTAAGACTCATATTCTTACCCAATTTGAAAGTAATGTCAAGACCATGCAATGTGATAATGGGAGGGAATTCGATCATGGTTCGTTTTGGGATTTTTGTATAAAAAAATGGAATGTCTTTTCGTTTATCTTGTCCTCATACCTCTCCTCAAAATGGGAAAGACGAAAGAAAAATAAGAACTATCAATAATGTCACTCGTACTCTTCCTCCTTTTTGGCCTCATGCTCTACAAATGGCAACATATCTCTTTAATATACTTCCTAGCAATCTCTTAGGACATCAAACACCTCTTCCAGTTTTATATCAAAGGTTTCCTTCATATTCTCATCTTCGAGTTTTTGGGTGCTTGTGCTATCCTCTTTTCCCTTCTACTACTATTAACAAATTACAACCCCGATCTACACCTTGTGTATTTTTAGGGTTTCCACCTAACCACCGTGCAGTGGTTACAAATGTTATGATCTTTCGTCTAATAAAATCATCATTTGTCGAAATGTAATTTTTAATGAGAATACTTTTCCCTTTGCAACGTTGCATACTCCTAATGCAAACACTTGTGATTTTTTGGATGATGGGATAACTCCATATACCATCTCCAACAATCTGCTGCAAAAGAGAATTCTAATTCTCTTCATTACCAAATGGCCCAAGTCACTCCTGCCCCACAATCTGGAGCTGCTTCCCCTAGCCCACATGGCCTAACAACAGCACCAACTCTTGACTGACCCACTTCTCCAATTTCTCTTACAAATCCAACTCCAATCCCAGCCTCACCCAATCACTCTCCTTCCTCACCTACGGCCCACCATGACATTGGCCCAGCTGCACAAATTCCTCTTCCTACTCCAGTCCAACGTCCCACTATGGTCACAAGGAGTCAACATGGTATTTTTAAACCAAACAAAAAAAATACCATGCTCATGTCACTGTCACGAGGTCTCCATTGCCTCGTAACCCAGTTGATGCCCTTCGTGACCCGAACTAGAAAATGGTCATGGATGACGAATTTAATGCTCTTATTAAAAATAAGATGTGGGAGTTGGTGCCCAACCCGCCTGGTGTTAATGTTATTCGGTCTATGTGGATTTTTACTCATAAAGTGAAATCTAACGGTGATTTAGAGAGGCATAAAGCCCGACTTGTAGGTGATGGTAAAACTCAACAGGTTGGCATTGATTGTGATGAGACTTTCAGCCCGTTTGTTAAACCGACCATTATTCGCACGGTTCTTAGTCTCTCTCTCTCTAAGGCATGGCCGATTCATCAGTTGGATGTGAAGAATGCCTTTCTTCAAGGTGAGTTGCAGGAAACAGTGTATATGCATCAACCATTGGGTTACAGGGATCGGACAAATCCAGATTATGTATGTCTCTTGCGTAAGTCATTATATGGGCTTAAGCAGGCACCTCGGGCTTGGTATAAGCGGTTTGCTGATTTTGTGAAGTCTATTGGTTTTACTAATAGCAAGTGTGATAATTCTCTATTTATTTACAACAAGGAGACCGAAATGGCATATATTTTATTGTATGTTGATGATATTATTCTCACTGCCTCTTCTGATGCTCTATTATGGACCGTCTTAACTGAATTTGCTATGAAGGATCTTGGTCCCTTGAATTATTTCCTTGGTATTGCAATGACACGACATAAGGGTGGTATGTTCCTTTCACAGCGAAAATATGTCGAGGAAATCATTGACTGTGCAGGAATGCCTTCTTGTAAGTCTTCTTCTACACCAGTTGACACCAAGCCTAAAGTCAGTGTTACTTCTGAGGTTCCGTATGAGGATCCGACTCTTTATCGGAGTTTGGCAGGTGCCCTTCAGTATTTGACATTCACTAGACCAGATATCTCGTATGCCGTGCAACAGGTTTGCTTACATATGCATGATCCGAGAGTAGATCATATGCTTGCTCTCAAGCGGATTATCAGGTACATTTAGGGTACTTCAGATCATTCTCCATCTTAACCCTTTTGCTTTTTCAGTTCTTGTTTCATATACTGATGCAGATTGGGGTGGGTGCCCCGATACGAGGCGGTCTACATCTGGCTATTGTGTATTTTTGGGAGACAATTTGGTTTCTTGGTCGTCGAAACGACAACCTACTTTATCAAAGTCTAGTGCTGAGGCCGAGTATCGTGGTGTTGCTAATGTTGTTTCTGAATCATGTTGGATCCGTAATCTTCTCTTAGAGTTACATTGTCCGGTTAAAAAGACTACTTTGGTATATTGCTATTTATTTTTCAGGTAATCCGGTTCAACATCAACGTACTAAGCATATTGAGATGGATATACATTTTGTACGGGAGAAGGTTGCGCGGGGACAGGTGCGTGTTTTACATGTCCCATCTCGATATCAAATAGCGGACATCTTTACTAAGGGTCTTCCGCAAGTCTTGTTTGATGATTTAAGGGACAATCTCAGCGTCCGAAAGGCTCCCGTTTTGACTGCGGTGGTGTGTTAAATATATATTGTATATATGTTAGTCAAAGGAGATAATCAGCCTTATAATTATCTTCCTAGTTTATAGCTTTAGTTAGCGTATTTTGTGTACAATTGATTCCTAGTTTGTAGCCTAGGGTCAATGCTATACTTTGTATATATTCAGTACAATTGAATGAGAATAGCTAGGAAAATATTCCCATCTTCTATCATTAACTAGAATTATTTATAGGTGCATATTTTAAGGAATATTAGGACAATATTTCGTGATATATCTTGATTGATGGTTTCCTTGTTTATATTTGGTGTATCTTTCAATTTTATCCCATATTTTTTGGGTGAAAAGCTTTGTATATGTTATATATTGATGAATGGAAATTGGAAGAGAAGAAGGGAATTGAAAGCTTTGAGCCCTTACCGATTTCTACATGGTATGATATATCTTGATTGATTGTTTCCTTGTTTATAGGATTAGATTGGTACAAGAATATATTTGGTGTATCTTTTGATTTTATCCCAAATTTTTTGGGTGAAAAGCTTTGTATGCTATATATTGAATATTGATGAATGGAAGCTTTGTATTTAAATGTAAGGATGAATGAGTGAGTAAAACCTCAATATACATACTCTTGACTCTTCTAATCAACGTCACATCATACATACTCTTATACAAAAACAATTAATTTGTTAGGCTTCATTCACTTCACCTTATTTTTTGCTGAACTGAAATTATTTTTACTGAATTGATAATTTTGTTGAACTTAAATTATTTTTACTGAACTGAAATTAATTTTACTGAATTGAAATTATTTATGTTGAACTGAAATTATTTTTACTGGATCTATTATATTTTCTCTTTAGAGTTACTGATTTTTACTGAACTGAAATTAATTTTACTGAACTGAAATTATTTTTACTGAATTTTTTTTTTTAAGGTGAAGTGAACAAGCTCTAGGAATGAACAAAAGGGGCAAAAAAGAAAATTAAGATTGAGATGAATAAGAATGAACAAAAAAATAAGAATGAATAAAAAAAGGAAACTAATATCAGATCAATAGTCAAGCCTGAAAATAAAAGAGCAACTACTCAAGATCAAATCAAATACTACGTACACAAATTCTTATATGTGGCTAGCCACACCGTGTGGCCTATCATCATTATCGGGATACTTGGTTATTATTAAAGGGGTTACTTGGTCAGTGTTAAAGGATTATCTGGTCAGTTTTATAAGGGTTACTCGAACAATATTACAGGGGTTATTTGGTCAATGTTATAGGTTACTTATTTGTTCTTTTATAAGTGGCCAGCCACACACAAAACGGGCTAAATCAAATATCACTCAAAAGCAAGAAAAAAGGCCAACCAATTAACATCTTGAGAACTAAACAAAAAAGACGGGAATTTCAATTGTTTTCTCCTAAATTAGGCATATAAGATTCTCATAATTTTTAAAAATAGAAATTCATATCAATAGTCACATAAGGGAAAAAAGAAGGTAATGTCCAAAAATAAATAAAGTATATTATTTTGTTTATGGCAATGAGTGTAATCATTCAATCTATTACTCCACATATTAGTAAAAGGCAAATCATGACAATGAGACTTGTTTTACATAAAATCTAAATTAAACTTCTAAAATATTAAATTATTCATTATAACTATTATCATAATATTGATCATAAAAATTGTCACCTCTTAACAGTATGACAAAATGACAAATTATGCTAATCACCCTCAATGATATAACAAATCACCCCAAAATTAATACGTAGTATATCCCACCAAAATATTATGATGAGACCAATGTCACCTGAACCCCCATCTGAGAACAAGATTTTTTTTTACACGATCAATGCCCTTCCTAGATTTTACCTTGGGAAGAGCTTAGAAGTTAGAATTGATGAATGTAATGCTTGTTAGTTTGTGTATGTGTGTTAAGTTGAGGTTTCCTAAAAAGTTAATCAATCCTCTTTGGGAAGCTTGATAAGTGCATAAACAGCTGCACCAACAACAGCACCCAAGGGTGGAGCCACCATGTATATCCATATTCCACGATACCTTCCTGTTGCTATGGCCGGTCCTAGTGTCCTGGCCGGGTTCATCGATGCACCTGTCATTGGCCTACACATTTTACGTATAAGCCATCACTTATGCAGGCTTTGCGTGTGTTAAAATTCAGTGCAATTTAGTTTAGTTATTGTTGTAACGATACATGTACGTGTGTAGTAGATGTTAACTTTGTTTGTTTATTTTAAAGTTGTACCATAATTTTTTTACATTGTGTACCAACTGTAAATTAATCTTGTAAAAGTAGTATACATAAAAACAACTCACCCTATAATGAGTATGTCAAGCATGACAGCACCACCAATTGCAACACCTGCTAAGTCGCCCACCTATTGTAACACAACGTGATTTAATCATATCATTAAAACATCAGGTTTATTTCCTACAAACAAACAGAACTAAGCCGAGAAAAATACTTACAGCCGTATGGTCAGTCGCGACAGCAATAATAACAAACATGAGGATAAAAGTAGCGACAAACTCCAACAAAAAAGCTTGTCCAACAGTAACAGAAGGCATGGTAACACCACCAGACATAAAAGGGTGATAAGCAGCCTTAAGCAAGAAAGAAGCAAAGATAGAACCAAGAATTTCAGCCAAAATAAAAATGGGTACTTGGGCCCAAGGAAAATGTCCAAGGGCTGCATAAGCTAGTGTTACAGCTGGGTTAAGATGGGCCTTAGAAATGTGGCCTATTGATAGGACTAGTATCAAAACTGCAAGCCCAGAGCATGCTGCATTTCCTATTAATGTTTCGATTCCACTGAATTTTTGGTCTACTATTGGGCCTGCTGCTGCTGCAAATACCAATATGAATGTTCCCACAAATTCTGCACCAGCCTGTTTAAAAAAAGTAAAATAAAGTATTGTGATTATGACTCTCATTTGCACCTTTATACTTCATCGGCTCTCTTTTAGTTTCAATGTTTATTATATATAATCTCAACCCTTAATATTTCTAGTTATAGATACATATATTATATAAAAATTTAATACTGTAAAGATATAAATTGAGATGAATTTAATAAGATTTGGTATGACTATATTTCACAAATATACAAATTAATTATGTTGATCAAAAGAAAGAATGTGAATAGAGCAAATTTTCAAATATTACAACTAAAAGAGAACCGAGAAAGTGTAACAAAATGAAATTTAATATTTAGGTAAATTTTTAATGAAAATGTTATGTTATACAAAGTAAGAAATAAATAAAACTTAGAATAAAAGGAACAACATGTATACCTTTTTAAGGACTGAAATCTGGATTAGCTTGCTGCTTGATGGCTTCAATGATGGCTGAATCGTCGGTGGTTGATTGGTGGCGACGGGTGCTAGTAGTGGTGGCAACGGGGTTTCGTTACTTGTAGACATTTTAAGACAGTTTTGAACCTAATTTGTACTTTGTACTTTTGTAGCCTTGAAATTTTGTTTTATTGTGCTTCTCTTGCATATGTGAATTTTATTTGGCTTTAGGCACTTCACATATTACTATGTCTATACTTAAATTTTCTCTGTATATATGTATATTATGGTGCTTTGACTTGCTCAAATTGGAAGGCATGATTGATATAAGTCATATAACTGTCTAAACTATAAATTTGAAGTTTTCTTGGTCAGCTTATGATTTTTTTTTTCTTAACACATCTTGTAGCTGTTTGTTACATACCCTGTAAGAGTACTACATAATTAATTAATTATAGCAAATGTATCACTATATTAGCACAAAGTTAAGTAAATTATTTGTTGATCTAACATTTATTCTAAGATACAAGAGTTTGATTGATTTATGCGTGCACGTTATGGTACATTAAATTTACATTATTTTTTATTTTACCATTAATACATGTTTTGGATGTATGAATTTGCCTATGCCTACAACATGGGCGTGCCTTGGCTCCTTGGCAGCAGCATGAAAGGTTTTTGCAATAAAAACAATCTTTTTTTTGGTGTTTAGAGAGCCATAAAGGCAGATGATGAGAATAGATTCCAAAATCTCCTGGGACTGTGATTGGAAGATAAATTCTAACCACTTGAAATATCCCTCACTCTCAAAAAACAATCTTTAATAGTTGTTGATTTTATTCATTTTATTTTTGTTATTAATATGCAATTAGTTTCCTATAAACCTTTACACTCTCATTAGTTAATTTTTTTTATGAACCAAGATAATGACTATGTATAATTACATACTTGAAATAGTCAAATTCTATGTCCCAAAAAAAAAAAAAAAAAAAAAAAAGTCAAATTCTATAATAATACAGTTAATACTCCATATCATGTGCATGACAACATGAGTGTACGTTTCTAATTTTCTGCTACTTCGTAAAAAGAAACACTTTGCGCAATGTCCAACAACTGGCGAATTTGAAACGTTTCTTCCATAGTATCCAAGATTCCAAGTAACTCCTAATTGAACTTATTATGATATCTATTCTTAATACTTGTGCTTATTTCATTTTAGGCTCTTACGAGTTAACGACTAGTTTGACATACAGACATACAGTAGATGTTGATTATATAATAAAATGATTACATATAGGAATATGACTAACTATTATGTAAATGTAAGGGGCCGAACTTCACCTCATACACATTTTTTTTTTTTTCAAATATCTCTTTGGGCTTGTTTGGTTTGATATAAAATATTATTATGGAAAAAGATTTTCTCATTTTTTTTTTTTTTTTTTCATTTTTCTTTGTTTGATTTGTGAAGGGATGAAAAACAATTTTTTCAATAGTGGAACATTGCATTCTCAATGATGAAAAACATTTTTCTTTACAAAATAAGGAAATCAAAGCCACATTTTCCTCCTTCCTCCTTACCTCCTTTTTACATCCTTCTCATCCATCCCCACATTCCTACTTCTATTTTTGGTTTTTCTTGTATGCAGCCAAGTAAGGGAAAACTAATTTACAATTGTGCTTTTTCTTGAAAATATGTTTTCTTTGAAAACTAATTTTAATTGAAAATATTTTACGTTAAACCAAACAGGGTCTAATCCTTTGTATTTGTCAACAAGTTTCATAATTTATTTCATAGATTGCAAATTAACAAAAGCATGCTCACTCAAGAAGTCAAGAATATGTCAAGTGTTTTTTTTTTTTCCAAAAGCTTTTGTATACATCGTGTTTACAATAATGTTATTGTGTGGCGTAAAAGTAAGTTACCCTTAATTTCATAAAATTAAGTTACCCTTTTTCTTATAAAAGTTACCCTTAACTCACATAAAGTTACTCTTTTTCTTATAAAAATTACCCTTTACTCACCTAAATTAAAGTTACCCTTACTACATTCACAAATAGTTAATCTTTAATCAATTGAAAGTTACCCAATAAGCACCAAAAAAATTAATTGAAAATTACCCAATAAGCACCGGAAAACTAAAGTACTCAACCATTTACTCAAGAGTCCTGAATTAGCCATTGATTTGGTGAACTTCATCAATCTCTATCTTTCCCAAATCAACCCAGATAAGTGAAGAAATAAAACCTAATTATTGTAGTGTTTTCTTATCGGGAGACAGGAGGAGAGAGAAAGTGGGAGGGATTATGAAATTTTCATTTTCACCTTATTTAGCATTGAAAGTGGAGGAAAAAAAGATTGAAAAGTTGGATGAATTTTAGAGTAACTCTGTTGAAGTGGAGGAAGATGTCGATCTCGTCAAGTTTTTGTTTTCAGTAGCTGTCATGGGCCTTGAAAGAGAAGGAGAAATAAGTTGTCAGCAGTCCGCCATTCAATAATTAATGTAAACCGGGTTTTTTGAAAAGTTTGTGTTTTATTTTTATTTTTTTCAAGTTAACTAACAGAAGATTTCTAAAGATAGTTAATTGCATATTAATTTGCCGTCAATGTACTGGATCTACAATTTGATTTGCTGGTTCATTCATGTTGATTCAAAACGTTTTTTATAAACGTTTCTTTATTGCCAGCAATTTTGAAGCAAGACCTTCAACATTTAGTACGTTTTTGTTTGATTACTAAAAAAGCGTTTCGGGAGGGATGCTACAATTTCTTATTCTGAATAATTTATTTGCTGTTCTAGAAGACAATTTACGAATTGTATTTCTGAATTCTGCCTACCATTTCATACATCTTTCCAAATTAGTCCCAAAAATTATTAAAAATATTCTTATATACAATAGTTGCCTAGGAAGTTTGGAATATAAAGGTATAAATTTTAATTTTTCAATTTTTATAAATAAAAGATACTCCATATAATTAACAATACATAGATTATGGACACATGTGCACGATATTCACTAAATAGTAAATAACAATAGTTTAGAAGTGCATATGTAAAGTAATCTTTGGAGGTAAATATTGTTTGTCTTCATCTTTCTACCTTGTGGTATATTACTTCGTATAGTATAAATATAATTTTCCCATTTATATTCGAAAATTCATTGAATGCACTAATTTGCCTTCCCTTTCATAAATATTTGATAGCTGATATGTCTATTTTATATAGTGATTTACCCCCATCCTTTGGTCATATTTTGGAGTATTTTTGGCTCTATGGAGCCACTTTTATTACTAATATGCGTTTTCTAGTGTTTTCGTAGTTTTGGTATTGTTTTATAGGAAATTGCGGATTTGGAGCATTTTCCCGGACTTATTTGAGCCACTACGAGCATTGGAGTAGGATCGCATTCATATGACCACATTCCGAAGCCCAAGGCCGAGTTGGAGCAATCAAACCGGTGATTAAGGGCTCGGAGAAGAAGAAGAGTTTGAGGCATTATTGAATCGAGTTATAAAGACCCGAAGAGTAAAAGCGCATTGGGCCAAGCATTAGCCCAATCGAGAAGTCCATATTTTCCCGAGAGCTCACCCGACCGGGGAAGCCCTCGCCCTGAGGCGCGCCCGGCCGGGCGAGGCAGATAAAGAAGGATAGCTCTTCACCCTAAGGCACGCCCTACCAGGCGAGAGAGATAAAGTTCACTAGCGTAGGCAGGCCCGGCTGGGCGAGATGCCGCTCGACCGGGCGCGTGTTTTTGAGGGATGTTTAGTGACTTTTAATTTGCTTTACTAAAGGATTTGTTAGCTTAAGTATAAATAGGCTTTTGTTAAGCGAAACGATGACGTCTTTCATTAGTTAATTCCAGATTTTAGTTTTAAGCTTTTGGTTAATTCTCTTGTTCTCTCAATATTTTTGGTTTATGCAATTTCATTTTTCCGTTTATTTTGGTAACGATTCCTTTCCCTTTTTATTTTTAGTGATTTAATTGCTTTGATTAATCATGTCTTTTTTGCTTAGTTTAGATTTAAATATGTGTGAGTAGTTTTATTTCTAGGGTTGTGGGGATCCATAAATAATATGAAAGGGTGATTTATTGATTTTTAGTGCTTTGGTTAATTTCCTATTGATTGATTTAATGCTATGCAATTAGATTAGACCTGGTTTAATTGTATGAGTTAAGCAATATTGATTCGAGATTCGAGAGATGAGAATTGATGTTTAGGTTTAGTTTCAATAGGCTGGTTAATTTATAAATGGTTAAGTCAAGATTCGAGAGATGCGATTTAATACTGGTAGATTAATTCTGTGATTGTAATACGTAGCGAAAGCCCTTTATGATCTGATTAATTGATGCATTGATAATTGATTGTTGTGTTTTACCCTGAAATATATTTATTGGTGAACCTATACCCTAGGCTTTGATCTATTGCTTTATCCTTAATTTTATTTGCTTTAGTTTATTTAATCTCCTTAGTTTAATCCTCATAAAAACAACTTTGTTACTTAATAGTTTAGATTATATTAATTATTTAGGAATAGAAAGACTTGTTTCCCTGAGGATTCGACCCTACTTCCCTATCTACTTTAGTTAGAGGACTTAGGTAATTCTTTTGATTAGGAGATACGACTTTATCCTGTCAATAGCTTGTAATTTTGTATGATTTTAGAGTAGTTTTGAGCCTTATAATTGTGAGAAATCAATGTCTTAGTTCACTAATTACTCTATTTTTTATGCATTTTTTGTGTAACCCATGCTTCATGGGGTTGCTAGTGTTTTGGTGCATATTTAGATATAAAGATGGCACTTTGAACCTTTTGGATAAAGAAGCAAAGGAGTTGGAGGCAAGAAGAAAAAAAAAAGGGAGTTGTGGAAGAATGAATCAATGAAGGAAGAATGAAAGAATCAAGGAAAAGTGTTTAAGAGTTAAATAAGAGCATTTGGAAGGGTTTTGGAAGGAAGCAAAGGGTTTTGTACTAAGGTCAATTTCAAATGACCATAACTTTTTTTCTACTCAACATTTTGAAGTGATTCAAATTGGAGATTAAACTTCATATCAAGAGTGAGCTTTCCAACGATTAGTCACATGCCTTTTTTCGATGAGAAATGAAGAAGTTATATGGCCTTCCGAAATAAAACTGTTTTCGTCGGAAAATGCTGCACGGCGTGCACGTCCGTGCCACGCCAAAAAGTGGCACGTCCGTGCACATCCTTGTACGTCAGTGCCTAATTCTGCACGTCCATGCACATCCTTGCACGTCCTGCCAAATTCTGCACGTCCGTGCAAGGGCAGGCAGTAGCTATTGCACTTATTTTAACAGATCTACACGTCTGTGTAACTTTTGGCACGTCCGTGCCGACCTGTAGACGTGTTGTTTCCTCGTTTTCTCCGTCCTTTTACTTGGGGGTTATATAATACCCCATGAACTTCATTTATAGGGAGGATCTTCTTCCCTTTAGACTTCTTAGGCCCTTAGTTTCTTAGAACTCTCATTAATTAGCTATCTTCTCAAACTCAATCATTTGTACTACTTTCATTGAAGATTATTCTCTTGATTTCAGTAGTTCTCAACTTTGAAGCATCTTAAGTAATCTCTTTCCTCTATCTCCTTTAATTTCTGTTTTTATTTACTTTGAAGTGCTAATTTCTCTCTTAACCTTGCTTAAATATTGTTGCATGTTCAATCTACTTTGTTCTTACTACTCCTCTCAACTTGTTAGATTATTGTTGAACTTAAATATTGTTGCTAGGATGTTGAACACCATGAGTAATGAGTAGTGAGTAGTTTCTTAGCTAGGGGTTAGGTAAAGACCCAATCAAGCCATGGGTTGATTAATATTTGTGCTTGCATGTTCATTTTTGGTTGATGATTAATTGTTAAAGGATTAGTTAATTGTATGAATAATTGGATGGCCACTTATTGCTCATGTATTCACTTCTATACTTGCATTGAAAGATGAAGTCTAGTTGTGAGCCTTTTCTTGTATGATTATGCTAAATTCCTCTTGATTACGGTTCCTTGTTTGGATGATGTAGTAGTCATAGTTGCGATAATTAGGTGAGAAATCCCCAATTATTTGTGCCTTAATGCTTTCTCGAAAGGATCGAAAGACAACCCCGAGTTAGTAGTCTATTTTCTATCATTGAGACTTGGTTGGCCCATCTTGTTAATTGAGTTTGGCTTAGGAATGCTTAGTGTTGTGGCTTCGAAAGAAAGTAATGTTGAGTGCCCTTTCTATCACCCAATTTGTGTTCATGTTTACCTATTGTATTGATCTATTGGTTTGGTTGGTGTCGATTCTCATTTCCCCCTAGTGCTTGTCTCCATAGTAGTTAATTAATCAAAACCCCAATCTTATGACCGAACTAGCTGACAATCGTTTCATATTCTTGGTGTGCTCATACCCATTCCCTGTGGATACAATTCTTTACTTATGCCCTAAATATTGTTTGGCTTTAGGGTATTCAACCAACGACCGATTTATCCTCTACCAATATTCTCAAGGATAAATAACAGTTGACCTTTTGCTCTTCTGAATTACTAGTATATATATTTTTGTACACTTTATCTCGATTTTGGTACTCTTGTTAGTATTTAATAACCGTCACTAAATTAAGACAAACATGTAATCACAATTCACAACTACTCCACATATATTTTGGGTAATACAAATTCTTCCAAGAATACAAAACTCTAATCACATTGATAATCAAACCAAAAAAAAAAAAAAAAAAAAAATTACACACTCCAAAAGTAACTTCTGTGATGATTGTCACTTGTCAAATAAAATAGTTGAATTGGTGACTTGCGAGACCAATTTTATTAAGTGACGATGATTTATTAACATTATCATACATTAAAAGCCAATTTAAATTATAGTGGATAAACAATCGGAAGTAAGTCCAAGTAACATCTATACACAACAATACAAAGGATATAATAAGGAAAGTAAGGCCAGGGACGGGGCACACTCCTAGTAGGTTTCCTCCGTGCCCGGCCACCAGCCACCTACTCGGACATATACTCGTGTGTAGCACGGTGTTGGATTGTGTACGACAGTTGACCTTTCCGGCTTAGCGGCTAAATTTCTCAGCACGTTGCGGTGATCCTTCACGCACATCTTCTTTAAGCTTAATTAGTGAATAAATGCCTGCTCCAAGAATGGCTCCAATGGGTGGTGCCAACATGTATATCCATATACCATGATACCTTCCTGCTGCTATGGCCGGTCCTAGTGTCCTTGCCGGATTCATCGACCCACCAGTACTTGGCCTACAAATTAAGCATCAACGTTATCATGGATGTCAGCTAAATTAATTAGTCAAAGTCTTTAAATGATACTCAAAAAGCCCAAGGTTTAAATTTAGAATTGAATCTCGTCTATATCACTATCTTTATTCGTGACACTGCTTGAAACAATGTAATTGTCAACGTACTTACCCAATGAGAAGTATGTCAAGAAGGATGGTACTTCCAATTGCAAGGCCTGCTAACTCACCCACCTACAAAAATTGTTACATCATATATTAATCAACTTTGTTTGGTTCGCAATATGGTACCATCCTATCACCACAATATACCACGTGATCCTACATCACATTATAAATTATATTAATTAGTATACATGACTATTATTTCCGAATAATGCAACAACTTACATGACTATTATCGGTAGCGACGGCAGTGATGACAAACATGAGGAAGAAAGTTGCAACAAGCTCAAGCAGAAACGCCTGCCCAAAACTAGTAGAAGGCACAGTACCACCACCCAACATAAAAGGGTGATAACCTAGTTTAAGCAAAAAAGCAGCTGAAATTCCTCCAATGAATTGGGCCAGAATGTAAATGGGCACTTGGGCCCAAGAAAAGTGTTTTAGGGCCGCAAAAGCAAGAGTAACAGCTGGGTTAATATGGGCCCCCGAAATGTGTCCAATAGAAAGAATAACTATCATAGCTGCAAGCCCAGAACATGCGGCATTTCCTAATAAAGATTCAGCTCCGTCGAATTTTTGGTTGACTATGGGCCCACCTGCTGCTGAAAATACTAGTATGAATGTTCCAACAAATTCTGCTCCTGCCTGAATAATGAAATATGATAACTCAATTTTACAACATATAATGTATGAAAATAACGTACAAGTGTAATATGGAATAATCATTAATCAATGTAACATGTCATGGAAACGTAAGATTTTATGTATGAGACTACAACCATGTGCGAAGAATTTATTGATGCGGAGTATAAAATAATTATATTAAGAAAAATAAGTTATAATCAGTAGCGTAAAAATCAAGCTAAGTGAAAAGAGCTAGCATGGCCTTTATCTCAAATTCAAAATTTTGAAGGTGTAGAAGACGCACGTATGCTTTTGTTGACTAGGGGGTTTAACATCATGTCGAATTTGTATCAATATCTTTGGTCGACTGAGCAATATAAAGGGAAAAAACTCAAATGATTTCATATCATAAGTTCATTATGGTATTAACTATGCAGTATATATCATAGTACGTTGTGAATACGCATTTCTACACATTTGAAAGTTTATACTTCGTATATATATGATGGCACTGGATGTCAACTAATTAGATACTTGTACTAGTATAAGCATAATAATGGACATAACAACTATGCATCTCATGTGTACTCATCAGGTGCAAATGGTGCAATCAAGCACAATATATATAAACTGTTTAATAATTTTGATTCATCAAAAGCTAAGTTAACGAAAAACGTACATGTAATGCCATGCACGAAATTATATTGATGCATATGTATCACATATTCACATGCACTCGTACATACTTTCAGAGCCTTAGGTGCATGATGTAAGAATACAACTAAATTAGTATATGTCAATAACTTAATTACTCGTAAAGTGTTGGACGGAGGTGGTACTTAAGATTAATGATCAAATAACGTTTATATCATTATTCTTTAATGTGCGACTCTCTCACTGCATTGATTTTAAAAAACGAGGGTTAATCATGAAAGCTTAATTATGTGGGCTGATCCTTTTGATTTACATGGTGAATATAATGAAGCATTATAAAAACGTACCTTTTGCACAAGTGAGATCCTGGCATCCTTAGAGCTGAACGACTTAATCAACGGCCGATCACTTATAGATGCCGGTGTTGCTGACGGCGACATCTCATCGTTCACCGGCATTTTCTCCTTAATTTCAGGTAGTTTTCTATTATTCAAATGTAGTATGTAAACTTTATATCTTTCTTTTGTCGAACTTAACACTCTTTTACGTATGATAGATCTTAGCTTGATCGAGATTATGTTGTATTAATAACTCTCTCTCTCTTTCTCTATTTATATTTGTAAAGATTTAAGCTAAGGTTCCTTAAATTAGCCATTCAAAGGTATTCATGCATGATCCATGCATACATGAAATTTACTCCAAATTAGGAATGAAATTATATACTATTTTGTCGATTGGTCCGACTTTAATTTAATTTATTTAATTCCTTTATCCTAACTTCGTGGCTCATAAAAGTACCAAGCTAAGCAATGCAAGAATGGTGGAAGAATTTATAAGTCATTATCATATACAAAGTAGAATCTATTTGAAGTCATCATCATTCATCAATTCATACACATATACATACTAGTATAATACTCGTATATGATAACTAATTACTTTAAAATTTCCTAAGTGAATATATATGAAAAATGTAAAAATAAAAGAGCTAATGTATGTATCATATCGTTACGTATAAAGGTGAATTGTAATACAAATTTTATCAACACGACATTAACGACATACTTGTATAATTTACTCTTAGATCCCGACTTTAAATTTAGCATAGCCTTATATTAGAAAAAGGAAATATATTATTCTCACTATGTAACTCAAATTTTTAACATCTTAATTATTAAGTGTGCTTTGCACCAAAAAAAAACTAAGTGTGCTAAAAAATATTAAGTTTCACTCTAGTATGTACTAACACTTTGGCTCAGCTGGCTCCCTTGAGATTGTTTGACTCCTTTTGTTGATGTATGCATTTAGTTTATATTTATATTCCTATATATATCTTCTCTTAGTGAAGTAGACATAAATATTCCTTTCATTTGAGATTTCAAATTATACTTGTATTATTTATGATAAGATAAATTATAGTACTTTTCATGCCTTTTTTTTTTTTTTTTAATTTTTTTTTTGGCTTCTAACTATTTAGCAAGTTAGTTTAATTTGGTTGTTCACATAATTGCTTGCCTTTTCTATCTATTGTGAAACAGCACTCTTTTAATACATACTTAGCTAGTAGTAGTTGTTTTGAATACACCGTATTAGATTTTTTTTTTTTTTTTTTTTTTTTTTTTTTTGTGACAAGTACACCGTATTAGATTAAGAGTCAATTAAAGCATATAATATTTATAATTAATTTGTAAGGAGAAAAAAAAAATTTGCATGCATCATCCCAGACTTGAACCAATTTAGACAAATATATTATTTTATAAAAAAAATGTGTTCGATTCTAAAACAGATCAGATCAGAGTACGTAAAATGTTTTTATTGATTTTTCTCAAACTATTCTTTTATTAAAATAATTACGTTGATAGTGTGATACAAAGTATGATGAATACTGCTCCGTAATATTGTAACAATTGACTATAAACAGATAATAGGAAGTATTAATGAAAGTTCAATATAAACCATATCTTTTAAAGATCGAAAAGGAAACTTATTGCAATCTTGATGTTAATGTTGACCTTGATATATAACTTGATTACATATTATTTATTTTAATGCATTGTGCGTGAACACCGTGATAATTCAAGATGTATATAGTATGAAGTAATCAAGCATCGTTTTCATGTTTAAGCAAATTGCATGTGACATATGGAGTGCTACTGGAAGAAATCTTTCAAAATTTACTAAATTTTTATTCCTTATCTTTTCCCCGTGTTTGCTTCACGTTATCCAATTTACATCTGGTTGCCATTATTGCAATTAAATATTGGCTATAAATCTCGTTTTTACCTTTGAATACATGTAGATCAGAGGTGACGAGTTTGTTGTTTATATTTGGTTCGATTTCTTAGAATTTGATGTATGTTATATTTGATATTTGATATTTGAACAATGAGCAATTCGGTTAAGTTGTAGCTAGTGAACTTAATGTGTTACAAATTTATCCTGTTAATAATTTTCGAATGGTCAAGCAATTTCAACGCAAGATGCAGTTAAGATTTAAAAATATGACTCTTTTGCAAGAAAATTAACATGAATTCAATGTTCCGTTAATCCCTACTACCCTATCAATGCTACAAGCCTACAATACTCATCCAACCCTACCAATGTTGGAGTACAATTATGGCTAGCTTCATGAACCGTGTTTAGTATGACGTAGTATTTTGGTAATCCTCTTGTTGATACCCGTATAAATTGTAAGGAAAAAAGTGAAATTTAGATGAATCAGTGTTGATTTCCACTATAGAATAAATGTGAAGAGAGAAGAAAAAAAAAATTATAATTTATCACAAAAGTTATGATGGAAGTAAATTTGATATAGAGGTATTATTTTATTCGATTCACATAGTTCTCTTTCGTGTTAATAATAAGAATCTGACCTACATGCTAGGCTTTGGATGATTAATGGTTAACATGGGCTTTTTTAATTGTAGTTAAATTAATTTGGAGAGATTAGGAGATTTACTTATTTTACTTGTACTCTATTCCTTTTGTGTTTTGGGTCGGCCTGATGTGCACTCAAATAGGCCCAAACTCCTTTCACGGACTTTAGGCCTGAAGATCAGCCCAAAATAGTTTGCTTTTTGGCCCATAATCAACTTTAGGTTTTGAAACCGGGTATGAAAATATGATTATCTTGATTAATCTATTACTCCCTCCGTTTCATAATATTAGTCTCATATGGAATTAATTACAAAAAATAAGAAAAGAAGAATATTTGAAATCTAACATTAAAGTACAAAATAATTCATAATTAGTTTACCTTATTTAATTTTTTTTGATTTTTTTTTTGGAAAGCATAAGGCATAATTGCATAATTCAAGGTAGAGATTTCCTTATTTAGAGTTATGTCATCAATCCACAACCAATTAATTCCAAAAAAATTAAGTTACAAATGGAACATATTCAATATGAGTAAAACTTTTTGAAACGCCCAAAATAGTATATGGGACTAACATTATGAAACGAAGGGAGTATATATTTATATGTATATATAGTATTAAAAATATAATTACGTTACATTTTTAAAATTCGTCGTCTTAAAACTTCCCTAAAAGGCAATTGATGCGATATTAAAAGAACGGAGGAAGTATAAGCTTTGAAAACTTTCAAAAAAAAAAAAATAATAATAAAAAATAATAATAATAAAAAAAAATAAAGCTTTCAACAATATTGATTGAACTATCAATTATTATGATCTTCTTAAGTACTCTATACTATGTATATACAAGACATCTTTAATAAGGTCGCACATACATAATTAATGCAGTTTTTTACTTGTTAAAATTGTAGAGACCGTACCAATCAATTTGAAAGATAACTTAAAATGAGTGAGAATGTACTGTGAGTAGGAGTATAATTAAAACTGTTAATGTCAACAGAATTCTTATTAACAACAAACTACTCCATGTAATTGTTGGAAATTCTAGTAATGTATCCGGACTATTAGGCTCGCGGCCTAGTAGGCAAGTAAGCTTTACAGGCCATAGCCATCTTACTTTTGGAGATAATCCATGTTCAACTGTTGACCCTTGAGGATCGGAGTTTTGATGATGATGGAAAATGTAAACTTCAACGAACTAATGAAATTTCTCTAAGTATTGCACTAGTGCAAGTGAATTAGACTTGGGAAATGGAAGAGTAATCTAGCTATAAAGATTACTAAGAGAAATAAGAGAAAGATATAAAGAATAGAAGAAGAGTTCCACATTGAAACTGTTAGAATATTGATAGAATATTGACAAATATTTTGTATACATTCTTGTAATTAGATTATTTACCTGCCATACTTAGATTATTGTATCAAATCAGTCCTTGATTACAGGAGTGATTAAGGGGCACTAATATGGCAAGTTTAGTGTATAAATGTCCTTGTAAACCAGTTGATTAGAGTAATACACACAGAAATTAAAATCCAAAAACTGTTTTCTGACTTGGTATCAGAGCCAGGTTGTTTCCCGACGATCGGAAACACTTAGGCGACATCATTTACCATGGAAACCGACAACAATACCATTGTTTCAAAACCAGTAACAATGGAAGACTTAATGCAACTGCTAACGCAGTTAAACACCACTAAGCCAACCACTGAAACACCAAATCAATCCATCCAACCAATCCAAATTCCAGAAAAATTAAACAACAAAAATTTTGTAAAATGGTCCAAATTAATGCAACTGGAGCTCGGCGGCAGGGGAAGGCTCAGTCACATCACAGCCCCCCCGCCTAGCCAGGAGGACCCAGAATACACAAGGTGGACTCAACGGGACTCGTTAGTAATTTCGTGGGTAATCGGAAACATCGACCCAGAACTACAGAATCAGTTCCTGGATTATCCCACAGCGAAGATTTATGGCAGGCAATTGAAACCCTGTACGGCAGCAGTCAAGATGGACTGCAAATTTTCGATTTAATGGTGAAAGCAAACAAAATCCAGCAAGGAACTGAGCCAATCGAAACATATTACAGCAAGCTTACCGCCATTTGGAAGGAAATCGACAGAAGGCTCCCAAATCCAATGCTTTACCCAGAAGATAAAACGATATATAATCGTTTAAATCAACAACAAAGGCTTTATCAATTTCTTGCAGGACTCGATGAAAGCTTAGACAAGGATCGAAGAGACTTACTGTTCCGAGATCCTCTCCCGACCCCTGAGGAGGCCTATGCGAGCATTCGGAGAGAATTCTCTCACCGTGGCATCATGAAACCAACCACCAACCCCTCATCAACTGACTCACCGGGGATAGGAAGTGGTTTCGCGGCAAGAGGGAAGGTTGAGAAGCCTGTTTTCCGGCGGGATGACGAGAGATTAAAGCTCCGATGTACTCACTGTGGTGGTTCGCGACACACCAAGGAGGGGTGTTTCGAGCTAATTGGATATCCTGAATGGTGGGGCGACCGGAAAAAGAAAGGAGGGGGGAACCAAAGCAGAATAGGCAAAGCCGCATACGGTGAGGCAACAAGCAGAGACAGCGATGGGGAGGCGATGATAGCCACCACTACCGCCGTTCCTATCTCAGGTTTGGAAACTCTGAATTCAGAAAAGGAAGGTCAGTGTTATGAAAACCTAGAACATGAGTTATA